TCTGAGCGTCACAAACACTGCTTCTTCTTGATTGCTTGCTTGCTTACATTGAATTTCAATCAACATCCCTCATGTTCTTTTTTGTTGTTGTTGTTTTTACTCTTTTAGGGGAGGCAGTAGCTTGGTTCTGTTTTTAAATCTGATCTAACAGCACCCTCTGTCTAGACAAAGTGAGAACTGCAACAGAACTTGATCGTTACTTTAGACTCTTGGTCTCTGTTTTAATTGGTGCAATGTCAAATCAGGGTTATACCTTCAGTTTTAAAGGACTTTAAAAACTGTAAACTATGAACCCTGATTTTGAAAACAGGAAAAACAAACAAAAAAAACAAACAAGAGGAATGAGTCCTCCAAATAAGATAAATAAAAAAGGAAGTGTTAAGAGGGAACAATATTGAACAAAGAAAGATTGAGCAACTTGCTGGAGCTCTAATGATGTGAACTGAAAGACAGGAAAAGTGTACTATTAGCTGGATCAAACAACGGCCTTTACATTGTAATAAAGGCATGCATTAACTGATGTGTCAAATCAGGATTACAAAGCACTAAAACAGATATGCGGGTATTATCTCCCATTTTTTTCTAAACAAAGTGTTGTTTTTTAATGGAAAAGAAAATATGTAATGGTTGAAAGTTTGAGTTTTGTAAACTCTGAATCAAGAACTGTATCATATTTCATTCTTTTGAATAAGGTTTATCTTAACAAAAGACTGGAAACATGCTAAAAGAAAACACCTGATGGAACATTTCACAGTTATTAATATTTGATTAAAAGGACAGTAATGTGATGATTGGGTATAAAAAGAGAATTGTAGTGAGGCTTTCTGATGTAAAAAGATAGAGAAGGCAGTTTATCATTCTGTGAACGTCTGCTTGCTAACAGTGCAACAATTTAAGAATTATGTGGGGTTTTTTTTTTACATTAAATTGAAAAGAAACTGGGGCAGCGATTGTCTACAGTATGTCATATAATTAAAAGATTCAGAGAATCAGAAGAAATCTCCGCATTCAGGGAACAAGGCCAAAAACCAACATGGGTGGCCATGATCTTCACTGATGGCACTGCATTAAAAACAGACAATTCTGTAGTGGACACCACTTCTAGGGCTCAAGAAAACATCCAAAAACCATTGTCTGTGAAAACAGTTCTTGGCTACATTGACAGATGCTAGCTAAAACTCCACTATGCAATAGAAGACACCTTATACAGGTCAGATCCAGTGAATTATTGCACATGGCAAGGATAACCTGCACATTTGTGAACTCACCAATCATGCTAAACCATATACGCAGGTTTTTGAGCAATATATGCTACCAAAAGACAACTTGTTTTCTATGAAGGCCAAGCTTATTTTAGCAAAAAATAACACCAAACCACATCATGGATGTATTACAACAGCATGGCTCTGTAGTAAAAGTCCAGGTGATAAAGTAGCCTTCCTGCAGACCCAATTTGCAACCATTAAAAAGAGCATTATGAATAAGACAAAGGAGACCCTGAAAGGTTGGACAGCCGAAATCCTACAATAAGCAAGAGTGGAAAAATTCCACCCATCCATTATCTTTACCACTCATCCCACTGGGAGACACAGGATTCTCCTCACCTCCCAAAAGGCTTACAAAGTGTAGTTAAAATTAAAATGATGCAACAAAATGATAAACTCTCTGAACTATTTTGAAATGTGTTGCTGGCACGAAATTCAAAATGGGCTAATTATTTTCAAAAAACAATGACATTTCTGTGACAATGTGTAAAAAACAAGGAAGTGGTCCCAATTGCAGTCTAACAAAAATATATATTTATTTAAAGGATCAAAACAGCAAACAAAGGCTTACTCTGTAAGTGTATAGATATAAAAACAAAAGGTTCAATTAGAAGGCCAAAAGGGCCCCCACAAAGAGAAGTTTCTGAGAACAACTTGATGAACTGACACAAGAAGGCCTAAATAGACATGGGATAATCAAAACCAGGTGTGGCACCGGCAAAAAAGACAGGTGAAACTGATGAGGGCAATCAAAGTGGAGGGAAAACACACAAGGGCAGGAGGTCAAACTAGTTTATGAAACACTGGAGAAAGAATTACAAAATAAAACAGGAAACACTGAACACCAAAGCAAACTATAGAACAGTACAACAAACACAAGGGAAGGAAAAGACAAAAGTAAACCAGAAAGTCTCAATACGGTCAATTCTTTAGATAGGCCTATATTTTATAGCCTGTATTTAAGAGACAGGATAGTGGATAGAGTCAGAAATCAGGGAGAGAGAGAGAGAGTGGGAAATGACGTGCGGTAAAAGGAGCCACAGGCTGGATTTGAACCTGGAAACAGCAAACGAGGAGCCCTCTCGACACTAAAATTTGCTCGACAGCAACAAGACTAGAAAGAGACAAAAAGTCAGCGCACAAAAATGTCCTTTAGGTTTCTTTTAATCCGGGTAAGGCAGCAACAACAACAGCAACGGACACGTTTCGGCGCTAGGCCTTCATCAGCGTGGATTTGAACCTGGACTGCCCGCTTCAGGGACAACAGACTCCGTAAATGGGGCACGCAAATTAACCACTGGGCCGCATTAAATAAGGGATGTTTTGAAAATAACCAATTTCAGGTTTAATTTACATTTTAAATAACATCCCTATTTGTACCATTTATTTAATAGTTGATCATCAGCTCATCCTACTTTACTGATGGTGGTTGGTTGTGACTTTACAGTCTCTTAAAAAGAAGAGAAAATATTCATGATAAACTAGGTCAGTAAACAGTCAAAGGTACAGGGGAGGTTGTATTCAACATATTCAGTCGCATTATTAAATCTGAATCCTAACTTTATTAATTTATAATATCTAATTCCTTAATTTTCAGGGATTGCATTCTGTCCTACACTGATGACATCTGTTTTTTTTCAGGCTTTTGGCCCAGCTGAGTAATATTTTAGATTATTTATTTCTTCACATCTCTGGAAAAAGAAGGATTTGATATGAAACGACCCAGTAGAGATTATGTTTTGGGAGGAGAAAATGTGTCATATGGACAAGATGACACCATGCCAATTCAAATGCTCCTAAATAGATTCTGCCTGGTGGACTCTTCTCCCCATCACGCCTCCTCACCTCCATGTCTGGCGCCTCTTCTGCCTCTTCCTGCTGGCCGTCCTCTGTAGGGACCACTTCCTTTGACTCACAGTTTGTAACAGCAGACAGTTTGGTGGGCAAAAAAAAAAAAAGGAGTCTGCTGGAGCACTCAAAGTCTGCAGACCTTGCTGGCACGAGATGTGCAGTTTATTCTTGTACGCTGCAACAGCCTGGATCCAGCTGATGATTCGTTTCTCTGGCAGGGAGGCTGTCAGGCCGAGGGTCTACATGGTGCCTTTGCTTGGTGAGAATCTAAAGAGTTCCAGGGACATGGACTGCTTTTGTACAGACATGGACTTGTCAGGTTGTTTGACAGAGGAATAGAGAATGTGTGGAGACATGATAAAAAGTGATGATAAAAAGAAAACGCATTGCTTCAGGAACCAGCTTGCGGATTCATATAGTTCAAGCCTTTTTGTGTACTCTTTCTTAACCTTTTAATAATCCTGTAGTCCTGCTCTCCACTGCTTTGAGCTCATTCAGACCTGACAAGAACCACCCCAGTCTGAGGAACTATTGATTCCTAATACTCTTGTTGTTATACAATGTATAGATTGTAGATACACAATGATTCGCGTATGTAAAAGTGCAATAGGCCTATTTACATATATATACAGTATATACATATATATATAATTGGAATAAATGTTGCATGATAAATATAATGTATGATTTTTGTACAGGAAGTATTGGGGTATTTTATGCATGTCGCATGCTTCCATTTAACACAATGATTATTTTTCCGTGGCGTTCAACTACACATTTTAAAGTTCTGGAAGATACCAAGTGTTTATTAGTGGAGAAGTGTTCAATGTTGTGAGTTTTGACAAAGTTTGTTATTAGTTGTATGAATAGGTCAGGGTTTACAAAGAGACAGTTTCCATCAAGTTCCTGCTGTTGTCATAACCACATGCTGACATCTGATCACAGAGGCTGTACTAAGGGTCTATACCGTCTGTTATCGCCTACTATATTTGAGTTTATGGTTAGTATAAACACCTGGTTAGTCTGCACATCTGCTCACACTCAAGCCTCCTGCATTGATGATCCACAGCATGATCTAGCTATAGGTAACCTTATTACTATATTATCTTGAAGGCGATGTCTTAATCTAGGTTTGCTTACTTTGATATTTCAGTGTGTTTGTTATAGTGTAATCCAAAATCACAGTTAATAGGAGGCAGGGTGAATCTCAGGAGAAGTTGTTGGTGTCAATCTGCTTTCATTTTCAAAATGGTGAGTGAATAGCACGGAAAGTTTTTACTAAACAAATGTGGGAAAAAAAGTAAAAGCTGAGGATGTTTTGAAGATAAGGGAAAAACAAGTTCACTCAGTATTATTATGAAAAACAACAGTGAGAAGACATATTGCCTAAATTCTTTCCATATCTAAAAACAGAAATTTAATGAAAATTAAATTTGACTAAAAAGATCGGTGCTATAGATATCCACATAAATCTGTTCTGCAGAGGTGCAGAGCTCAGAAATACTGTATATCAAGGTCCAGAGTATTTTTGAGTTGTGCTCGGATACATTTGTGTTTATTTGCTCAGAAGAACATAACTCTTTTAGTATGTAAGTCTTTTATGACCTGTAGGCCACACAGAGACCCTCTATCTATTGAGCTTTTAATCTGTTACATCTCAAAACAGAATAACTTTTACTCAGTATTTTTGATAGGATGTCTGTGTCTTTGGCAGCTTGGGGTTCACTATTAAAATACAATGTCATTTTTATGTTTGGGTCATAGGCATAGACTGTAAATAGGCTACTTAAATGTAGCTGCAGTTTTGTAGTAGTGTCACTTCCAGAGGTCACTTCCTTGTGAATATGTCCGCGGGCGCCCCCTGACGATGATCCCCGGAAAAGCACCGGCGCCCTCCCGTCAGACCACCCGTCCCTCCTCCGCCCGGAGAAAGCTCCTCTCTCTCTCCGCTGCTCAAGTTCACAAACCCGCTGGCTTTGTACGGAGAGTTCAAATGGGCTGTACCGCTGTTCGAGGCTTAATACAGTACCGTCCTGTACCGTTTACTTACTTTGGATTGTTAGACTTCTGCTAAAGTTAAAATCTTTTCCTTTAAACGTTGAACTTTAAAACTTTTTGAACATTTCGCCTTTTGTTTCCTCTTCATCATCCAGACAGATAGTTGTTGACGGCGCGGTCCAACCAAGATGGACTCGGGTTGTCTGCCCTTTTGGAGACTAGATAACGGCGTCCCTCATTAAACTAGATGTAGATTTGATCTAATTATCCGCTGTAAACGTGCTCTTTGTCAACTGGATGTAACTGGACTGGGTCTTTTCCACCCCAGAGGTCGCGTCCTATAATGAACATTTTTCCACCGAAGTTTCGGTGAACTTTACCCCACGACTCGCCATGTCGGGAGTGGTCCGCACCCTGAGCCGCTGCCTGCTCCCGGCTGAGGCCAGCCGTGACCCGGGCAGCAGCAAGGAGAGGAGCCGGGAGAGGGACGCGGCGCAGGAGCGGGAAGCTCGGAGACGGAGCCGGGAGATAGACGCCATGCTCGCCAGGGAGAGGAGAGCTGTCCGCCGGCGGGTGAAGATCCTCCTGCTCGGGGCCGGAGAGAGCGGAAAGTCCACATTCCTCAAACAGATGCGCATCATTAACGGGCAGGAGTTTGATAAAAAAGCACTTCTGGATTTCCGGGACACCATCTATGAGAATATCCTGAAGGTAAGAACAAAGTTTGATGGAAATAAATAGCCTACCATTAGGCATTCCCCTCAGACAAACTTTACAGCCATGCGTCCAAAGTTTGTAGCCTACTTCCAGATTTGTAATTTGTGTTGTCCTCTCCTGTTTCCGGCTTTTTAATTTTATTTATATTAGATTCTATTTATATAATTATGCAACCTTACTAGCTTGATGATCTTAGATTAAAAAAACGTTTAAGACACTGACATTAAGTGACATGTTGACCTGAGAGAAATGAGTCAATTAATCAATTAGACTGGCCTGTAGCCTTCTTCTTGAGCTTTAACCTGAATTGATAGACGAAAAGTTAATTAGTAACAGAAAACGACCCCATCACCATTAAAGTTGTTTCTTAACAAATACTGCAAAGATTTACAAGTGTCAGCTTCTGTAGATTATTGATGGTGCTTTTCTCAACCTTGAGTATTGGAAAACTGATATTTTGGGCTATACTCAGATTTTCAAGTGTTCGAGCCAACAAGACAAATCTGCTAGAACTGTGGGAAATGGTAATTAGCATTTCTGACAAACAATTGTTGATTAATGGAGAAAACAACCAGCATACTAATCAACAATGTGAAATACATTATTTGCTGCCCTTATTCTGACATGTATTAAATAGTTGAGGTGAACTCACTCATACTAACTCAAACACACAAAAAGGGTTTGTTGACATAGTACATATTTTTACCCTGAAGTCTGGTGTGTGTGTGTGTATGTGTGTGTGTGTGTCTATAGTGTGTGTGCGCAGTCCCTTTGTTTGCTGTCATGGCTGGACCTCCTTCACCAGCTAACAATACCAGACTATTCCTGAGGGATGAGCACATCCGCCCTGAGTGCCACACAGCCCAGACAAGGATGATAAGAACTGCACTTGTGCACAGACAAGGCATTGGTGTACAATACACCCCCCCCCCCCCCCCCAATTCCAAAATACAGTGGGGTGGCTGTCTCGGGTCACATCCATCACGAATAGGAGCTCCCCCTTCAATACATACATTTCATCACTACTTATCCTCCTGAAAAATACACAATGCATCATGTGCAGAAGGAAATAGGAGACGCCAAATTAGCAAGAAATCATATGATACGCTTGTAGTAAGAGATATCAAGAAGTGCACTTGTTAGACGGATGTTAAGGAAAGTGTACCACATTCCTGGAAAGCCTTGTTCAACCATCGTTTTTACCCTACATACTGTATTACTGATAGAGTTGCAAGTCACAGTTGCAAAGATTAATTATTTCATTAATTTAATCCAAATATTTTATAGTCTGAAAAAATATTGTGAAAAATAATGACATTTTGAATGACAATTATGTTTTTTTTTTGTTAAACTAATGGCCCAACTCTCCAAATAATTCAGTGTATTGTTATATTCATCATCACACATTGATGAAGAGATAATTTTGATCTCTTAAATTGATGGCTTTCTGGAAAACTTGATACTCCTTTGGAACATGAAATAGGCCTTTCTGAAAATAGCAATAACACGGCAATCTCTGTTTTCCAGGTCTCAATTTATATCTGATATTTCTCTGGTTGAATGTGTGAAATGTCCCAAAATATTCAGTTAACTGAAAAAAAAAATGAAGGAAAGCTTTGTTCTTGACTAAATGAAACCAGTGACGGACACACAACAAAGACTAAGAAATTGTCGTAACAGTTTAGGATGATTGTTTTGTTGAGTATTACACCGGTGTCTTGATAAACATTTTCCCCTTTTGTCATGTGGCTTAAAGGTTGTTGAAATCATTCTTCTTCACACTGTCCAACAGTGTTTAATATAATGTTACCCCTGAGTTTACGTTTTGATAGATTACCTGGGTAATCACATATTTCAATTTATACACCAACAGCATAAAACCAAAAAGATGTTTATTTTACAGCCACATAAGACAAAGATAAACAGCAAAACCTCACATTTTCAACAAAGAACCAGAGATAATATTTAGTTAATTTACTTGGAAAATGCCTAATCACAATTGTTCTGATGATGAGTTTTTCATCAACCCAGTCTCAGAGTCTGCATCAGATATTTCCCGCTCGAAGCTGCTGTATATTTTATGACTTTCCAACAGAGTAAGATATGTTACAACAAGACTTTAATGTCTAAGGGTTCAAGTCCACCTTTGCAGCACTAAAGTGACTTTAATGTGAGATTTCTTCAAATATATAGAATAAAAACAAACACAGGTGTGCATAAAGAAAATAGTGTTGTGCTTTAATTTGCAAAGAAACCCAGCAACAATGATTCAACAAGTCATAAGAGTAAACTGGAGTAAGTTGGATGGAGACTGAACAGCGCTATCTGGGATTTGGGATATCGTTTGAGGATTAAACTCACCTGCCAGGTGAAGGGAAATCCTTCTAACCCTCCTCTTTCATGGGAATTTAATAATTGGGGGAGAGAGCCAAGCAGGAAGGAAGCAGGGATGAATCCTGAAAGAACAAACAGAATACAGATTATAAAGGTAAATAACACAGGTTGAGTTCAGGTGTGGTCCTGCTCTCTGAATCTCAGTAATTCTACCTCCACTAACAGACACCTCTGCTCTACTCCTTGTGAAATCTGGATTATTTATTTCTCAGGGTCAAAATTAAACTAATAAACTCATGTCAAGACTTGTACATCAAGTCGAGGTTTGATTGAAAACATTTTTTAATCTCCATTTCTCTGGTTGTCTTCCTTTGTCTCTCATTGAAGCTTTATAAAGTGTATGTGTTCTCAAACTAGGGGATAACCAAAAACACAGTTTGAACAGTTTGTCCTTTACAAATAGTGCAATTTGCAGATTTCTTCAGACCCTTTATCCATTTGGTTTTAGTGTTAAGATTAAACAAACCCTCTTATTCCATGCTGTCAGTTTCATATACGCTACATTATTTATAAGCTTATACTGGCAAATTCAGCAGAGTTGGAACCTTTTTAAAACAAAGATAAGGGCTTACATTTTCCAATTAAACATTTTCTGATTTCAACTCTTACTGTGGTGATTGAATATTACCCAAGAAACGAAATGCTCGTTGTAACAGAGCCAGGGAACGACCGACTTGTAAATATTTCATTTGTTGTATTTTGAAAGTTTTTTTTGCTGCATGTTCTGACAAATGATTGACAATGTTAATACAGGAATGGAGCCTACTTCATTATGAACAATAATGGTTATTGAAACAGAACTGTTTTGTGTCCCTCACCATCTGCAATTGTCAAGACTTGTCAGGGTGAAGACATCAGATTCTTATGTGTTTGTCGCCCCACATGGTCAGACACTACAGAGGGTCAGTGACACATGAGACAAATACCAAGAGCCAACATTTTGTCCATGACTCTTAACCATTTGACTAATATATTGTATGGCTTAAAAAGGACAGTAAACTCCTGCACAAGTTCCCTGATAGGGACAAATAGCTGTAGAAAACCTCTTCTGTCCATGTCTCATCTGATTCTTCTTTAATAACAGTCCAAACTAATATTGTCACTTTCTTGCGAACAATTTGGTGCACAACCTCATCTCTGGGAAATGAAGGTTGCCCTGTCCCTATAATTATGTCAAAGGGCTAGGGCTGGAGTTTAACTCTATGGATATCCTCCTTTAAGTGAGTGTCTGAAAATTTGCAACAATATCCCCATATTTAATCATGTACAAAACTGTTAGACAACGCAACATACAAACATGCTTTTTTTTTAGAAGCTTTAACAGCCAATGGGGCATCTATAAAATGACAATGAAGCAGTCTACACCTAACTGTTGTTTCAAAGTTTTTTTTTAAAGGACAGAAGAAGCCATCTCTGATTTGTTTTTGGTCAAATGTGAGAGAAAATGTCGGCAGTGTGGGGGTATTACAGTTTCTGGGAAACATCCATGATATGCAGTCTGTGACATGTTACAGTGACATTTCCAAAGGAGGGACTACTAACAACAATTTAAATACCTCAAATCCCACAGCTCGTTTGAAAAATAGGCCGGAAGAATAACTAAGAGTTGATGGGAAAAAACATCAGTATCGGAATCTGGCCTGGTTTTCACAATCATTGCATCTCTACAGTCAACTAACCTATAAATAGACTAGTCGTTGTAGCTCTAACCAGCCGGTAACAAACAAACAAACAAACAAACAAACAAACAAACAAACATGCAGGCTTCAAGTAGACAGAGTAGTAAAGAGATGAGCTTCAGGTTTGCTCTCAGACAGGAGAAATGTAGATGATTACATGAGTGCATGTGACTCAGAGCGTGCTCACTGTGACTCTCTGTTAGTTTGATTTGTTACTACACACATCATGCTGCAGTTCTCTCGGCATGTGTGTCTCTTTACGGCGGTTGCATGTGTTTCTTGGTGTTCAGCATTCGTTTTGATTTGTCAGTCTTACTCATTCAAACTGCAAAAACAAAGATCAGGCAATTGTAACCAAAAAGTCTCAAATGGGGGATCAGACACACTTAGTCATACCTAATCAGACTGAGAAATGATTCCGTCACATTTTGCTTTTATGTTTTTTTGTAATTGACTTTTCACACCCACACCGCCTGTTGTATCTGTCTTAAAACAGGGATTCTCTCTTTGAGTTTCCTGTCTGAGATGTCTTCCAGATTTATTCCATGCTTCAGAGGATTTTTTTTTTCCCGTCTTTGTCGAGACGGGGCTGAGCTCGGGTTGCAGCTGTTCCTGTTGTGGGTCTTTTAAGCTCTCTGTATGTGATATTATTAAGCTATGCAAATAAACTTGAGTAGACTTGACTGTGACTCACTGAGACACACACACACACACACACACAGATATGCTCACATCCCTTTAACCTATTGTGACCTTTGAAACACTAAGAAGTTCTCTGTGCGTGTTTGCTGCTGAGGCCTCGGTTGTTTGGCTCAATAAATGAAGCAAACACGCTCTGATAATCAAGCAGACTTTGAACTTTAAGATGCTGTTTAACATTATTCACACAGGAGTAAAGTATTTGGCCATTAAGATCAACAAGTGAGAAATAGACTCAAAAATGTAGGTTTAGAATAGTGGCAATATGAAGTCACAAATAACAGAAAGAGCAAGATTTGTATTGTTATTCATATTCATTGTAACTTTTTTTTATCAGTGTTGATGTCAGACTTTATTCCACATTTTAACTTTCATATGACGTGTGTTTTATTTTGATCTGTTGGTATCTTTTATGTATTCTTTATGTTTGAGATGCTCTAAACCAGTTGTCCCTGATGTGTTGAATCTAGTTGTGTGACAAACTAAATATGCTGAAAAACAAGTCATGGTATGCTGAACATGACAAAAGGAAAAAAAAAAGATGGTTTTAAGGCTCCTGTAACCAAATGTGCTTTGGTCTGCATTGAATTCGGCACCCGCTGTAAACAAAGTTGTACCTGTCTATCTTGTTCTTTACATATGTAAATAGTGTTTTCAGACAAAAATATCGTATCCTGATTTCTTTGAACAGTCGAACTTATCAGTCACTGTGAATCTTTGCTGGGGGAAAAAAAAAAACGCTTACCATGCAGCAGCATTAAAATGAAACGTATAGAAATGATCAGCCTTGTGTTACTGGTCTTGTTTGCCTTTTGTAGGTTGAGTAGAGGCATCAGTGTTATTTTCAGCCTGCTTTATAAGCAGATAAAAGCCCTTTTAAAAAAGTCTAATTAAATCAAAGCGACAGAAAAGGGGACCCAGATTTGAAACATTCAATATCTTTCTCTCCCTCGCTCTGTGTCGGTTAGTTTAATCACTCAGGAGGAGACCTCCTACAGAGATCACTCCACATGCTTCTTCTTAGTAAACCCACCAGCAAACACACATCTCAGAATGTGTTTGTGTACGCTTGCTAGACGCAGTGTTGACATTTTTCCAGGACTCGACACATGCAGTATACATTTCTTTTTTTCTTCCTCTGTGTGGTCGCGGAATATTGCTAGAAATGTTAGAAAGCAGCTGTTTTGTCACTGCACCACTTTCAGCATTGTGGGGTTCTGAGTGTGCTTTTTTTTATTTATTTCTTTCCTGCAGGGTATGCGTGTGCTAGTGGATGCACGGGACAAACTGGGCATCAGCTGGCAGAGCTGTGAGAACGAGAAGCAGGGCATGCTGGTGATGTCGTGGGAGGGGCGAGTGGGCGGCTCGGGGGTCGAGCCGAGTGAGTTTCAGCTGTACGTGATGGCACTGAACGCACTGTGGGCAGACACGGGCATACAGGAGGCGTACACAAGACGCTCCGAGTTCCAACTGGTGAGTAAATTTGCCCCGTCACCAATAACTTTCCCAAATGTATGTGCCTTTAAGTAGAAAATATCTCAAGTTATTTTACCTTGAAGTTTCACATTCAGATTTTTCGTTCATCTGGATTTAATTCTAAAGCTCTGTGTGATGGAAAGCTAGCCAGAACAACACACTTGGATGAGGATAACGTGGGTGGATGAATGACTGGGACATAAGAGGATTTTTTTTGGATAATTCAGTCTCATATACTCTGAGATGATACAGTATATAAGACTTTTTTTTTCCATGCATCTCATTTTAATTTCATTTTAGCAGTAGCAAGCCATCTCTAAAAAGTTCTTGAACTAGTCGTGGAGTGGTCTAAGGCAGTGGTTCCCAAAGTAGGGGTCGAGACCTTCTGGGGGGGGGTCAAGAGCTACCAAGAGGGGCTCACTAGATCAGTGGTTCTCAACTGGTCTAGTTTCAGGACCCACCACCATCTCCTTAATAAGAAATCACGACCAAAGTTTCAGATGTTTTTCAACCAAGGAGATTTGTTATGAAAAAGTGTGCTGTTTTGTGACCTCAGATGGAACAAAACATACTACAGAACAAAGAAATGAAGCAAAACAAAAGTGATTTTGAGACTATTTGACACTTTTTTTTCCTCAGGCACACTTTGGCGACCCACTTAAAATGACTCCACAACCCACCAGTTGAGAACCACTGCACTAGATGCCTTCCTTGTGTGTCTGTTTATTAAGTTTTGTATGTCCACTCAGTGCTTAGGTCTATACATGGACATTACTTGTATTCTGCTTCAAGCCTTTCCTTACAATGAATTACTGTATAAAATAGTTTTTAATGGTTTTTAAGGCAGTTTTATTATTTTGTGTCGTTCTAATGTGTTAACAGTGTTTGGATAGGCCTATGAGTGCTTGTGTGGGGCTGTGCGCTACGTTACATGCCATAGCCACCTCCAGGGACAGTGGGGGTCCCCAGTCTATGGCACCCTTAATTTGGGGGTCACATGCTAAAAAGTTTAGGTCTAAGGTATCTAATCACGCAACACTGATTGACACAAAATCCTTATAAAATTGATCTTCTAAGTGAGACTCTTTAGCTAAATCCTCCCAGGACTGTCCGTTTTAAAAGTCAGCCTGCTGTTTATTCACTGACCAGGAGTCATCATCGATCATAGATTACTCACAGGCTTCACAGACGGTAGACAAAGAACATCAGAATGAGCACATTTCAACACATTTCCCATATCAGTTCATAAGGGGACAATGTGTCAGTGTTTAGATAACTGCTTGTATCAATACGAATTTGATCGTCAATACGCAGGTTTAAACAAATACTTTCTGAAGCTACCCAGAAAAATGTCAACATCTAGATACTAAAAGCTCCTCTGAAGTTGTTTTAGCTAGTTTTGAAAAATGTAAAAAAAAAATAATAGTAATTACTTTTTAATTACCGTATTTTCCGCACTATAAAGCGCACCGGATTATAAAGCGCACCTTCAATGAATGGCCTATTTTAGAACTGTTTTCATATATAGGGCGCACCGGATTATAAGGCGCATAGAATAGAAGATACTGCAGTCAAACGCTTGACTGGGGTTGCGTTATGCATCCACTCCTCTTCTCCCAAACGTGGAGGGGAACTTTTCCCTGATTCAGTAAACACGTAGTAAAAGAAACAGTCTGATACCACTAAATCAAACGTTAGTGCATTCACAATATAGTAACTCTCGAAATTGTTCATTCATTAGTGCATTCACAATAACTCAACGCTGTTCAAACGTTAATGTGCATATTCACAATATCTCCCAGCCTTGTTCAGTTGTAAACACGTAAAAGAAACACAGTCTGATACCGCTAATTCAAACGTTAGTGCGTAACTCAACATTGTTCAGTTACTATAACACGTAAAGCTCACTTTTTCAGTTCATTCCCCGTCCACGAATCCCTCGAATTCTTCTTCTTCAGTGTCCGAATTGAACAGTTGGGCGAGTACGGCATCCAACATGCCCGGCTCCCTCTCGTCATTATCCGAGTCAGTGTCGCTGAGCGCCGTGCACAACCAGTATGGATCAACCAATTAACCAATTGATCCATATATAAGGCACTCCAGATTATAAGGCGCACTGTCGTTTTTTGAGAAAATCAAAGGCTTTTAAGTGCGCCTTATAGTGCGGAAAATACGGTAACTACAAAAGATGGCAAGACTCTCAGGGAGAAGACTGATTCTTTCTGTGCAGTTATTTTAAGTTCCTGCAAAGCAAAGTCAGTGTAAGAGCACGCTGCTAAGACTGGTTTTCCTTTGCATTTTCCACTGAAAGATTCACATAGTGTGTTATTGTTGACTGTTAAAAGACAGCAGTATATGATTTTTGTTGTAAAACACTTAAAACACATGTACAGGACAAGATAAAAAGAAGTGCTTTGTCCAAAGGGGGCACCAAAAAATGCCTCACTGGAGCTTTAACCTGCCTTGGCAGAGCTTAGATGTTAGATCATAGCGTCTCTATTTAGACCTGACATGTACCTGGTTAGGTCACTTATCTTTTTAAACAGAAAGTGAACAAAAAAAAATGTAGCAGCTAAACTATCCAAGTATCTGTTCATCCAGGCACACAAACAGATCCCCGTTTCTTTTCTCACCAGTTGTCTAAGCAAATCATCCTCTCTACAAATAGCATTTTTTATAGCAGCAATTCCGTGTGGTTTTATGAACAGCAGAGCAGCTAGAGAACCACTTCACATCACAAGCAACTCTACGAGAGTCTACAAATCTGCTGTGAAAGAGCAGACAGATTGTCAGCGACACTTAATGGTTGAACAGAATGTCATGAATAATCAGTAACCATAATGTCAACATGTTGAATGTCTCAAGGCAGCTGGTTTTGTCATCAGGAGGGTTTGTGTTGGCCGAAGTAGTTTATTAGCTCTGTTTTGGATGCGAGAATGCAGATTGACTTTCTGTCCAGGGCTGTACGTTTGACCTCTGACCTCCTTGTTACACATTTATCAGTGACAAAACAATCTGGAGTCAGACAGAAGCCACTTTGGTCTCTCTCTCACTTAACATACTGTAAGTGTGTGTATGTTAGACATCAGCCCACAGCTCCAGGTCAGACTGCCTCATCTTATCTGAAGTCCCTATATGATAAAGCTACTATAGTAAAGCTGCACAGGCGTTCAGACTTCTTTCAGGCTTAAAGGATTAAGTTGGTGATATTCTCTGTTTGCCTTATTGTGAGCAAATTCCATTTTAAACCAAAACCTACAATAAGTTAAAGAATGATTAGTGTATTCAGAGTCTGATGAAGCTTATTTCTCTCTTCTCAAGAGCTCGATTGTTGTATAAAATCTTTTTTTTTTTTTTTTTTTTTCAAACACATCAGTGAGCCTCCCTGTTCTACTGGCTGAAGTTGACCCAAGTATTTCAAAATGTGGAAACGTTTGGATTGAATGTAGCACAACATGAGTAAAGCTGTTCCTGTGGTTCTGTTGTCCTTGCTCAATATCGTTTTGCTGGCACACTGAGGAAGACTTTTTCAGCAGATTTATATTCTCAACAATGTTTGTCATTTGAAATGTTCGGCAGTATGCCCCAGGCACCGACATCTTCCTCAGTTGCTCTTTCATACATCTGAGAAATGTTAGGGAGATTTTTTTTTTTTTAAATATCTGATGGGAAGCTTAAAACATACTGATGTTGTACTCCCTGAAACCTACACCTTTAAATATTCAGTCCAGAAAGTTTTCTTCAGAAGTTGAAGTCTCTCAAGCTGAACAATTCTTCCCCATTAAAACCACATTTGGAATATCAATTTCCTTTATTGTTATGCAATTTGAACCGTGAAATAGTCCTAACAATGGATAACTTTTTACTTACCAGGGTCCAGTTTTTCAAAAAGTTTAATCTTGATCAAAGTGATCCAGATTTTGTAATCCCTTTTTTTTGGGATCTTGTAGATTTTGTCCTGGTTTTTCAAAGGCTTTTCAGATAGGATCGTTCTTGTTCCAGATACCCCAGATGCTGGCATTACAGTTTCTGAGGAAGAAATGTAAAATTATTGTTTTTGCATCTAGTTTTTCTAATTCTAGTTATAAATATTTTATGTTTAATTATTTAATTTAGAATGGATATTGTTTTGGTATGGTCTGTGTTGCTTTACTATGCAAGCAGTGAACAGAAGAATAATTAAATATGTGTCATGTGTCCTACATGTCTCTCCATCCACCTTGAATCCGTCATTGCTTATTCAGAAGTTACTATCTTTGTTAACTTTTGATTAGATAGGCGCAAATGTAGCATCTTTCAGCACATTGTTTTGATTGTGAAGCACTTAACTTTGGTTTCGCTTTGACCAGCAGGCTGTGAAAAAAAAACTAACTGTACTAAACACCAAACTGCAGACAGTTAGTGGTTAGAGTAGTGTCATATAGGGAATAAAGGCCAGATTTTCCAACACAAGGTAGTGGAGACTAAAAACAGAGCTAGAAGAACTTAAAGTTGTGCACAATCTGTATATTCTTTTGTTTATGCAAAATGAACCTGCACTTGTGTCTTGATATGCAATTTTTTGGCAGGCCAAGTTTTCTGTATACTGACAATCAAAAGTTCATCTGATATGAGTAAAACTAAGTTTTTAAATACAAGGATCCCTTTGCAGCTCTGTGGGTGGAAAAAGTCCCCAAATATGAACTATTTACTCTTCTGTTGCTAATGAAATTTAAGTTATACAGGCTGGTATGAAGGTTTTGTTGTTGTTAATAAATTCAGTTAGTAGAAACAGGCTTCAGGGAGAAATGGGATAACATATTAGTGGGTTTTGTTTAACATTAGATTTATTGACAAGAAAGAAGAAAAATATACAGTAACATCAGCCTTATCCTTTCAAAGGAAGAAAAAACAAAATGTCAACTGGGAAGTGAATGTGAGTTAGATATCTCCTCCTCCTCCTCCTCCTCCTCCTCCTCCTTCTCTCTCTCTCACTGCTCTCTGAGAGGTTTTCCGGGGATACCACTGTCAGCTTTTCCCAGGCACGGCTGGATCTGGGCCACAGGCTGACAAGGAGAGCCAGGAAAGATGGAAAGACATAAAAAAAAAAAAGAGAGAGGAGGGAGGGGGTGAGAGTGTAGGGGACAGAGAGACAGAAGGAGATAGCTGAGAGAAATATAAACCAAAAGCCGATACATGCAAGAATTTTGTTTACTCGCAGGCTTCTCTGTGTTACCACCACACCCAGATAACACACAGTTTGATGTAGGATATACGCACACCAAAAAGACCTCCTCTGCTTTATGTAAACAGACTGTATGTCCTGCTGTGACAGCAAACTGCTGCCGTTGTCTCCAGCCACACATGCATCCTGATTAAAGGAGGTACAAGTTCACTGTAAAGGGAACTTTGAAGCCCCACAAAGACGTAAAGAAGCTATAAATGCTAGACACACACACACACACACGCACACACACTTCCCACATGTGGTCGACTAGATGAGCTTACTGCCTGGTAGTCTGCTGTATTGGCTATAGTGCATACATACAATATTTAATTGTTTAAGTGTTGAGGGAGTGGAAAAATCTTTTTCTGTAAATTCCTGTGTCTGGGTTTCGTTTTGTTTCCCTTGTTCACAGTTCTTCTTTGCTAGCTTCCTCTCAGTGTGTGGTACGATATGTGTGTGAATGTGTGTGCTATGGAACAAACATTGTTTCCAGGGCAACCAAATAGAAATATCATATGTACTGTATGTATAGAGCAACTTTCCTTTTTTTGTTAGAAAGTTTAAAAAAAAGTTGTTCAATAGATGACAGATGTTGTTACAATCATTTCTCGCAGTTTCGACATCACTGTTCCCACGGAAATGGTCGCTGAATTTTATTGCAGTTAATGCCTCATTACTCAAAATGAGTGTAAACAGAATGGCTGAAAGATTGAGTCATGTTTTTTTGTTGTTTCTTTGATTTGTTGTGTTTTCTCTTCAAAATACATTCAGTTGTCATTGATTTTCCTTTAATGATGTGAAAGACTTCTGCTGATATCCTGGCAATACAATGTTCATCAACACTGAATGATGTGATGACCAAACCTGTGACAACACGCCTTATGTTTGAACCAATCAGAGTTAACCATCTGATGGTCCTGTGATAAATTCAGTTTCCACTTCGAACATTTTAGGGGAAAATTTCGGCTCATACGAATATCTTGTCAAATGTAAGAAATAAATTCAGAGATTAGATTAAAGTTTAAATTGAAGTTTATAATCATAGATTACATCTTTGCTCTGAAGTTTATTTATTAGTCAAAAGATTTATTGATTAAAAAAAAAAAAGAGAAAAGTTGATGGAAAATTATCGATTGAAGATTTGTTAACTTGTGGCTGATGCACAGTGCCATCAGAAAACCTTCCTGAATGTTTTTTTTTCTTTCTTTTTTTTTAAATTTAACAATCAAGACTATATATGCTGTTTTAAATACGTAATAATTTATTGCAGCTTTCCTTGTGAATTTACTGTTTGAATGTTGGAATTTGGGATCGATAAAACAAGCACTGTGAATACAGTGTATCATCTTGGACATTTTTTCAACCTTTTTTTTCACATTTTAAAGACTTTTTATTGAGAACTGCAACAATTGTGGTAAACACAGTACACAAGAGGCAAACAAATACCTGTGGTGTCACAAACACACACACACACACACACACACACACACACACACACACGCATACTCACAGACAAACACACTCACTGCAGAATGTTAGCTTACTCAGGTCTTTGCTGTGATAAAGCCCCTAATCTGCTCATACACGCCATGAATGGAGACATTCCTCCAGCCTTACTCAACCGAACACACACACTCAACCGAACACACACACACACACACACACACACACACACACACACACACACACACACACACGGCCATACTTAACCATTGTACTAGATAAAAATCTGAACAAGGGACTTAAGCTCATCCTTTGTGTAATAAAAAGGAAATTATTCTGATATCTAGTTTGATTTTGAAGCATCTGTTTGTTTGATCTAATGCTGATTTGCAGTTTTAGTGTCTGTGGGAAGCATCTGTGTGTGTACATGTGTGAACTAGCATGTGTGTCTCTGTCTGTGTTTGCATATCCCTTCATCTATGGGAATTCCCCTCTCCCTGCTTTTCCCTCCGTTCAGCCCCTCACCCTGTTCACGTCCAGCTCAGCCAATTAGAGACCTCGGCTTTGTGTTTCCTCCTGCGGCGAAACTGTAGGTCAGTGGTGGGGTCGCAGGGTCAAATCTCACCAGCACAAGGGTCTCGTTTCCTGGTTGTTGTGCGACATGTCAGGACTGAAAGAAAGTCGATTTGCAACCACGTGAAAAGGGAGATTTCTCTGATTCTGTCGGACCGCTCTGAAACAAACTGGAAATCTGCCAAGTTTGACAGGAGTTTGTTTTTTTTCTATTGGGTTAAAAGGAATACTTCTATATTTTAGTTTAAGTGTGTTGATGTTCGTTAATGGGACTCTCAAAATGACTTTGTAACTTTGTTCTGTCCAACTTGCTTATCCCTCCCTCCCCCATGTCTCTATCCTCTGTTTTCACACACAGCTGTTTCCTGTTGTGTGCGTGTGTGCGTGCGTGTTTTTGTGTGTTTAAGACAGAGAGAGGAAGGGAGAGATTTACTTTTTTATTTCAAATATTAATAATCAGGAATCATGAGAATAAAGAAGTTAAGATTTTAGTTTTTCCTTTTTAAGTGTAAGTTCAGTGTAACGTTCAGTGTAAGTCCTGTTGCTGTGATTTAAATTGTACCTCCTTTGCTGCTGGAAACTTCCACTGGTTTCCATTTATTTCTGAACAGTATGCAGTTAAATACCAAATTACAGCTCAACGCTAGCTTAGCATTGTCAAGAATGAAATCAGACTTGATGTTCACTGTGATGGCTTACAGGCTTAGAAAGTCTGCTTATTGATATTCACAAATAAACAGAAAGAAAAGGAACTGGACTCAGGCCCTGAAACGAAAAGAGTCCCTGCCTCCTCCCACTGTTTTAGATGAACGTATGTGTAAAATGTATTGTTTACTATCTGTTAGGGGTTGACCGATTATCGGCTTGACAGATTATCAGAGGCTGATATTCAGAATTTGGCCAATTATCATTTAAGCAGGTTTTTTTTTTTTTACAAATCAACATTGACATTAATTTATTCAAAAGTGTGCTACTTTGGCTTCGCTGCAGGTTGTGTATCTCCCTCTGGGTCTGTTTTCACTCACCACCCTGTCTAATGTCCCGCCCACAACACTTTCTGATCGGTGAAATGTCACACGTGTTACAGCCCATCAATAGCCCAAAATTGACGAAAACCAGAAATTCATGACAAGAGCATTAACTTTGTGTTGCTACAAATCAGCTCGTGAAGTTTTATTAGATAATGTAAGTTAGCATTAGTAGGATATAATACATTTTATTTTTATTTGCAGTTAATGACATTTTTGATACATTAAACCGAATGACGGTGCACACACATCATCATCCAGTCAATAATAAAGCCTAAATTTACAGGAAAATACATCACAGAATCTAAACTTCATTGAAACATCAAAACTCTTTGACATGTTTATGAAATTAATTCTGAAAATGCTTCATTTGAAAGCAACAATCAGGACACTTGTTGGGCTGGCCTCAGTTTGTTTTCAGCATCAGAACGGATTAAAACAAGTTACAGAGTGTGGTTCAGTCTAGGTCAGTGCACGCAGACGATCAGCAGATAAAATAATAAGACGTGAATAAGATGTGCAGCTTTTTATGATTTTAGTAGATTTCCTTCTGATTAAGGTGCTGTCTGTCATTATTGTAAATATTGTTGTAAGCATATGACTGGAATCAATAATAAAATAAGCATGTACTTGTTCCTGTCATTAAATTGTAAAGCTGCATAAATAGTTTTGGAGTATTTGGTAAACATAGCAGAACAGTGACATATTATTACTTTATGACGTTATGATAGCAAACGTGTGAGCAATCAGCAGACACAGGGGAAACAATCACACTCATTCAAAGTGGGTTCTCTGCCCGCTCAATGAACACATTTGAATATATGCTGTGTTATTTTGGTTTCTCTTTAGCCGCTGAAGTGCTCCACTTTGTTTACCAACTGGCTGCATATTCTCTCTGCCTGCTAGAGACGGAAAGAAATGCTCAGTCATGGCTCATAACTCTCTCTGTGTGTTAACAACTACAAGAGGCTCCTTTCACATAGACGTTTGATGTGTTGTTAAAATATAAACATTGAAAAGTGCAGCTTAAATGTCTGTTTCCAGGTTTCTGTGTTGCTGTGCAAAGATGTTGACAGGATGTGATGATGAAACAGGGACATAGTTTAAAACACTGGACTGTTGATGAAGCCTGTCCATATGATAGAGATCAAAAGGGGGGATTTATTTTACAAGAAACCAAAAGAGAAAGATAAATGTGTGGTTGGTCGCATGGTTTCTGTTCTTTCTAGCAGCTTTGAGAGAGTCCACATTGATGTTTTATTAAATCAATAACTGCAGTATGACAGAAACCATGACAATTGTATTAAGAAGAGATGAAATACAATAAATGAAATTGTTCCAGTAATCAAATGAAGGGCTTTAATGTGATTATTTGGGGCTTTTAAGTTGGATTGATGTTAAAAGAAATGACTCAGTTTCCCATGTGTAATGATTCTTATTCTTCTTTTTCCCCTGCAGAGTGAGTCAGTGAAGTACTTCCTGGATAACTTGGATCTTATTGGTCAACCGGTGAGTCACAGTGATGAGTTCAATTTTTGAGTCAACTTTATTTTTCTTCACCTCACAGTACAAAAAAAAAAACAAACACTGTATCTCTCCGTCTTTTTTTTCAGAACTATATTCCAAGCAAGCAGGACATTCTGTTTGCAAGAAAAGCCACTAAAGGCATCGTCGAGCACGACTTTGTCATCAAGAAGATTCCTTTCAAGATGGTGGACGTCGGAGGTCAGAGATCGCAGAGGCAGAAGTGGTTCCAGTGTTTTGACGGGATCACGTCGATACTCTTCATGGTTTCATCGTCCGAGTACGATCAGGTAGCGCACCCAGCATTTCTCATCATGTAAGGCTGTGATATTTAAAGGTTAGTCACACAGCCTGATCATTAATCACCTGACCTGCAGGGTTAGGAAATGCACCAAAAAGATCAGAGAGGGAGAACATCTGAGATTTACACAAAGCTCTCTTTGTGTTCTGGAAACTTGATTGTTCCCTCTGCCATGGCTGCAGTTCAAATCGGCAGTCATATGATGACGACTGAATCCGTAATTAGTGCACAGATAAAAAAAAACCTGGGAAAAAAAAAAAAAAAAAAACTCCCCCAGAGACAATAGTTGTTGTGTGTTTGTGTTCCAGGTCTTGATGGAGAATCGGGCGACAAACCGATTGGTGGAGAGCATGAACATCTTTGAAGCGATTGTCAACAACAGGCTCTTCCTTCACGTCTCCATCATCCTCTTCCTCAACAAAACAGACCTGCTGGTGGAAAAGATCCGCACGGTGGATATCCGCAAGAACTTCCCCGAGTTCAGAGGAGACCCCCGCAGGCTAGAGGACGTACAGGTACACATACACATTGAATGTTAACAACACTATCTGCGTGAAGCAGCAGCTGTAAGATGTTTGGTCATAGTGTTTCCTGTCTGCTGTACGTGAGCTAACTATGCTTTCTTGCACCAACCATTATCTATACCACCTATCCCGCTCAGGGTCACAGGGGGGCTGGAGCCCACCCCAGCTTTCATTGGGTGAGAGGCGGGTACACCCTGGACAGGTTGCCAGTCAATCACAGGGCTGATGCATAGAGACAATCAAACATTTACACTCACCCTCACATTTACAGGTTATCTAGATTTGCTAATAAACCTAAGAAGCATGTCTTTGGACTGGTCGTCACCAAGAGAGACGACATGCATGCAACAGGGAGAGCGTTCACAAACTCCACACAGAAAGGCCCCTGTACTGAAGGGATTCAAACCAGGAACCTGTACTGCAAGAGTGCAGTCCTGTTGCAGGTCAGATCTGGGCGATGAAAGAGCAGAGGGAGAGATGGCAAATCTTGCAGCGTATGTAGACTGCCATTTGGAAGGAGAGTGTTGTCAGGAGATTGTGGATAATGAGGCATGTCGAGTGTGATCAGTGCAGCTCGAGTTGACTGCCTGAACTAGCTCGCATGCGTCGCCTCATTAATTAAGAAATGGCAGCAAGTGTGTGTCGCAGTAGGTTGCTGCATCTCAAAATATAAATCAAAAGATTTGTAAAAAAAAGGGATCAAAAAAGAGTCATTTCATCCATGTTGATATATTTATTTCACTTTGTTTGTTCTTTTTATCTTGTGCTGTTCTACTTTGTCACTTTCCCTTTCCCCTTTGTTGTAGTTTACTTCCCTCCGATGTTTCTTCTCCTGTGTGTGTGGTTGTTTTCATCTGTCTGATCACTCTCACCTTCCCATTAGGTCGATCATTTCTGTCTCCCCCTCTTTATTTGACCAATCATCTTCAACCCTTGCTCCTTGTGTGGAAGTTTCCTTGTGGCTCCACTTGTGCTTTCACCTGTTTTTCAATTGTTTTTCTTGAGTTTGTTTTGCTTTAGATTTCTTCTTCTTCTCTTCTCCCATACAAACGTAAACCTTTTGGTATTCCCTTTTACATTATATTTCATTTAATACTCTTAAAGCATGTCTAAGGATCCTCTCTCTCTCTCTCTCTCTCTCTCTCTCTCTCTCTTCGATGACAAAACCATCAAAGTAATAATAACTTCATAATTTCTGCCGTAAGCGTCTCTTTGTGTGATAGAAATGTTTCTCATCTTGACATTTGGATATTGATATAGCAGTAATGTTGTTATTATAGCAACATTCCTGATCTCTACTTTATTATAGCAGCAACAAATATTCTCTAAGGTCTTAAAAACATTAAACTAAAGTAAAAATGATCTTACAAAGGCGCATTATTGCAACATTTCAGAAAAAAACTCTCCTTGCCCTAAATGCAGATCATATGACCATTAGCACACAGCAATACACTTACAGGTTTGAAGAGGAATAATGCTGCTGGTTATTAGAATTGTTGCAAACTAAATGAAATTACAGCTTGCCTCCCACACAGACATGAAGTAGTTTCATCATTAAATGCTGACTTTGACTGTACAACAGCTCCAAACATAGATAACAAAGTCAATAATGTCTGTGTGTCTTTATCTACGTTACATAAACAACTGGAACTGTTTTCCTCCAGAAAAGAGTGACGTAAAAGAGGCAGGAAGAAACATGTCATGACTGATAAAAAGGAAGCAGATGTGGCTGCGTCATTTGAGAAATACTACAAACATGCAAAAACAATAATTCCGGAGTTGTCGTGAAAAAACAGCAGCTACTTTTCTTTCAGGGTTACTGGCTGTTAACACTCAGCATTCACTGAGAAAGTCATTATCCCAAAAGTGATATTAACTTTAGAGCAATTTAATAAACTGTAGCTCTACAGTCATGGATTGTTTTGATGCTGTGTCATATTTTATTACTCATTAAATCAATGATTATATTAACATCTATCAAACCAAATCAATCAATCTTTTTATAGAGCCGATTCATAACAAATGTTATGCCAGGTCATTTTACAGAGAACTCTTTGTTAAACTATTTATTTACAAGGTCATTTCAATACTTGGAATTCAGAGTTTAATCTAAAAGGTTAATAGATCTGCTAATATTTCTCAAAACATTTCACCTCTCATCCCTACACTGATGACTGAGATCCTGCAAAGACATTTCTTACAGGCTCTTCATGAAGTGATTCCAAACGAAGCTTCCTGTTTGAAACCATTAAAGTTAGAACATTTTAATGAGGGGAGAAAAGACCCTGCTGTGACAGTCTTTCCTTTCAATTCAAATGTGTCTAAACTTTTACAAAACATAAATGTTTACATGCATAAAAATCTTGCTATGCGACTTTCAGATCGAAAATAAAAGTTATTTTTTAAGGTCCCCCTCCCCTCCTGTCTCCACACGACCCTCCTGTCCTGTTCTTTCTTAGGATGGAAAGTCTTTTAGTTCTCTTTCAGATGTCATCTTGTGAAGACTCTCCATTATGATTAACTAATAGTCACAGCTTCCCTTAGTGGGCAGGGATGTCTCACTTCCCCCATGGGGCGGCAGAGCTAATGGTTGGACAGGGAGGCGCTTACTCAACAAAAACAACAATAGTTAAATTAAGTTATAAAACATAAACAAGCTAAAGGAGTCACCGTCCCATCCACATGAGTACAGATCCGAGAGCAACAAATCCAGAGGGAGTGAATACACTTCCTTTTCAGGAAGTCGATTGCTAAATCAGTATTCAGAATGTCACGTGTCTTAAAGATGGAAATATCTGTATATGAATTTTGAATTTGTATCTCTACTGTCAAGTATATCACCCAACATCTGTGAGGTCATGCACATGTAAAAAATCTGATAATGATCCTGGTTACCAGAGATGGACTTTTTACCAGAAACAAACTGTCTAAGCGAACCACGATTTGTCTAGTCACCCTCCCCGATAACAGCTGCTGGGTTTCTCCTGTTCATGATGACTTCTAAGAAATCAGATAACTGTCAAAAGCAGACTGTAACTCTGTGTGTCTCCGCTCTGCTCCACCATCCAGGCGTTCTTGGTGCAGTCGTTCAGCAGTAAGAGGAGAAACCGGGGGAAGCCACTGTTCCACCACTTCACCACCGCCATAGACACAGAAAATATCCGTTTTGTCTTCCATGCCGTCAAGGACACCATCCTGCAGGAAAACCTCAAAGATATCATGCTGCAGTGACCTTCACTCTGCAAACATCATTGAAACTGTGAAAAGATGCCATGAATGCAGGCCCAGAGGACTACAGATCAGGCCTGCTTTCATCTGACACTACAGCCCATGAGAGCATGTTAACACTGACCTGTGGATTTAACAAAACTCTGAACCTCTGGAAACTGTGAGGGTCACTGTGGACGAGACCCTCCATCTAACCTGTATAAATGTGTGTGTGTGTGTGTGTGTGTGTGTGTGTGTGTGTGTGTGTGTGTGTGTGCTGAAAAGACAGTTACCTTTCTTCTTTTAGCTCTCAAGTATGTTTTCCTTCATACACAAGTTAGAAAATGCTTTTAAAAAAAAAAGGAGAGAAAAGCACCGACAACACACAACCTTAGCACTGAAAGTGTGTTTTTTCTCAAATGTATATAGTTTTTTTTTTTTAAATGACAACCGTGTCACTAAACAAAGTCAGACTGCTGCCGGTTAAAGCTCAAACTGCGTAAAGAGAAACAGGGAAGACAGAAAAAGGCCAAAAAAAAAAAAGGGCAGTTTAGAGCGAGTAGAAGAAGAATGCCTTATCTTGATGTACACGTGATGGAGGAGAGGGCTGAGGGTTTGGGCTCAGACTGGTCATATGCTGTGTTATGTGATAAGGTTGCACAAGTGTTCCTGTCAGTGGACTTTAACAGAGGAAAGAGATGAATCCCTCTTTTGGTTCACTGTGTTCCTTCTTCTATCTTTACCTCTCCTCCTCTGCCGTCATACAAGAGATGAGCAGCTGCAGATAACAAGTCTTTATCCTACTTCTGTACTCTTCTGTCTTCTGTCGGGCACAATAGACAGATTATTGGTCTCCTTCTTCTAAAGCAGAAACAGTCGACTCTGTATTAAGAGGCTCTAGTTGAAACAGGTTAGCGCTGTGCTTTGAAGATTAGTGATTCAAAAAATATATACATACAAATGATGCGCTTTTTATCTGCATTTCCTTAACAAATGTCTTTAACAGAGCCAGTTTACACTTGCATAGGGGGGTGTAGCAGCTAAAGTGTCTGATAGTAGCCCCAGGAGTTGGTTGAGATCATTAGTTGATTGGTGTTTGAAAGCCATTATGGGTAAAGAGAAAAAAAAGGACAGAAACGCAAAATCGGAGCTGAAAAAATGAGAAAACAAATAATAAGCACTATTCTTCATTCATTATGTTTTTTTCCCCCATACACCCACCCTCCCTATTTATTGTTTTTTTTTTCTGTACCAATAATGGCACTACCATGTAATACAGACACATTGACCTCTAAATAGGAGCTGTTCACTTTCTCTTTCTCTTATGAGCTTATCTAATGGCATAAACGTAATGCATTAAACGAGCAGACGTGGTAAAGATTGTGGATTTGTTGTTTCCAGCTGACATCAGAGGTAATGTGTGTACTAGTAACCTAGTAACTATGTACAAGGCATATGTTAGTATTGTATTCACAGTTTGTTGCTCCAAGGTGGCTAAAGTCACTTGAATAAGGTTTTAATTTGATCAATAGATTATTCATAACTGATGGTCCTTTGTAAAAAAAAAACAAAAAAAAAAACATAACCACTAGTTGCAGCTATATTATATCCTGGCACTGATTTCTGATGGTGCTTAAATTGTTGACTAGATCTTTTTTTTTCTGAGATGACCAGTTTAGTCCATATCCTCCCCCCTTTTCCTCAATTCACCTCCTTCAGATGTTTTAAACGCAAATGTTGATTTCTTATTCCCAACATTTCACGATGTACATTCTGGTACGTAGCACAGGACACAGCTGGGCCACTCCCCCCACCCCACCCCCACCCCCACCCTGAAGATCCCCTCGAGGGGTTTGAGGCTAATCATAAGCACTTCCACACTCCTTTTTATTCTTACTGTATAAACTGTGTCATTTGTAAGTATTTGTGTGTGTTTTGCATTGTAACTAAAGTCCTTTCTGTTCATGTTTATACATATTGTACATAGAATACTGTAAGTATGTGACTGTCACTGTGTGTAATGTGGTAACCTTACAATACAAAACCACTCTGTCTAACAGTACCACTGTAACCGTAAAATTGCTGTAAAATTTGTCGTAAAACTAACCTACCTTTCCCACTCACACAAGTTGTTTTGTAAGTTCATTGCACTGGAGAGAAGACAACCAGAATAGGACAAAATCTGGAGAACAAAGTTAAAGAAACCAACAGGCAGCAGGCTTTAATGGTTGAGCAGAATGGAGTCAGAAGATGAAAAGAGGGGAGGTCTTCTGCTGTATTTTTTTTTTTTTGTTTGTTTCCCAGTGCCTTGGCTCTGTGCTCTGTGGTGAAATACACTGCCGTTTGCTGACATGCTGTTTCTTTACTTTCTCAGTGTGGGCGTCTGTGTGTGTTTGAGTGTATATACTGCAAAGTAAGGGGTCAAGATCTCCTGAGCTGCAAGGATTAGCAGGAAGTCAAGAGAGACAGAATTTAAAAAATGAAGTTAGAGACATGGGGGGGAAGAAACCCAAACATGTTTTTCTTATATCCGGGGGCAGTTTTATGAACACGAGAAGCCTTCTTACAAAACCAGCAAGCAGAGTTTCTTTGCTCCTGTTAACTTATGTTAGATGACTGACTGATGTGCAGCCTGAAGGCTAACCGTGGGCTTTAGTTACACATAATGTAATATGAGGCTCATCAGCTAGATGTATCAGACCACTGGGTATGAGAGCAGAGCTAAAGTCAGTCGATATCTCAGTTACCCAGCAGAGTCTGACCTTTGCTTTGGCTTTTAATCACAGCAGCTCAGATACATAGCAGACTGAGAGTCTCGGGAGAGAGGGAGGGAGCCCGGAAACAACCAGAGCAGAGCTTTAGCGTTGTTTTAGGAATCACGAGCTAACGTGGATTTATTTTCACAAGATGGATGCAGAATATCATTTCTAGAGACGCACTCTGCACAGATGCATGTGACAGACCGAAAAAAAAAGACAGAAATGACCCTGTGAATGTGTGGGCACAGGCAGGGGGAGGGACAGACAAAGGGAGGAAGAGGGAATACAAGAAAAAGTAAGAGGAGAGAGGGGGAGGAGGTCATGTTTCCTCTGTTGAGCCCACTTCCTGTCCTGATCCCAAAATGGAGAGACTGTAAGAACGACATCCCTCTGCTTTTCTTAGTCGCCCCCCCCCCCCCCCCCACACACACACACACACACACACACACACACACACACACACACACACACACACACACACAAACATCAGAGAAACCCAAACCCGCCTCCTGCGGTATGATACAAAGGAGATGAGAGGGAAAAGCAGGGAGCAGAAAAATATATCCCCAGTGGTCTCTGAAACATAAGGAAGCCTTGGTTTATAGAGGCAGAGAGGCGCAGGACATTTTGTCCTCAAGTTCCACCACACTATTTGTGTGTGTAGTGTTTGCCCTGCATGTGTGTGTGTGTGTGTGTGTCTGTCTGTCTTATCTTTATTTGAGGATCATTACCAAAACACCAGAGCTCAAAAGTTCATTTTAAACTCTGAGTACTAGCCTGATTTTTTTTTTTATCTTGAACTTGTGTAGTTAATATTTTAAAAGTTGAATTATACAGACACTCAGCTTGAATTTAACTTAAAGACACATGAGCAGAACAACTTGTGATAGTCTGTGCTAGTCTTTTTTTCGTGTTGTAAAAACTTCTCTTCATTGCACAAATGTTTTACAAATTCTAAGATATGAAATCCCTTAGACTTAAATGCACACATAATACTTGTATAACACAAAATACATATCAAATAGCTCTTTGTTTAACTCAAAATGTATACATCAAGTATAAAGATGTAAAACTTCTCATTTATGTCCAATAAAGCAGGACGGCTGACAGCATATATCAACAATATATGAATATGGGCACCACCTTACAAAAACTAAAAGACACTCCTTGTACAACACTGCTGGAAAACATCTTAGTGACCACAAAGAATTAGTCATAGAAACTAACAAGTATTACCTCAGAAACAGAGTATTTACCAAAATATCCACCTTAAAGATATACATTGCAAAACTACCAAAAACTCCATGGATAACTACCGTACCTTAAAACTTGAAGCAACTCACCTGTACTTGAAAAATACCAGAAACACCTTTGCAGGCACATGGCACCTGTCTTACATTCAGCCTGCACGGAACAAGAAAGTATGCTATGTACCATTACAAAACACAACAATATGAAGATAAAATATCAAGTACTAAAGAGTACATGCAGATTCTGTCTGTCTGTTGCATTAACTGTATTTGAAACATGCCCCTCCTAATGCAAATTACATCCAAACATCAGGGGGTTTTTCACCTCTAAATTGTCACTAATAAATCTGAAGGAAGCCGATAGCTTGCTGTAGCTTCATCTGACTGCATGAAAATGATGTGAAAGCATGGTCATTATATCCAGGCCTCCATCCAGTGGGTAAAATGTATGCATGCTTAGTGAGAAAGCACTGCTTGTTTACATTAGACCAGTAAGTTTGTCTTGTTATTGCAACAAATTCCGACTTAGTGATGTGTTAATTGCGAGTACTCATGCTGTGATAATGATGAAATTGTGATTTACTGTGCAGACCTACCCCATAACACCCTTTGAAAACACCTACGAATCTTAATTGAAATACCAAAAGAAGCAGACACTGTTTAAAGTCTAAAATGTTTTACCAAATAAGAAATCTGCTCAAAGATTTTAAGGCAGCCCGTCCAGAGTCTGTGTGAATCAGCCTACAGTAAAAGCATGCTAAGGCTGGCAAACAACAGTGCCACTGAACATTGAATATGAACTATTAACATGAAATCTAACACACAGGGTTCCTCGTTTTAACATAGTCAGACTGAAGCACTCTTTTGTTAACTAATGGATCCTAAAATAAAATGAGGAGCGCCATCCCACATCAGATGTTTGTTGGAGGGAATTGAAATCCTGTGTTTGGTGTTTAAAATGTTATGTGTGTTAGGCCTATATCTTCGTATCTTGTCTTTCATTTTTCATGAACCACCTAAACAATCGTATCGTATCACAGAATTACCCCCGGAGACACTCAGTGAAAACCACTGTAATCTATATTTTAATAGTCCTGGCGGTTATGCCTGCACTCCAGAACATCAGATAACCACCTAGCAGACACTTTGGAGCAACCAAAATGTGAACTCTCATGCAACACCTTTGCAGTCAACTGCCTAGCTGTACATTTCCAACCCCCAACAATTATATAGTACCTACTGCAGAATAAAGCAATCCCTTATTGTAACTAAATAGATTGGTTATGTATTATTAAAATGACATCATAGAAATAAAGGATTTTAGAAATATCGTAGGGGTAAGAGAACTTCTGTGGACATCAACTCAAGTATACATTGAGTTGTTTGTGAATGAGTGTGTGTGGGAGTTTGTATACAGCTGCATGTTAGTGAGTAAATTTTGTCTCATGACTTTGGTTATGCTGACGTTTCCCTCAGGCTGTTTTGATTGGACCTACAACTGAACTCTGATATTTAATAATGAGACAAGTACTCCCTTGGTTTCTGACTTTACCCTCACACACACACACACCACACAGACATTTGACTCATGCAGTAAGATATAAACAACTATGGGTTCATTAGCAGATGATTTGGCCATGACACGTCGCTGGACCCCAGTCCTTCACGTCATTAAACCACTTCTGCTTTGGTTCACACATCTTATCTGCTCTGCAGGAAGTGTTTTATCTGTCGGAGCAGAGCCTTGTAAACAGATTTGTTTGTTTATCCGGGGAGATGAGCAAAACAGGTAAACTCTTGCACATGGAATAGATGTGATGACTACAGGTTGATACAATCACAAATATTACTATAATAATTAAACTGCACATATGGAATTAATTAGCTTTGTAAAGCTCTAAGCTAACTGGTACAATGCATCAAATGACTCAGTATATTTTTAATACTGTAGATGGTCCCTTACGAATTAAATGAACTAATTACCTGTTTGTTAGTCTTTAATCTTATCCTTCATAAGAAAGCTAGTGTGGGGAAAGGGTGACAGAGATTAACATGGCGGATGTCTCCCTCTGGTGGTACAAAATGAGTACTGCAACATTTTAATCTACTGTGAAGTTTAAGGCTGTCTAGCAGTTTAGACACTCAGTTTGTTTATAATAAAAAGATTGCCTGTTGGACATTTCTCAAGCTCATGCAAGAATGGATCAACAACATTATCCTTTAACTCAACAGCTTTAAAACCAAATAGTGGACCAAATAGAAGCTGATGTCTGCAGAATCTGTTATTCTATTATTATTTGTTATTTTATGTTATATAATAGAATTATTATCATTTTCTATTGACACTTACCTTTGCCTTCCTTTATAATTTTTCTGAAGAAAAAAAATCCTTATGTCGATTATTAACTTGTAGCAGCTTTTGTGAATCAATGAAACGACAAAAGGCAAGGCATCAGTCAGTTGTGTTTAGTTTTTTCTCTTTGTTCCAGTCAGTGAATGAGCAAATAAAACTCTTTAAACATTGCATTAAGGGGATAAATGAGTTCTCTTTTAACATATACAGCTTTTTAAAATGGCAGTATTAAATCTGCTGTTTTAATGTCAGGTATCATGTGGTGTTGATGTCTCAGAGGGCATAATTACTAATGCATCATTTACTCAGTAAATCATCAGAACACCGCTGTTATTCTTTCAGTTGTCAATTAGCACTAACAGCATGATGTTTTCTTCTCCACTTGGTTTAAGAATCAAAACAACCAGCAGCAATTACTCAGCCTGCAGGAAGAGGGGAGACAACCAAACTACCAATCTCTAGAATTAAGACTTTTTTAAAATGTTATTATTAAAATAGAAAAGATATATATCAGAACTAAAACTTCAACATGTTTCTTGTTGCCATTAAGTGTGTGTTCAAATATACACTTATGTGTGATAATGAAGACATTCTGTTAAAAAGAAAAGTGAGTTCATGCACAATGGGATCAGTCACATTGGACAGAAAAATAGTAGACTATTTTGAGGTAAGATTAGCTTTATAATTCTACACTCTTAATTTGCCTTAAAGTGGTCTAACAGTAAAATCATTTAAATATCGGTTTTCTTCAACATCAACCCGTGTTCGTATCTCACCTGGGAAGTTAATGTTTCCTTTACTCAGTTGTGTTAATAAACTGACAACAAGACTTAATTAACTTCATTCTTTGGCACAACCAAAGCATCAATTTAATGTATTCATTCAAAAAAGTACAAAAGTTAAATTCTTCATCATTCATTCTACTGCAATCTATAAACAACCCTTCATCCAGTAGTTACAGGGATACATTTCAAATGGCTCTGAGCATTCAGTGGTATTTTGGGATGCCAAATAAAATCAAGCAATGCCAAAACGTAGGAGTTCTGAAATATATTTCAACTGTGTTATAAACAGGTCTTTAAAAAATGTATTAATTTAAACGTTACAGACCAAACCTTTTTCCCACTGTTGCATTTGTGGAAAGCAAGTCTCAGTACAATCGTCAGTCAGTGTAGCTACATTACATAATGCAGTGTCAGACACACACACAAACATTAAATTCATCAAAACAAAAAGCAAAGTACATTTTGTGGAGTCTTTCTTTGGCATTTTCCAGAGTGGAGAAAAATACAGCAGTGACGAAGGCATGGAAGAAATAAATTCTTACTCACTGTTGATGTGCAGCCTTGCCAGCTGCATGTTTAACGGAAACACAAGATCTTCTTTAGATAAAACCTGCAGTAGTAACTTAACTTTGTGCTCCTCACACATGGGCTGTGACGCTTTTTATTTGCCCACTGTTTTACTGTTTATAACTTCATAAAATCAGTGTCATTTTCCCTGTTACATTAAAGTAATTTAAGGTAATTCTTTTTAAGGCCATAATGATTCATGTTACATCTCACTCTACTTATTTCCTGTCCATCTCTTACCTGATTTTATCATTTAATAAACTGGGTTAAAGAACAGGAAAAATGTGTCCAGTATGGAGCATTTTTGGATTATCCTATTAAACTACTGCAAACAAGATTAAAAAAAAATGCTTTTAGTTGGTTTCTCTTCCTTTGAGGCAAAAGAAAAAGGACTACAGTAGTATGAAGGATCATGGTGTGTATTTTGTTGGAGTAACATAAAAAGACATAATTTAAAAAAATATTTTCTTTTGCAAGTATGAAAAAAGGACAAATTGCCTTTCTGGAGCTTTGCACTTATTGTGCTTCGAATAAAACATATCCATAATAAAAGCTAAGGTGTTTAAAAACTTTTTCACAGCACTGTATCCCCCCCCCCCCCTGAAAACAGTTTGGACTTTACAAAAGCAATCACAGGGCACTGTCAGGAAACACTTTAGCTCAGAAAAACAGTATATGAATGTACAGTGTATGTGTAGGAGTGCAGGGTCAAGCTAATGCTATTTGGAGTTGGGGGGCAGATAGTAGGGGTGAAACAGTCTCTCCTGGGCGCAAATGTGCAGGGCAGCATGTGTGTGCATCAGTAACCGTGGAAACCGAGAGGTGAAGTAGCTGATGAAGCCTTCAGGCAGCTCGCCGAGAGTCTCCTGCACCTCTGGGGGCAACTCATGGTAGTGGTGTTTCTGTAAAGGGCAATGTCAACACGGAGAAAGGTCAAAACATAATGATATTCCAAAGTATGTCTACTTGAGCATCACATTTCAGTGTATAAGTATGCAAACTGACCTTATTCCTCATGGCTCTCAGCAGATCTCTGACTGAGTTTCCCTTATACGTCCTGAAGCGCCTCAAGTCTGTATGTACACAGACAAAAATGGATTAAAGAACATTGGTGGCCCAGTAGTTGCAATCAGTGTAGTTTTGCGATAGTTTAGCTGAGTTTCTACAAAATAACCCACTTTTAGTCCCCGGGGCAAATTTTTTGTAAGCCAACTTTTTCCATTTCCACCAAGGTGTAATTACTGAGGATGTTTAGGCAAAGTTCCCCGTATGTTGTGGAACTACTACCCCATAGCAGAGACTCTAAAAATGGGTAAAACAAAGCTGTTGTTTGTACCAAGTAAAGTCCCTGCAGAGGAACCATGGCTCTTTTATGTTTGTACCTGTCTGAAGCGGCACAGAGATATGCATTCTCCAGTTAGTTCGAACCACTGATCTTCCAGCTGTCTCCAGTCTGATCACAATTGGACTATCTGCTGGTTCTTTCTCTATGCGGTCACTCACATCCTGCAAACACAGAAAAACGCAGATGATGATTGTTTCTGGTGCTTATCCAAAAAGACAAAAGGCTAAACAGACTGTATTCAGAAAACCACACTACCCAATTATAAGCTCAAAACATTTGAACACATTTCCTGCTCAATGAAGACAATCGAAAAGGGGAAAAGAACATTTAATTTGCATCTTTAACCATGAAGTTATAACTTTCTAAAATAGCAGTGACAAAAAGTATCCAAACAGAGGCAGTCTTACTTCATGTATTCTTGATGAAATGATATAACACACCTGGAAAAAGAGCAGCTGCTTCTCAGGGCTCCAGAAGAATGGATGTTTGAGCACACAGGCGGTGGAGGGGCGGGACTCGGCCTCAGGATGGATCATTTGCTCAATCAGATCCTGCGCTATGACGTCATCTGTTTAGAGAAAGTAACAGCTTTGAGAATGAATTATACAGTTTAAATTATAGGCATATTTACACCATTATTAACGTCATTAATGTGATTTGCTTTGACTGAGCTCATGCTGGTCATGGCTAGGTCATTCCATGCAGGAAAGGGATGTAATGTTAAATTTACAAGCAACATCTTTCTATCTTTCAAATCTTAAGCCAAAAAAAACCCCCAAACAGATCTATTATTCTCACCATGTATATCCTCCATAAAATGTGAGAGTGAATATTCTCCAGACAGGATGTTGACCTGTCTTCTCAATGAATCACCAAAAGGGTGCTGCCCCCTGCTGACCACGAAGTAGAACACACAGCCTGCTGAAAAAACGTCCACTGCTGCCGTCTGGAGAGAGAAAACACACATCTTTACACATCTAAACTAGCAGGTATTCTTCATAGTCCATGTGGCACAGCCTTGACAACTCAGGAGTGGGATTTAAAAAACATATGAACTCGCTTTATCATCTTTATATAGACTTTATTTATTGTAAAGAGTGGCAGTTTTAGCTTAATAAGTTATGGACATTGACAGAAAGACAGTACTGTTATATTATATAAGTGCATCCTACCGGTTTGTTGCCAGGAGTATCTCGCAATACTTCAGGAGCTATCCACCCCTCTGTTCCTGGTATTCCTGAGCGCAAAGAGAAGCTGCAGCGACCATCTGGTATCTTCTTACAGAGTCCAAAATCAGAAATGAGAGCTCGGACCCGACCCAACGCACTGGGACCAGAGAGGAGGATGTTTCTGGGCTTCAGGTCACGATGAACTAAATGAGGAGATGATTGAGAGAGAAAAGGGAATGAGGAGAAGGAGAAAAAATACCATTTTGTTTTGTTAGCTAATCTGATTTCAAGCAGTCAACTGTTTCTTGGCAGTAAGTATTGAGAAACATTACATTTTTGTATGCACTTGTATGTGTACATGTTTATATTTGTATAAGCGTCTTATTTCATGCCTATGTTAAGCGAGTGGAGATGTGAGAGGCCACACATGGTCTGTTCCAGCAGAGTTATAGGACTCAGCTCTGCAAAACGAGACGGATCCTCCACATACTGCAGAGGAAGACACATCAAATCATATCAGTTGTGTTACAAAAAGTATGACTTTTAAAACAACTTTCCAATATAGAAATACTAAGACGACTAAAAGGGCATTTCAGTACAGACCTGTTGCAGGGTTGCAGCACACAGTTCGATGGCAATGTAAGAGAAGAGGCGGTCTCTCTCCGTGCAGAAATATCGAATGACATTAGGGTGTGTGTCAGACTCTCTGAGGAGCTGCACCTCACGCTCCGCTACCTCAAAACACTCTGGCAGAATTCTCTTAACCGCGACTTGACGTCCATCAAAGTTACCCCTGCAGAAACAAACACAGCGTCAGCACATGCTACAACTGGAGGTTATAGATGAGAACATACAAGTAAAGCCATAGCTTTGGTCATTTACACCGTTATGCAGGTTCTGAACTAATCTAAAAGCTGTGTATGCCTTATGTTGGTGTAATTTTATTTATAGTGCATGTTTTTCAATGCAAACTATAAATATTTGATTCATTTAAAGTCACAGCTGAGAGAGTTTATCTTACCTCCAACATAGTTAGAAGTTGATTTAAAGATTTGCATAAAATGCTTGACACAAAAGTAAAGCTGTTTTTTTTTTTTCAACTTAATGGCACAAAAAAACACAAATCCACTAACCACAAAACCACATACAGTACCTGAAGACAAAAGTTCCTGCTGAGCCGTGTCCAAGCACTTCAGATGGAGTGAAGGAGATTTTACCCACAAGCACCTCCTCACTGTTTCCTTCTGAGATGCATAGACAAGAAGAACAAGGCAGCAAGACATTCATTTATTTAAATAAATAGCAACATAAGAGAATAAAGTACAGAAAAATCATTTCGTTTTTTACCTTCTGTTGGTTTAAGCCCAGCTGTGCTATTTTTATTGACATCTGAAGTGCTGCTGCCGTGAGAGGGAGGATTCGGTGGAGGCTCAGCAGGAGCGGGCAGGGAGTCTGATTATAAAGATATACAGTTTCATGTGTCTTTTGCAAGCATTCCATAAAACTAAGGAAGGAATAATATTTGAATATGTGAATAGTCTTGCATTTCTCAAAAGCAGTGCATAGCTGCAATAATTGATGGTAATCCCTAAGGGGAACCCAGAGCCATTAAATACACACAATAGTTCACAGTAGAGAGCTTGTTTTGCCAGTTACTTACTGTTGGAGAGGTTTGTGTCGGTAGAAAGGGTTGTGTCTGAAGAAACCGAGGTCACTGTCTGAGTGTTTGTCTGCGTTTGCCTCAGACGAGACTCCAAGGCCTCCTCCAGCTGCCTTTGAGCTTTAAGCTGCTGTGCTGCTCGCTGGAGAAACAGAGACAGATCACACTTATGATGTAAGAAGACCCAGTTTGAGGGATCAGTACTGGGAGTATTGATGACTAAAATAAAGTTCTCATTTAAGACAGATTTGGATTTTTTTATTTTTTTTAATCCTCTTCTAAACACTTATAGACATTGCTGCCAAGAATGTTCTATCTCTTCCTCTACTTCTAAATGTCAATATTCAGTAATATTTTTACCCCCATAACAACCCCATATGTAATCTGTAGGCTCAAGCCGGGGGATGTCAACAGTATTGGAACTACAACAAAACATTATGCACAGACTAAAAAAACACACACACACACACACACACACACACACACACACACACACACACTCACAACAGGGTAAGTGAGTGCAAAAGCCAGCCATCCTCCCAGCAGAAGCGTCAGAACAGCCAGAGTGAGACGATCCTGAGTTATAAACACAGGCAGCACAGCTGCCGGTCTCTGCGCCTGCCGTGGTTTCTTCCCATCAACTCCTTCTCTGTTAGTATCAGTGTCATCATGGCCACCAGCATCAGTGTGGAACTGAAGGACACAATAACAATAACAGGATTAGTAACAATGGAAATGCAGTGATTATTCCATTAAAGATATTTTACAAGTAAAGTTTAAATTGCTAGCAATATATGACATCAGTGCCTCAGGTTATCACTATCTTATCATAGCCTGATTAGGGGGGGTTGTAATAGGACATTAATCCTGTGATTTACAGACTAGACACACATGTATCTGAGACTCACATAGCGCTCGTGGTAGTACGTGGCAGAGGAGATGGGAGAGGAAGGGGAGGCGGGTTGTCGAGGGGGGATGACTGCCTCACTAGAGCGCTGCAGGCCGGCTGGGAAATCCCTCAGCATGGTAGTGTGAGCCACCGGAGGGAGCTCGTGATGACCTAAACCACACAAAATACAGAAATATATCTGAAGATGTAAAAGTGTTTGTGTTTAAGTCAAAGATATACCAGTTCTGAGGATACTTGTATCGTATGCCATTTTACCAACCACTCAGCTTTTAGATAAGTTTAAGTTTTCATTCATGACATCCATTAAGGGCGGTATGGGAACTGTGTGTGTAGGCAGTGTGAATAAGTGTGTACCTATGAACAGCCAGTGGTTTTTCCGGCTGTATGTGCTTCCTGGTGGATATCGCACATCGGTGGATGGTGTGATCTCACACTCCCCTCGCTCTCTGACAGTTACTCCAGAAGTGACAGGACCCTCAATTCCAGCCAGGGTTAGTCCCCGAGGCTGCAGCGGCAACACATATGGGTCACATAACAGCTATACTGTAATCCCCTGCATTCTTATCATTTTACTGTTTGATACACTGTATTAACTATCAATGTGGAGTTAAACAGGAGATAGGATCAATACAGATGCAGGACATGGATGTTTCCAGGTGTCTGAATGTTTTTCAGTACATTATGTATTTAAACTTACCACCAATGAGACCCCTTGGTGGACAAGGGAAGTGGAGGCATAGAGGTGAGAGTCCAATTTACCCACATAGAGGGTTGGTCTAAAAGATTTTAAAAAAAAAAGATTTTTCGTTAAGTAATTAAGTGATAAGAAAGGACAAGAACTAGTTGATTAGATTTTGGGCCTTTCATATTAATATAGTGAAAGCAACTGTATAGCAATGAAATAAGGTTTAAATCCAATTAACATTTATCAAAACAGGAGTAAGACTAATTGAGATTTAAAATGTGGTATCAGTGTAACTGTGCTGTCCAAGAAAGGCATCCGCACCATCATACGCAATCACAAAAACAAATAAAAAAAACATTCATAGCATTTAAAACATTTACAGCCAGATGTGTATGCAGCCTATCATTTAGAATCATTTTAAATGTATGCAATGAAATCAAGTTAACTGTTAATATGAATACATTCTAAGTTTGTACAATGCTATTTTGTGCAGAATGTCTCTGATTGGTTCGAAGGTTCACGCTTGTTTTAACCTCAAGAACAGTCTATTAACTTCTTATTAAACTGCAGTACTACTTACAAGATGGTTTCTATACGGATTAGAGCTCTCAAGAACTGCCGTCAATGTTGTGCTTTGCCTCTGTGCAAAGCCTGTCAGCACCTGTGTATCCAATCGGACTCAAAGCTGATCGTTTGCTCTTACTGATATTTTTCCCTTTTTTCTAAACCTTGCTTGTACATCGCTTTGGATAAAAGCGTCTGCTTAGTGAATTGTAGAATTGTAGTACTACTTCTTCATATTGTTGTATCAGTTAACTTTCAGTGGTAAAATGGACTTAACCACGTAACATACACATTTTTTTTTTTTTTTTTTTTTAGCACAAATCACTTTTTGGTTTTCAGTGAGCGGATAAAAAAATGTTGTTAATGTAACCTGAGGTACTGTGGTGAAGAAAAAAAGAACAGACAAAGCAGCTACTTCAATTTCTCTTACATGAGCTGTGCCTGTGCACTGGCCTGCTCCTTCACAAACTGATAGCTCCACTTCAGTGTAGAGTGGGCGTCTTCCTGGTCGTTGGTAGAGGAGAAGGTGAGGAAGCGAAGAGTCTCCCTGGCGAGGGACAGGTGGGGGGCATGTCTTAGCGAATCGCCGGAGTACAGGTAAACACCCACGACAGGTGAGCCATAGTTCTGACTCCACAAGACATCACCTGGAAATAATTGAGGTGAAAATATTATAATGAAGAGCTCAACATATAAAACACATAAACACTCACACACAAAAAAAAAAAAACACACACCTCTCCCTACCTGACTCTCTGTCAACTGTCACAACCAAACCATCACCGCTCGACACAAGATGGGCCATCTCTGAAAGTGCAACAGGTAAAACAAGTCAGACGTTGTCATTTTCTTCATTTCTTGCAAGAGATTTTAGTAGACACAAAGTTCTTTCACATATTTCCCATTGTGAGTGAAGTTCATTTCATTACACTGCTCATTATAAACCAATTCATCTGGTTATGATGTAAAGTATCAAGCTAGAATGTACATCATGTTCCTACACAAATGTTGCTAAATCCTCTCTTTTTTTTAAAGACCTATTCTGCACTTTAGGCGCCTTAATTGGATAGAAGAGACAGTGGATAGAGTAAAAAAGAGCACAAACTAACCACTTGGGAAGTAGAACCCCAGAAATCCTCTAATTTGAGTTTTAATATTTATACAGTATATTTAAAAAAATAAGTATCACATTACATAATAAACTAAAATTAGTCTATCTAATATTAATCCTGAGAAATCCCTTAAAATCAGAATCAGGATCAGTTTTATCGCCAAGTACGTTAATACATACAGATCATTTGTCTCTGTGTTTTGGTGCAAATAAAAAGTCAACACAGAAGTGGAATAACTTACTCCACTGCTATACAGTCTTTACACGCTCACTCTCAGTACCATCATACACAAACACAATATCTTCTTCCTATGCCGATGATACACAGCTAATATGTTTCACTTTCCCCAGATAACCGTAGTCCCAAAAATGAAATGGTCAAATGCATTGGAGAAATTAGCTGTTGGATGTAACAACACTTTCTACAACTTAACATAAATAAAACTGAAATTCTTATTGTAGGCCGATATATATAAAGGCAAGAGCTCATATCCATTTTATTATCTCTTCCCCTTCAGCACGGTGAGCATGCGAAAAACCTGGCTGTCAACATTGATTCAGATCTTAACTTCCAGAACTAGATAACAGCGATTATAAAGACAGCCTTCTATCATCTCAAGAACATTTCCAAACTCAGGTGCTTCATGATCCAATCGGACTCTGAGAAACTGGTCCATGCATTCATATCCAGCAGATTAGATTGATGTAATGCCCTCTATGCTGGACTTCCAAAAAAAAAAAAAAATCAATAAACAAACTCCAACTCATCCAAAATGCAACAGCCAGAGTGCTAACAGGGACAAAGAAAATAGAACACATTACACCAATTCAGAAAAATCTTTAATGGCTTCCAGTCCAGTACAGAATCAAATTCAAAATATTACTTCTGGTCTACAAAGCATTTTATCTAATGGCACCTCATTATCTTTCTGACCTGCTCCCTGACTACAGCCCAATCAGATCCCACAGATCAGCAGATATGGGTCTCGGCGATAGTGAAAGTCCATTCCTAACATTTTAATTAAATCTTACAATGACTTTGTGTATTATTTGTGTATAAACTTGAAGGCAAAAATATTTTTTAAACTTTCTAAATTGTATACAAATTTTCCTCAAATGCACCTGAATACGTTGCAGTTATAGTAACATGTTATTTGCTCCTTTTTTAAATGCTCTAAGATTTTAAAAAAAGCAGGTTCTGCAAGGCTTTCATCGGTTCATGTTGTAATGTTGATTTATAACCTGCCCTGCCAGTGTGTGTCTCTGTCAGTCTGTGTACAGTGGTGTGTGTGTGTGTTTGAGAGACGTACTGTAATCTTGTTTCTCGTCATAAGGTGGAGCAGAGTAATCGTTGTACGTAGCATTCCATCGCAGCTCCTGTGTCTTAGTGTCAAACATGGTGATCATGTATTCTGAAAACAAGCAGATGCATGGGTTACAAGCAGCATGGGTTACAATATTTATGCATGTGTGTATGTGTGTGTGTTTAAGTGACATACCTGTGCGTCCAATGTAGAGCAGAGGAGTGTTGGGGCAGATGGATTCAGAGGCAGATGTGGTTAAACTGGTTTGCTTCTCACCTGTCTCAGGATCCACCACGAACCATACATCCTGCTTTTTACCTTGTGCACACAACACAGACAGACAGACACACACACACACACACACACATATATATATTACTATCCAATAGCAATGAGGTAATTTAAATATTGATATGTCTTAAGTTTCATTGCCCATCTCTCTTAAATCAATCTTAATGTTGGCTATCCACAGGTTTGCAAGAGTCAATGTGGTGACAAAAAGGACAACTATCAAAAAAGGTCAATGATGAAGATCTTGTTGTAATAAGGAACAGCACCTCAGCTGACTGAAATTATTCTGTGTTCATAAGAGACAAGGTGTAACAAACACATGCACTTTTTTAAACATGCATACTAGCAGTAGGTATAGCTAATTGTCCACACTACAATATTGATTTATCCCATGTAATAGTTTCAACACAATAATGAATCATCTTAATGCATTTTGAAAATTTGGAAATACTATTCTGCAGGCCTAAAAAAAGGCATAGTTCCTATTTAAAAAAACTATTTAGTATGACAGAAGAGATTGAAAACCAAATACATACATGTCAAATGTAATATCCAACAAAAAAACATATTCCGTATTCACTAGGGACAGTGACAGATGGGTAACCGGGTTGGAGCTCAAGCCAGAATTATATGACAAAGTTATATCTTCTAATTGTATGTATACTGCATTTAAGCTACATACTCTGTAAACCAGCGGCAGTCATTCATATTGGCACAAGAAAAGGTAACTTATTTGGATAACAGGGTCAGGGTCTCACCTGTATATAGTATGCCGTCAGAGCTCCTGCAGGGTGCTGACTGAACAAGCTCTGGGATTGTGAAGGGCAGTTTCTGCAGAAGCATCCAAAAGCGCGGGGTCATTAAATGAAACAGACATAAAAAGAGACACACAAATGCACTGCTCTTCTTACCATCAGGCCTTCCTTGTGCTTGCCGCCCAGGACATACAAACTGCCATCGTTTGGGTCTGGAAGGAAACCTGGCCTAAAACATGTAAAATTGGCACTTTTTAGATTTCAATCGGTAACTATCTGATCCATGACACACTCTGTATGTGTATGCACGTTCATTACTTACTCTGTGAGGTAGACTGGTAACTGAATAATGGGGTCTGCAATAAATCAAAGAGCAATTTCATGAGAAAAAAAGTGAACATAGAATAAGGCACAATGTCTGCATTAATGTGTATGAACCTTCTCTTAGGGTCCACTTGATATCTCCTGACTGTTTGGAGACAGCATGAAGATTGCCATCCAGCGTGGAGACGAACAGGAGGGATTCTGGAAGAGTGACTGACCTTACCCCTTCAACCTGAAGGGTCACAAGAAACGAGTTAGTGAACCTTTAGACCAGCTGTCTGACAGGGCACTTCAGTCACAGTGTCATGTATCCTGTACTTGACATAGTCTGACAACAGCATGTGATTGTGTGTGTATGTGTGTGTGTGAGTTGGTTTGAGTGTGTGTGTCAGGTCTACCAGTAAAGTTTCTGCTCTGACTTTTATTAGACTTTCGTAGCAGGATATCCTGACACCCCACCTCTTACCAACACCACAGTGAGCTTGTCTATGTTTACTTGAGTTTGTTCACCGCTCCCATATTTACCCACTAACGGATGGCAACTGGAGGCACAGGACTTAACTGTGGTACAGGACAGGTACAGGACAGGGACAGGACAGGTACAGGACAGGGACAGGTACAGGACAGGTACAGGACAGGTACACCATGGCAAATATTGAGTCAAGACGTGCAGAGGGGATCGCGCACTCGCAAAAGGCGTTTCAACATAACGCGCGCACGGGCAGTATTAACTTTCTTCGGGCATTTTAGACTAAACGACCTCTCATATCATGGTCACTTTGCTCGAGCCTGAAATAGACACAGGAGCGCAGTGAGATGCCAGGTGTGGACTTCCCCCGCGCACCAACAGCAAGAAACAAACAGCGTTAACAACAACAACAAGCAGACACATAAATTGACTTTACAAACTGAAGTTACCTGAAATAGTTTGCCTTCCCAGGACAGCAGAAGAAGAAGACAAAGCAGCAGTCGCCTCAGGGGCCCCATGACCCTCAAAACTCTTTCTTTCATGGCTCTGAACAAACGCGAGGACTAAAGCTATTGAACTAACAACAGAGGGTGAACCCTCTCTCCATTTCCAGGAGCGGAAGTGTCCATTTGTCGGAGAGTTAGCACCGGTCCTTTAACATCGTCCCGAATGACACTTTAAGTCCCGCCGAGTTGACGCGTTATAGACCCATAATCACAGAAACACAACCCCTCTTGTCACTTGTCCATATTTCCGTGTTGGGACGGAACCGATGACGTCAGGTGCGAGCTGGAAAGCAAATGCATGGGCGGGGGCATCGCCCTTGACTGACAGGCAGGTGAGCCAATGAGACGGTGGGTTTTTGTCACATAAGGGGGAGGAGCTGTAGAAAAGGCTGGAACACGTGGAAAGAGACAGCGGGGCAGTTGTGAACACAACAAGAGCGACTTTTTTTTTTTTGTGCGATGGAAAGTAGTGGAGGGCGTCATTGTTTGTTCTCCACTGGCGCAAACACAGTGACTTCATTGGTGGAAAGTACCCACATATCGCAGACTGCTCCTAGGTACCATATCTTGTTATAATTCTTTAACAACTGTATGTAGGCTACATGACAGTGAGACATATTTGACTTGTATTCCACTTTTTTGTAACATTGCAATTTAAGATTTCAATAATTTTAATAAATAAAATGGTTGCTTTGTATTTATAATACATTTGGTCTAAGTTACTATGTTTGACACTTCTATTTACTTTGCGTCAGATCTATTTTACCCCTTAATATGATGTATACCTTAAAGTAGGTTTCTTTTATTTGTTTATTTTACTTATTGAAAGTATTTTTATTTTAGATACTTGATACTTTTGATAAAGACTTTTGTACAAATGAATGAAAATGGAGGACACACAAAGAACATACTGTAAATAGAATGATGAGAATGAGATATAATTGGCCAACTTTTGATTGTGGTATTCCAAATACTTAAAAGTATAGATCCAAATACCTCTTCCCTTTACAAAGCATCATATTAAAAAAATAATTCTCTAGTCTTCCAAAAACTCTTTATTTTTCTGCAACATATTTCCCTTCAGAAATGTCAGCCAACTGTTGGCCTCTGTCTTTTCCCTATGACTTAAAAATACTTTTCAAAGTGCTTTTACAAACTCACTGGGGTCATGTAAGCAGGTGTGCTTTAGATATGTACTGACGAGAAAAATAAAATAATACTGGCAGGCACTTCAGTCATTTGAGGTACGCACAAAACAAATAAAACAAACCACATTATAGACCAGTCTTTGAAGGCATACACAGGCTGTGCACAGGTAGGTGAGGCGCGGGCTCTTCACACGGTGCAGTGCCCAGGCCTTTCGCTTGGTGGGGTCTACCGGTGGATCACACTGTCAGGTTTAGGATATCCAAACAGCTCAAAGTCTGGTTCATACAGTTTGTAGAGTTCTCTTTTCACTAAAGTGGGGATCTGCTTGAACCAGTCTCTCTCCCAGCTGGTTGCAGTACGGTTTCGGGCTCCTGAAGGGAAGTGTAACAGATGGTCTACCTCTAAAAGCTTCAGTAGGTGCTCTGCGTCTGGTTCCAGGGTTTCCAGTCTTCCAATGAAATCGTACTTCACCTGGCAAGGATGGCACAGACGGTACACCTGAATAACACAGACAGCAAGGATAGGAAGTTTTACGATTGTAAACTACATCAGTACTGTGCTTTATTCCTTGTTTGTTCTTCCACAAAATGTTAATGTTAAATGCTTTTCTCCAAAATATCTGTGTACAAATTAAGGAACAGACCAGTGGAAATATAATTGAATTGCATTTTTGTAAAAAAAAAAATCCTGTAGTATATAGTATATGTCTTTTATGGGACATGTCACATTCACCTACACTATTAACCAAATACTAATATTTACTCATCCAGTCTATATGCATGCACACAAACACACTGGCTATGCCACTTGCAAGCAATTGTTGGTTCAGTCTCTTGCCCAAGGACACTTTGGCATGTTGACTGCAGGAGCTGGGATTATACCACCAACCTTCCAGTTAAGAGATGACTGACTCTATAACTGAACCACTGCTACCCCCAACAAGAAGAACATATAATGCTGGTAGAGTCTTTTAAAATAGAAAGGGAGGTGGCATATGACTTAAGTGAAAGTATGCCAATGGGGATCTCTTTTTAAATCCAATCATCTCCAACGTAAGGTCAACATGTTTTTAGTGTACGTTTGAGTTCATGCAGCTGCGCGAGTCACATACCTGCCGCCAGTGTTCGTTAAAGATACCCTCTTTCTCTGTCTCTGGGTCCAGTAGGTATGTGATGAACTGCTGAAATGTCGGTTTGATTCCCGCTGCAAATGCCTCAGCTGCTGTCTCTGGCAGACTACCAGACAAATTACCATAACGACGCAGCATGACCGAGCCAAACTGCCTGTAGAAGTCCTCGTTTGGCCTAAAACACACACACAGAAACACATGCCTTATTTATTCAAGAATGATAAGACTGCTTTTTTCACAAACAGTAAAGCACATTCCCCAGCTCTATATACAGGGAAGACACTTAAACACTCACACACCAACTCTGTGTATTCATGCACTAAGACACACACCTTCCAAACTTGTTCCTAAAGGCTGAGATGAGTCGTACAAAGGGGTCTCGTACAAAAAGAAACTTGGTGTAGTGCTGGAGCTTGAGTGCCATCAGGTGGCGGGACAGAGAACCATAATGGCGCCAAAACCTGTAAAATACAAACAGCACCACGAAAGCAGCTCTTCTGTTATATTTTTTCTTTTTTTGCTGAAATCCAGCTGCTGTGTCTTTTTTTTCCTGACGAGATACTGAACATATGAAATAGAGCTGGATTGGTCCTTAAGAAGGAAATAAAATGGTCAGTGCTGATAGACAAACATACACACAAACACAGACTGCTCCCGAGGGGTAGAGAAAGGTCTATCTGTGCTGCAGCACCAAAGCCCCGCCTGTCGTTTCCACTCTCCTCTTCCAAGAGTCAACGCAGTAAATAACTCCTTAACCACAGGGATAGTTCCTGCAGTTTCTAATGAATATTAAACTGGTATAAAAAAAAAACTAAAAAAAATAAACTTGTAACTTATTATAATCATTTTTTTTTACCATTTTAAACGTGGCAGAGACAAAAACAAAAGCTAGTTACAGGACTCTGTCTTTTGACTGTGTTTAGAATAAAATCATTCTGGGATTGTTTTTTGTTCATCCTAAAATTCTTTCACCACAAGTTTTAGAAATAGAATATTAGGGAAAGAAGAAGACACTCCTGCCTTCATTACAAAACAAAGTTGTCTTTTACTTCTGGCTGAACCCCCTGACTTAATGGATGTTTTTTCTTTGTGGTCATTGTGGTAAAGAGGTTTGGTTTGTTTGGACTTGATGGGATGCATCCTTCACTCTCTCTGGTTTCCATGCTGCGTGAGGTGTTAAAAGTTTTTAAAGCGGGTGTTAGTTCCTCTGTGTAGGACATTGGTTTGTGATTTGGACTTTGGTAGCTGTTTTCTTAAAAAAAAAATGTTGAAAGCTAAACTTGAAGACTTAATTTATTGTTTTGCTCTAAAACACTCTTCAACAACTTCATATGGAGAAATTGTAAGTGAAATGTAGCCCAAATCTAGTATAATCAAATAATCTTATTAAACAGAAAAGAAGTATGGTAGACTGAATGGTTTCGAAGATGTAACACATGATACCTCTAAACAAGTCATAGAACGCTGAACAGTTGGATCTGTCATCTCCTATATCTTTAAAAACAGTATAGAGCCATAATTATTCTGTAGCTTTCAAGGTTGTGTTTTTTTCTCTTGAAAGGATGCCTAACCACACTACTAGATGTTTTTTTTTATAAAACTCTGTTAGTTATGAAATTATCAAGACACCTTTACTTGATCAAATTACAGTATACCAACTTGTTTTAAATGCTTTTATATCATTACTTCTTGTTTCAGTAACACACCAGTTGTTTCTAATTTCCTCCTTTGGGTGTTGACAATATTTAGCTTAGATCAATTTCTAGAGATGATTAAAGTCTCAGTAAAAAACTTTCTAAATAAGTAAAACAATGTTCTTTTAATTTATTATTTATTTGAGTAAATGAGCTAATGTTAAACATACCGGTAAGTGTAATAAATATCTTAAAAATACAATCAATTTGTCTCTGAATGTGTCAATTAATATATATTTGGTTTTGGTGTGTTAGTGTGTTTTTTGTGTGTGTCATACTTAGCAAAAGTGAGGTGGAGAGAGGAGTTGTGTACGAGGTCAGGAGGTACAGCCTCTGGGTCAGTGTAAGGTTTCCCTGAGGAGGGGGAGATCACAGACTGAGAGAGAACCACCATCACTCGCTTCCAGTTGGTGCACGCCACCTGAACCGAGAACAAAAATGAAAGTGGAGAAAAAAGGTGAGAAGACAGGAGCGACTATAAACCTGTGGAGTAGCATATAGAATAATTTCAAAATGCTGCAGTAAACTCTGATGTTCTTGTGTTTTATTTTCCCCATATAGAATAAAGTGACTCAGCACCACTGACTGTTCAAAAAGAAGGGATGTAGCAACCATTAAATAATCCATTGGCTTGTGAACCCTACCCTAATAATTTTGTTAAATAAATAATTTAATACATTCCACTTATAAACCACATATATTAGAATACTGCACTGTGACGTCTTCTCACATTTTATCACTGTCTTATTATATTTTAGCTTTTGTTTTATGTGTTTTTTGTTCTACTTTTACTTTTCATTTGATCTTCTTTTGGGGTTTTTATTGGTTCCTTTAAAAAAAACTATTTCAATTCTTTATCATTGTGACTTGCCTTAAAGAATTGCCTTGTTGCTGAAATCTGCTGTATAAATAAACCTTGCCTTACTTTGAAGCCTTGAAGCCACATTTCGGTTCCCACATCTTGTGTTTCTGGAGGCCATATTTGTCAAAAGGTTGGAAATGCCTCGACAGGCTGCTGTGGTTTCGTCCTGTCAATCACAGGTAGCTATACCCTTTAAGTATAGCCGTTTTTTTAACCCAGATTATACTCTTAAAGAGACAGTTATTTACAAAATGAATCACATACAGCACCAAAAGGACTTGAAAATAATTCAAGTACAGTAAAAGTAGGCTAATTTTTCTCAGTGTCTTCTATACATCAGACTTTTAAAAAAAAAACAGGTGGAGTGGCCCCCTGTTGGCCACTGAAATGAGTGCAAGTTTAATGTGCTTCTGCATTGGCTTTTTTTAAACACAGAATATTACCACCCACAAGGTCACACAAATACAAACACACACACACACACATGGCAGCTGTACCTTGGGAACATAGCAGTAGATAATTTGGTGAGTGTCATCAACTATCAGGTGATCCAGCTCTCTGTTTGGGATCTGCTCAAATGCCCGAGTCCTACCAGGGAATTCCACTGCATCCTTTCCTGAGCACACGTCCATGATCCTCTGCTTCCTCGCCTCTTGTTCCCTTTCCTCCTCAGTAGCACTACTCGTTTCCTTCTCCTCATCCTCTCTTATTTCCTCCTCCACCCGTTCTTGTGTATTCTTCTCTTCATCATTTGTTTGTTGCTCAGCTTCCCCTCCTTTCTCCTCAGGGACCAGTGTTGTACTGGGAGCAGTAGTGTGGCTATTAAAGGCAGAACTGGTGTTTTCTCTGCTTGTAAACAAAGATCGTGGCTGGCCTGTAGTCGCCTGAGGGTCAGAGTCAGAGTGCAGGGACTCGTGTTTGGGGTCATGAAGCGGGTAGAGGTTGAAGCCCCCGACGTCATCCCAGTACACGATGATCAGCAGGATCATAAACAAAGACCCAAGGATGAATGCCACTCGAAGACCACGCCATGTTCCCATAGTTAGACTAAATCATGAGCCTTGACTGGTGACGATAAGAGGAGGAGGTTATCTCAGCTCCATGGTGGCTGTCTTTGAAGGGAGGAGACGCTTCCTGCTCGCCAGATGAAGCTGAAAGAAACAGGAAGTGTGACTGACCCCTGTTCCCCTTTCAAAGCATTTCTAGAATATGATGATCAAGCAACTACAAAAAACGGTTACAAAATACAAGAACTGAATACCATAGAATGTAAAAATAAAGAAGTAGTGGAAAATCAGATGTAGAACATGAGGTCTTCAATGACTTAGCGTCTAGACTACTGTAAGACTTTCTAAAAAGGCATAGAGGATTACAATCAGCGACTTACAGCTTTGTTATACGGCATTTAAACATTATATGTGCTTCATATATCATTTATAAGCCACCATAAGAACACATTTGGAGAATGAAGTTTGTGAAAAATCCAATTGGGCTGGCCTATTCTTTCTGTGTTGTAATAATGTCGTCTTAAATGACATAAAAATAAATACTCGTGGGCCGGCGGGTAGGAACAGCAAAAGTCATCAAGTCTGCAGCAAACAAAATGTTCATTCATTATTCATACGTTTCATCCTCATGAGTCCATAACTGATGGTCTTAAGGACAAAGCAAGGGTTATGCTGAAGAATGGGATGAAGGGTTTTTCTTCTTCATCAACATATCATTTCACAACTTATACACCTTGAGAAAAGCCAAATAAATCGATCGCAATTAAAGTACCGGTTATGAGGTGTTTATAAAAAATGTAGTACCAACATTTGTACTTTCTCTGTCGATTGTTTTCTTTATTTACCCTCAGAGAGCTATAATAATATGTTACATCCTTAGAGCTGCAGAGTAACAACAGCAAGTTATGACTCTTAAATGTCTAGTATTTATTTGTTTGATATTCAATAAATATTCAACAATCAAACCAAAACTTCAAAGAAATTGAGTAAAATCTCTTAAGTGTCTGACTACCTCAAAGATATATTCTATTTCTATTATAAACAACTATTCAAACATTTTATCGTGTGTGGCTTGTTATCTTTAACAGGCACTACGCTAATAAGAATAGTCCGGCTGTAATAACGGCTTCAACCCACACAAAAAAATACTACCCCAATAAGGCCTATATACTGGCTGCTATTTAATGAGTTGTCGTGTTAATAACAGAGTTAATGTGACAGGTGCTCTTTCACTGAAAATGGGAATGCAAAATTAATCGGTGAGGGAAGGGGGGGTGTTTATAAATGCCAGCACAGTGAATAAATCCATACAGTATGAGGGAACACACTGGTAAGTGTGAGCTGGTATTCTGCTCAGAACTGAGCGTCAATATTTTACTGAGTAATTTTAACCCAATGTTTCCATAACTAATTCATGTTAAAATGTACAGCACTTTCACTTTTGCATTTATATTAACATGGTATTGCTACTTTTTTTTTACTCAAGATCTCAATACTTCCCCCTGAGATACGTCCAAGAGTGAAGGACATTCCACTGATCTTGTTTTGGAAAATGAGCAACCGTTTTTTTTTTGGCTTTATAAATATGAGCACATACTTTTTAAAAGCGTGTCTTGAAAACGGTGTTTTCCAGTGTGAGTTGTCCCGGGGCGTGGGAACCTCAGGCTCGGCCCCGGGGCGCTCAGCTGTCACGGTGTGATGTGAACAAACGGGTCTGTGGGGGGGGGGGGGGGGGGGGAGTTGTTTCGGACCCCAGTCTGTTAGAGGGTTTACTCCACTTATTGTCTGTCCCATAAAACATCTGCTGTCGGGGGATATAGTGGGGGGGAAAAAAAATGACGGTTCTTTTAATAAAACAAAACCACAGACAGAGGGAGCGAGCCTAAAGCAGAAAAGCAGCAACACTTCTATTGAGGAAGTAAATGACTGTTTTGACTGTGGTGTTTATTTCCACTAGGTTTTAAATCGTAACTCCACGTTGACTGGAGGAGCCTATTTTGAGGAACCTACACCCACTAACTCGCTCGTGTCTTGGCAGGCGCAGTACACACACACACACACACACACACACACACACACACACACACACACACAACCACAAGCAAAATGGAAATACACGTAAAAATACTTTTTATACATTTGAATATATTTGGAGGTGACAGTAGGCTAACAAGTTGTAGTAATTCATTTGATAAAGCATTGCGTTTATTAGTTATGGGGGACATAGACTGTTTTCGTTCGGTTAATAATCTTTTTTTTTGCAGCTCACTACTTCCCAATCTTCAGTAGGAAACTAAACTCCCTTACCTTAATTTTTACAGTACACAGGTAGGTAACAATGTTTCCTTTCACCGGACAGTACCCCTCTCTCATGCAACACTACTCTCACTCCTCAACAATAGCACAGGACATAAACACAACTTATTTTCCTCCACTGTCTCCACAACCCCTCATGCTTCTGTGAGCAGTGTGGGAAAAAAAAAAAAGAAGAAAACCCGGTTCTGTTCCCTCGATGCCCTTCACACCGGGTGCATCACGGCGATGTTAAGCCTGTCTGCACATGAATCTGTCTGACGAAAAATGAAACAAAATGGCCCGAGTTTCATGTTTTATCTTACCCTGCAGACGAGCTCCATGGTGCCGGGCGGTCAGCCCTTTGTCGCTAAACACGGTGACCCCGACTCTTGTCTGTCCGTGAGACCAGTGATGATGATGGGACCGGGTGGGCACAACAGAAAATGTAGTGTGGTCTGCGCTCACGCTGAAGCCAAATCACGCGAGACCTGGGACACCAGCCACAGACTCCTCCACACCTTCGTTTTTTTTTTTTTTTTTACAAACTCACAGACTTGGGCCGAATTGAAGCGATGAAAAAGACCCGCCTTTGTCATTGGTTCCCAAAATAAAGTCCTGGGATTCTGGCCGGCCCAGGAAGGTGCTGCCCCCTAATAAATACGACACTTCACCAAAATTCCGGGACATCTGAGGACCCATTCCCATTCATAAGGAAAGAAGACATGTAGGCTTCAAATGAAATACTCGAGGTAGGTTATACAATGTCAAAATTAAGAGAAACTACACTAGAAAACAAGATATGCTCAATTAAGCTAATGATAGCATATATTAAAGCATATATTAGATCCATTGTTTATTTTCAATATACCCATTTTTTATTTTATTTTATAGGTCTAAACATTTTAATTTCATGGCAGAACCATGCAGAACTTGCTTTCCACATGGCACTGCCATTTCCCCAAGTTTCCCCACAGACACCCATAGTAGTGGTCACAGATTCAGTTTAGACAACTTCAGGATACAATAATATAAATTACAAGTTTTTCCTGATCAAGTGTAACTGAACAGTTGACTAAATAATGAACAACATTCAAAGTAGTCAAACATAGAAACAACTAATAGTGGCGCTAGTAGGTTGTCAGAAACGCTGACATTTACTGGAGGGCTCAGGAGCTTTGTCTTAATAACATCTTTAAACCAACGGGAAAATGACATGCTGACTTTCCTCTGTCTCCACATCAAAGGTCTCAGCAGCTCACCAGAAGTAGCTCAAAGTAAGGACCACACTGATCGAGCAACCAAAAATAGTCAGAAATGTCAGTGAAGGGTTTCTGGCCAGAAAATGTAATATCCTGACCTGTAGGAGAAAGCTCATTTTATTTACTTAAGAGGTGACAAAATAATTACTTTAGAAGTCACTATAACAAAAAGTTTGCACTTTTAAAAAAAGTCTGTTTTTTCTTAAGAACAGATGTGAAGTCCTCAGGTGTCTGTGCAAAGTCAACAAACTAATTACAATACAATCTGTTTCTACAAAGTCAAGACTATAGCTGAATGTCTCATACTGTACCCGAATAAAAGTGTATTTACTTAATACAGGTTTGCTTTCTTAAGGCGCTTGAATTAGATCCTCTGTTGGGGGGATTTTGAGATACTAATATCTCATTAATTTAAATAGAAAAGAGCAACTTTTGCTTTAATTTCCATAAAGACTTTTCATGCAATTCTGAGATTTAATCATCTAATTTATTCAGAAAAACAGCTTTTTTTTTAGATTTATTGGTTTAAACATTTTCTATTTAACAACAATATTTCTTTCAGCACCAATGAACACTGAGTCTAGAGTAGTCATTATGTACTTGAGGTTGATTTCTCTGCAAGGGTTAAACAAAGACACATGAATCCCAATATATTAAAGAACCAGGACACAAACAGGTAGTATTGTGTTTGATGGTTTATTTAAAGTTATTCCCGCTGCATGCCCTCTCCCTGTGTGAAAGCGGAGTCGGAAAGGAGGAGGATACAGGCCACTATAGCGCCACATCAGCACAATTTTTAAGATGGTTACTTGTTTGGTTAGAAAACCTCCAACCCAGACTGGTATGGCACTCTGTGCTGCCCTAACTACCATGGTGACGTTTAAAACAACTCCCCGTAATAAGAAGGTCCAATAAGAGATTAGAGAGTGAGTATCTCCAATTCATGAATAGAAAAAGAAGGCAGTATTGTCATATGTTAACTTCCAGAGAGAAATAACAAAATGGGGCAGGTGATGGTGAAGAGACAAGTAGAGAATATTCAACACAAAGTATTATCTCTCTCTCGTTTCTTGATGTGGCTGCTGATCAGTAAGGCGGGCTTTGATGATGTCACTTAAGTTAAATGTTGAGGCTTTTGATTTTGAACCTCAAGATTCACAGGGTGGTCGTCGTCCTTCTCCTATCAATGAAGCACTTCTTCTCTCCTCCTTCCACACAAAATCGGATGGACTGTGTGATAGAAGAGTAGATTCAGGTCAGTGTCTAGACAGCGAATAATACACAAGCAGTAGTTGTCGATCTCAAAGGCTCAATTCATGATACAAGGATGATGCAGGAATGAAACATGATATCTTTCCCGTGAAGCCCAAAGATTTTGTTGGAGCACGCAGAAGAATGCCTTCATTCATCAAAGTGTGCAGCTGCAAAAGGGATGAATTAATTGGTACCCAACAGTTGCAGCCAGTGTCCATTGAGTCAATATTCAATTAAAATGTTGACGTCATGTTCATGGTGTTATCTGAGGCGATGGGAACATTTTTACTGAAAGACATATCTGTGTTGAAATGTGCTACAACTCAGGGCACTGAGCAGCACATCCTAAAAAAAAAAAAACCACCCATCTCCCCTGTGGGACAGGAGGCTGCCATCATATGGGAACCATGTCAAAACAGTGGCACTTAAAACTCTTAACTATCAGAGCGGTCAGATGCACATCGGAGTAAATATGTGAAAATGTTTGTGTTGGCTGGTGGAGATCATTTATCAGGATCAAAACACTGAATACAAACTACTCAGAATTTAGAAATACATCGACTGTTATTAAGTCTTGGCCCTTGTTTAAACCTCAGTCAATTTTCAGATTGACTGTTATATTTAGCATACAGATGTTATGAGATGGACTCTATGTTGGAAAAGAGAACCAGATATGGAATTTGTTTAAAAGTCTGTTACAGACAGCCTGTAAAGGCAACACTACAAAGCCTGATCATGTGAAAGGTGTTATTATTGTATTTTAGAAACAATGTCTTTAATTTTACTACCACAACCGGAATAAAAAATAACAAGAAATTGCTGTGTGCCACACTGACACGTATCAGTGTGCATTTCCATCAACTGGTTGCTGCTGCCTTTTTGTTGATATTAAGATTAATTTGCTTCAATTACGCAAATCCTTCCACCAAAAACAGAAGTCCTTTTTTAGGTTGTTAAAAATACACTGCCAGACACCCTGACTCTAACACACAGTGGCACCAATCTGCTCTGAACCAGCTCTCAGCACCAGCAATGTTTGGTTTCTTCAAGCTTGTCCAATCTAGTTACAGTAACACAGGCAGCTCTTGGATAGGGTCAGGGTGAAACTGTCAGCTTGTCTGTGCCGAAGTGTTACCTGCGTAGGGGACTACAGATCGCCAAGGGGAATGATTTCTTCGTTGATAAAAAACTCAATGGTCTCCTCCTCCCAGTCTTCCACATTGCTATCCAGTTCATCAGTGTCCACTCCTAGATGACACAAAGGAATGTCAGCATTTTTTTTTTTTTTTTTTTTTTTTGAATTGGAGACAACAGCGATTAAGAGAGGAGAGCAATTGTTAAAGCATAAAGGTGAAAGTTCCCACCTGCTCTGAGCTCGAGGCGGAGGTCCTTCTGTTCCAGATAGGTCTGCTGCGCTGTCTCCCTGTAGCGACGGTAGTCTTCCATCATGGATCTGCGCTTATCCACCAGCTCCTACTCAAACAAACATTAAACATTTAGCTTCCAGTCACTAATTATGGGACTGCCAATATGCACCATGTGTAATGTATTTTACTACAACATTTAAAGGGGCTCAAAAAGGGATCCGTTCAAAACTGTCTCTGTTATTAAATTATAGTCAAACTCTACATATTAAAAAGGTGAGACGGGAATGTAAACAGCCTGGGTCAGTTTAAAACAACAAAACAAACCTTGGAAGCCTTGGACTGGCTCAGACGATCCTTCTGCTCAAAGATCTTTGAGTACTTCTTCAGATCCTTCTTGATCAGCTGCAAGACACAGAGGGACATGAATGATGAATGTACACTCCACAGCATGAAGTATGAGCCTCAGATCAGATTTAGAATCAAGGGCTGCAGTGCAGCTCTCATACAAGGTGTCAGAAAAGTTATTTAGTTTTTGTCGTTATTGGCTCCAGGTACACAAAAACCACTTTTCCACTGCATGGCACGGCTTAGAACTGTAGTTTAACTCCATTTACCTAAATGGACTTGAGCTTATATAGCGCTTTTCTAGTCTTCCGACTACTCAAAGCACTTTTACACCGCATGTCACACCCACCTCATACCCTTTCACACACTGATGTAGTATCATCCATCAGAAGTAACTAATCCCATTCATACACCGCTACCAAAGCAGTGGGAGCAATTCAGGGTTAAGTGTCTTGCCCACTCTATCAACTGAGCCACAGCCTCTTAAAAAGATGTCTACTGTTTTTTGTCCTCGTTTCTGTCATGGATCTTTCCTTCAAGGAAGAGTCCAGAATGGGTACAATACGGTCATAGCACAGTAGTGTAGGACTAGAATCAAAGCTGGAGGGGAAAGTCACATTACACAGACCCCTCACATTTTGTATAGCCATGCTAACACCAATTAAAAAGTTATTTTATTTTGTAATTCACGCGACTTAGAATTTTTAAGTTGTAAAACCTGCAAAACCACATTGCTGTAAATTGAGGAGTGCAGACATGTCTCTGTGTTTCTGAAGACAATATCACAGTACTCTGATGTTGAGGTGCTGTGATGATCAGCTTAAATGAAAGATAAAAGCTGCCCTTATTGAGGAGGTTTATGTGCATTAAAACAAAGTCACTAAAATAACTTTGTACTAAAAGTGTGTTGGGTTGAACTGAACTGTACCACACAGTGGAAACAAGATTATACAGTACTGTATAGAGACATAGATAAAATGGAACCTTGATTGCGTCTGAGCTGAGCAGGGTGGGAGGTCTGGGTCTCCAGAGCAACTGACAGAACCGGTCCTTGTTGTTCTTCTGAAGAAGACGGCCCTGGAATGTCCACAGCCAGTACGCATTGTCCACCTAGACACAAACATGAAAAGGTGAAACAATTCAGAATGTATTTTCACCAATCCACCAAGATTTCTTTCTTTTTTGCAAATAGGAAAACATCGGGTATGAAGCAGCACTTACCTTGTGGCTCCACCAGGAGACAGAGGTGACGACGTAGCGACCGGTCGGGTCCCACTCCACGTCAGACGCCATGTAGTGCTCGGCTATGTTCATCATGGTGCAGTCTGACGTGTCCACAAATGCAAGAGCTCCATTCATGCTGTGCACACACAACAAAAGAGAGTTTGAACACAAAAAGACTGAAACACAAATGCATACTAAAAGAACACTGTGAGCCTCAGAACTGAGTTAGAATCAGGAGCGTAGCTCTCATACGAGGTGTCAGAAAAGTTATTTGGTTCGTCATCAGGGGCTTCTTGCATACACAAACACACACAAACACAGATTTAACTGACCTCCTGAGTCCAGCAAGCACCAAAAACTGTCCCTGCGGGCTCCAGAAGATGCTGTTGGCCTGCTGCTTGTCAAACATTTCTGGAGAAAAAGGAGAAGTGCCAAATACAGTTAGTCTTTATGGAGTGTCTTAAATGTTAGACTCATGGCCAATAGGACAATTAATGCATCTGCTCAATCCACTCACTTATGAGCTCGATCTTGCCGTTGTTTTTGACATGATAGAAGGAGACACTGATTCTGGGAGGTTCTCCGTGCAGAACAGCAAACTTGCTGCCATTTGGTTCCCATGCAAATGCAATTATGCCCTCTGGAAAGTAGAAATCAAAAATATTAAATCAATGTTTACCTATTAACATTAAGAAACTAATGAGTAACATTGTGCTGTTTATTATATTCTTACCCTTCATCTCCACCACATCAACAGGAACCTGCTTCTCTCTCATGCGGAAGATTTCAAAGTTGGTGACCACACCCTGGAAACAGTTAGAAAGAAAAGTTTACCATTTGTTTTACATCAGAGAGGTCTAAGCTTTTAACCCTCCATTTGTTCCGCTTGTGTACCTGTGTTCCTTTAGGAGTCCTGTCCACTTTCACACATAGGTAATCTCCGTTCCTCTGCCAGTGCAGTTTGCAGTCGACCACGTTGAAGAGGTTGCGGACACGGATCTCCTGACGGGAAGGCATCTGCATCAGAGTCACTCTGGCTGGGATGTCTTTGTCTTCAGGCACCCAGAATGCTATGATGTTGTCCCCAGGAGACCAGGAGAAGTCCCTGCACATAACCACACAGGCTGTTGTTAATATCTCCATAAAGAACTGTTTACATTGAAAGCATTTCATTTTAACAATCAAGGACACTTACTTGATCCCGGTAATCTTGAGACTCTTTTTGTCTAGCAGGCCCATGGACTGAGAAGAGGAGAAACATGGCTTTAGTGTCACTTCCACAATCTACATAAATACAGCCAACGTGTTTTCTTGCAAGTCAACTCACTGGGGTCTCATAGATGCTCAGAGTGTCTGTGGTCATCCTGGCAAAGAACTTCCCATCATGACTCCATCTGAGAAGAAAAATGGCTCATTATTATATATCCAATCTCTGCAGGAGTACGCTTGTGAAGATTTGAAGAATAGAGAAAAAAAAAAACAAGGACAAAAGCAAAGAGTACTGACTTGAAAATGGGCCAGTGTGCAGAGCTCTCGCAATGGAAACCTCTCTTCTTCTGCCCAGTCAGAATGTCCCAGATGATGATGGCCTGAGGGTCCTCTTTGGTGTCCATCAGAGGACTGAAGGTCACCACGTACCTGGAGGGATCATTGGCACAGGAGGAGCGTCAGAGAGCTCAGATACTGTGTAATCTCACATGCTTAATGTAAGAAAGAGTCAAGTCAAATAATGTGTCTTGTCTTTTGTTTCTACAGATGTTGTAAAATTGATTACATAAATGTATCACATGGGGCTCGTATTGACAGAAAATGATTGTTTAAAGCTTCAGAAGGGTGCCACAAATTAATCTCCTAGACGAATATAATCACAACAACTAATATATTCTTTAGTTATATTACACTGATTGTCTTTCTTGTTTTAAATAAATACACACTAATACAAGTGAATGCTGAGGTCAGTTAAAACCATTGGTACAAGTTTCTGCTCATTAGGAAATCATGTGCTACGTTTCAAAAGTGCAACAACTTATACCACTCAGTATTTTTTGGCTAATACTTCCACAAAATGTCAGTAAAATCACTCAAGTGATGATTACCTTTCACATGGTGAGAAGTCAATGAGGGAAACCCCCTGATGACTGAACCTCTGAATCTGCTTGAACTTCTCTCCGCCCCACAATGCAATGCCCCGTTGATGGAAGGTGGCCAGGTAAGTGCCTTTAGGAGACCAGCGCACATACGTCTCTGTCCAGCGCTACATCCAAGAAACAGAATTTGTTCGTTTACAAGCAGACTGCAACCAATTAATGACATTAAATGCAACATCAAAAGTGCTTTTCAAAGTGGTCCACTACTTACTGCTCTCTCTTCACTTATGATTGGGTCCTTTGCATCGTTATTGAAAATGGCAGTCCTTTCTCCGGCTTCGTAGATCACACTGTATTGGTCGCGACAATCTGGGTCCTCAATCCAGTGACGCATGTTACCCTGAAGAGACAAAAAATTCAGGGTAAGAGGGGTTGGGGGTACATATAGGTTAACCCCAACTTACAAACCTTCTAAAGGGTAAACACTTTTATTTATTATTAACAACAACAAAAGCACACTCACGAAGTCTTTGAAAGGCTGCTTCTCTGGAGTTTCCCACTCATCACTGATGTTCATGTACCTTGGGAAGTTAGCACAAAAAATTAATCTACTTGATTCACATTATTTTTTTGTTACCTTTTCTGCATTTATTAATAAAAGCTACACACTTACTTGTCAAAGTCAGTGAAGAGATTGACCCTGAACGTATGCTGTTTGTCCAGTTTGTATCCATCTGCGTTCTTTACTGCCTCAAGGGCCTGAGTAGGTCCACCATACTCCAAGAAGATATACCTGTGTGAGAAATGAGTCACAGATGAGTCTTTTTCAACATTCAATTCCAAGTTAACTCCATGTAATGGCATAACAAAGAAAGACAGTGAAATAAGAAAAACACAAACCCTTTGGTCAAGCCATCAGCCTCTGGATAGAACTCAGTGGTGATTTTGCCAAATTTGGAGAAAATCTTGTGTATGACGTTCTTGAGTTTCTCCAAACGCTCCGGGCCGACCTGAGGGACGTTGTCAACCACAACCACAGAGTCGATGCCATCAGCCTCCTGAGGCTTGTCTTTCAGGATGTCACCAAGGAGCTCTGAAGAGAGAGGAGAGAGATGGGAAAATCAGGGGTTGGAAATATAGCATTAATCAGTAATTCAAAGAGGACCACTGGCCTTCTTGTGATCGTTGTTGAAAGTACCAGCAGAATATATGTAAGATTTTTTAAAAGGGTTTAAAGGACTGGTAGAATAAGACAGACAAGAAACATGGGGACAGAAAGAAAATGCTTCATGCAACAAAGGCACTCAGCTACACCTAATCAGGGGTGTTGCAATTGAACAGGAAGTCTAACTAAAGTAAATCATCATTTATCTAAAGCCTGTGTTAAAATGTGTATTACTAAGAATACAGTAAAGACTTTTTTAAACATCTGACAAATGCACACACATCTGCACCAGTGTGTTAAAACGTGTACAAGATAATGGTCTAGATTAGTGTTGATCCAATGAATTATGGGTCTGTTGTAACATTGATTCAAGTTGGCTGTCTAATGTACAAGCAGCTGTATTACCTATTTTCGTCATTCATTTACATAAATCCCTGCATTCTGTTTCCCACGGCAGTCCTATAAAAACGACTTAACATTATTAGATAAAGGGGGATTTTCTTTGTATGGTTAAAAAAAGATCATATTTATTGGCAGTCTTGATCAGCAATCTTAATCTCTTATGCTTTAACTTGGTAATTTCTTATCTTACTTTGTCTATTTATGTTTCATATTTACTTTTTTTTAATTAATATTATAGTTTTGGGTTTTTTGATCCTTTAACCACTTGTTTCTATTTCTTTTATTGCTCTTATTGCTGTTATCCTTTTATTTATTTTTTCCAGCTCTTTTAGTTTCTTACATATTTTTAAATCTTTGGTTCCTCTTGGTCTCAGCTTGTGTTGTTGGGTTCTTGTTTTGCCTGGGTTCTTATAATGGTTCTTGTGATGGTTGGGTTATACATGTCTGTTGGGTATCGTGCACTTTGGGTTCTTTTGTATTTAATTATTTTTAGTATTTCGCATTTGTTGTATTCTTCCTGTTCTTGATGTTCTTCTGTGTTTGGTTTAGTTTGCTTTGTTCTTGTTTGTCAAAGCACTTTGTAAATCTGTGTTTTTAAAAGCTGCTATATAAATAAAGTTATTATTATTATTGAGGGGAATCATGCAGCATACTCCCCTTAACCCTGTGCTAATACACTTAACACTTAAATAAAGGCCTATTTTAACCAGCTGACTCATGAAGACCTGAGACTGCAAATGTGATAGTATCAGTCTTGTTTCCTGTTTTCTCTCAACACAGATACAACTAGAAGAGCCTTTAGTCAGTTTCATACATATTACAATGTCTTAAATGGCAGAGACAAGGCCTCAGTAAATGATTGTCTGAGGTCTGGATGAGGCTCAAATGGGCGTTAAAATCAAACGGTAAGAACATCTGTTATATCATTGATATGTCAGTAAAATATTTGAGGAAATGACGATTTAACTCTTCAACTCGTCTCACTTGAGAGTGCCTCGCATTAAGACATTAACCTAGCTTTGTCGTAGCACCGCCACTGAGCCAAATTAGTGCAGCTCTGAGCTAAGTGTTAGCATCAGGGCCAGAAAGCCGGGAGTTTTCCTGCTGCGCCCCTCACCCTCATCGTCGACGTCATCCTCATAGTCCTCAGGGTCGCTGAAGGAAGGCTCTTCCTCTTCATACTCTGGGTCGTCCACCATATCCACCGTGTCTTGCATCTATCAGGGGGCTACGAGACGGACTTCTCGCCACAAAATAAGCAGAATGAAGAAATACGAAGAGGCTGGCGGTCCCTCGGCCGGTGCGGCACCATGTGCGATTACGCGAAAATGGACGAAGAGAGACGGAAGCGTAACTCCGGAAACAGTTCGTTAGGGCTTTAGCGCGTGCTGTGCGGGAAACGTAGAGTTGTAAAGCACATGGAGCGGCTGCGTCTGTGACCTGGAAATACGCGATTAGCCATATCCACATGGGTGTAGATTAGTTTTGCGGCGCAGGTGTCAAAGTTATAAGTCACAAATGTAAACTTATAAAATAAAAAAAATAAAAAAAAGGGGGGAAGCCAGACACCGGTAGATCTGAAACCACTTCCCGCGAAATGGTTTAGTTAGCAAAACTATAAGGAAACATGAGTTGTTATATCGGCTAGGTGATCACTTTGACTTTTACACATTGTTAAAAGTACAAAGGGAGGTCAATACTTCTATACATGCCCAGGTCTCTTTGAAAAACACAAACTTGCACCATGGACAGTGAGTGTGTATCGCTGCTGCCGAGGGTGTGTAAGGTGCTGGCGGACTCAGGGTCTCTGCCGGATGACACAAGCCTGGAGAAACTTTTGGACTGGTTCACGATGCTCATCAAGACCGGTTAGTAGGCTACTGTACTTTCTTGTAGTTTTAGTTGTGTGGCTAATCCTAGACACGTGTTAGGTGCATTTAAAACAGCTCTGTCTTGTCCCCACTAAACACCAATGTGACTGCATGTTACAAGGCTACATTAAATGTACTATTTGATAACTTTTGATAGTGACACAACCATGATGAACCACCGATGTATTGATAGGTGGAAATTAGATCTGCAACACTGTCTCAACATTCAACTTTTTCTCCAAAAACAGGGGAATCTGTGCTGGAGTCCTGCCCATGTGTGACTGAATTCATCTCCACTGTGGTTTGCAACACAGCTTCAGAGCCTAGTGTCCTTTCCTTTACGCTCAAACTCACCGGCTTACTTGCAGCCACCGAGGATGGCTTTTTAACACTTCAGGTAGAGTCACAGTCATTTGTACATTTACACATTTTTTAGACCTTTTGAACACTGACTAAAATTTTTTGTGTAAAAATTCTGACTTTTTGCAGGAATGCTCTGCTCTGGACCAGGCCTTCAGTTTGCAGCACTGGCAAGGAGCGGGTCTCTGGGAGGATCCCTGTTTAAGGATTGGTTGGATCCAGGGATTAAAAAACTCTCTGCAGCACCCGAAGGCTCTCAGTTTCTTTGTACAATCAGGTAACACTTCATATGACCATCTCTTCTCGTATCTTGTACGTCATAAGGTAAAATTAGGGAATGCATACTTAAAATTGCACCGCTTTGTAACTGCAATCTGTTTTCCCAACTTCCCAGATTTTATACAACCACTCATACAACTCCAGACTGACACAAGCTTATTTGTTGCTGCGGCTGCCAATCAAATGCTCGCCGACGTCCTGCTCTTATTCCAGCCGGTCTCGTCTTCAGGATGTAACAGCATGGATGAGAAAGAGGAAAAAGTTAATGGGAGCACACTACATGCCTCAAACATAGACTTAGAACAACCAGCTGTCACAATGGAAACCAGTGCAGAGTACACTGCTGTTGTCAAGGTGGTATCACAGTACCTCAAGGAGTCAATAGTGCCTAAAGAAAACACACAGCTCCAGAAGACTAAGCAGACCCTTAAGCTGCTTGCCCTGCTGCTGGCCCAGGCCAGGCCTCCTCTCCGGGATGAGCTGCTCCAGACTGTGTCGGGGTCTCTGGAGGAGGTGGTGACGGCAGGCTACAGTCAGCTCACGCTGCCTCTGTTGGAAGTTATTCTGGCTGCATACAGGTAGACTACAGACAGCTGTCAAAGAAGAAGAGAGACTAGCAGGATCAAATCTAATGACAATTCATGTTATTAAACTGACATTTTAGTTACCGCTACAATCACAACTCACCAACCCCATTTTTAAAATGTATTTTAAAATGTATTTTAAAAAAGCAAATGCATGCTGGATTTAATTATAAAACATATCTTGTCAGTGACACGGTTAAGGAGTAAAAAACCTGACCTTGATGGAGTAAAGCATGTTGAGGGTTTAACACAATTATCTGGGCTTTACTGTATGTGTGTCTCGGATTTGATTCAAGCCATAAATACGATTCAGATAAGAGATTTTCCCCTGTAGGAAAGAGAATCTATTGTACACAGAACTTTCTCTTTTGCTCAATTTGACCATAAACAATATATGTAAGAATGCAGTTGTGCTAACATGAACACTATGAGTTTAATTGTTTTGAATGATTAATTCCAACATGAATACTGCCAAGTGAGGACTGTAACAAACCAAAGAAAATGTTAATGAATTTATAGGAAAAGTTGAGGTAGGCTGCACTGGTTTAATCCAGGCGTACACTAACAGAGTTTCTGTTGCGTAATTGTGCGATGTCATAATGATGTAATATAACATATCGAGTGTTTGTAATATAAAACAGTGTCCATGTTTGTCTTCAGCAGCTCCAGAACTGAAAGTGTGTTAGTCCAGCGTGTCGGCTCTCTGCTATCATCCATGTTGAATATTAACAAACCTGCAGAAGTCATTCAAGCTGCAGCTGCTTTTCTTCGCAGTGGTCATCAGTGAGTATCTGTACAATGCAGAACTTCACACCCTCATGCAGAATTCACCATCAGCACACACTATTAGTATGTAGAGGTTATGTTTCACTGAGGTGCATCCTGTAGTTATTAACCAAGGGTTATTTTTCTAATTATTTTAATTGTTCTTTGCAGCGATACTACCCACACACCGCAAGCTGTAAGAATACTACTGCTTCCCCTCGACATTATAACTGGTCACACTCTACTGGGCACAGACATATCAGGTAAAATACACGGAGTAGGAAAATAAAGAAAACAGTCTGTTGTGCAGCATCATACAGCTAATTAGTATTATTATTGTTTTTGTTTTTTGTTCCTGCAGCCGATGATCAGCAGTTTACCAGGGCAGACCATCTGACGAATAAAACCTCATGCATCTCTTTGATCTGTACTTGTCTGACAAACACATCAAACATCACACTCGTGGTGAGACTAACTGAAAGCATAGCTGAGGGGGGAAAAAAAGGCTGTAATTTGCGATGTGAAGCAGAGTTACATCACAGTCCCTGTCTCTGTTTTTCCCACAGCCCTCTGGCCTCCTCCCTTGTCCTCCCGCTTTAATTATCACTGCAGTTCTGTCGTTGATGAGGATCTGCAGAGGCGTCTCCACCTCATCGTCCTCTGGCTGCGGTGACATTTGCAGGAATGTGATCGGCAGTGGTAAAGTTCAGAAATGTGCTCTGGATGCTCTGACATTTCTGAGCAGCAGCCCAGGTGAAACTGTGTTTCTATGTGAATCGATCCAAATTTAAAAAAAAAAAAAGAAACATGTTTTTATTTACTAAATGCTTTACCTCAGCTTAATGGAAACGTTTATTGAAAAGACAACTGAACATAATTGAACTTAACCGGGCATTTTAGAAGTGAAACAGCAGGAGGAAGTGGAATAAGTATAAAAGTTATGACAAAAAAAGTCAAAAGAATTTGTCTTAACAATTTTATCAAGAAGAAAATGAGATGAAACATTGTCATATACTCACACATAAACAAATGCTACAACATGAGAACAACATTATAAACAGTGTGTTTGATGTAATGAAACATGATGCTTGAATCCTTCATCTTGTGTGTTTCAGGAGCCAAGGAGAAGATCAGTGAAGTGTTCACAGTTCTGATCAAATATCTGGAGAATCCTGATTCTGAGCCCACAGTGAGTACAAAATGTTTTTATTCGGTCACTGACCTGCAATTAAAAGCAAACTAAAGTGGAGAAAAAAAACACTCATTACTCATATTTTTTCCCCCGCAAAGATTCAAGTTGAAGTATTTTTGGGTGAAATCCTGAAATTTTCAAGAGTTTTGTGAGGAAATTCTATGAGTAATGATGAGAAACGATGCGATACATGTTATTGTCCTCTTGGGGAAATTTGTTCTGCACACATTTAGCTGCTTCCATCAAACAGCAGCACACGGGCCTGTGTCACAGAAGGGCAGCATCAACGGAAGGGCTTAAATTGAAGGTATCAGGAAAGGACAGTCTTGTATGTGTCTTTTTAGCTGTTATCCAATTTTCTTGTAGTTTTAGTCTTAGTTTGAGATTCCTTAGCAGGATTACTAAATGTATCTAACCAGGTCTCTCAATGACTGTCTCGTTTTTCTTTCTTTCTCATTGTTATGACTGTCTTTGTTTGTTAGGTTATCCACAAGACCTACCAAGCCATAATAAAGTGGATCAGTGTGTGCACAGACTTCTCCTTTATAACAGACCAGCTCAGACGAGGTAAAATGCATGGAAGATCAATAATTCACTCCTCTGTGATAAATCAACACATAAAGCATACTTGCATTATATTTGGCTACATATTGTGTTTCTGAAATTAAATGCATGTTTATCACGGTCAGATCTGGTGGAGGTTGTGAAGAAGCGTGTGTGTGACATGCGCTGGGAAGTGAGAGACTCGACCGTCGAGTTTCTGGGACACCTGGCAGGTGTCAGTGTCTCACTGAAATCCGCAGAGGAGGTGTGTTCTGCGTCAGAAGCTCTGCTGGGAGGCTGCTCGACCACTCCTCTCCTTAGGGAGGCGCTTCAGGACACAGAGAGCTATGTTAGAGCCAGCGCTGTCTCTTCACTGGCAAAGACTCTGACACACAGCTGGCAGCAGGGGGCAGCACATACTCAGGAGGAGGTAAGCAGACTGTTTCAACATTGGACTTATTATACACCAGATTGCACAAGACTCATTAATCAACGTTAAGGCTCACTTGAAAGTATTTTGTATATTTTGGCATCTAACTTTCTAGATACACTCGGTCCAAATTATTTTTAATATCGCAAATTTTATTTTTGTTTAAAACTTGATAAAGCTTGGAGGCTTTTTCTCTCTCTCTCTCTCTCTCTCTTTAAGGCAGACGACCCAGGAGGCTGTGAGATAAATATGAGAAGTCAAAAATTGAAATGATCAAATTAGCATGAATAAAGATAAAGGTTGTGAGACACAAATGATAAAGCAACAATATGTAAGTTTCCACTTAAAAAAAAGTAGTTTCAAAGGTCAATTTAATAGCACAATAACTTTTAACAGGGAGAATGGCGTCTCTCCCATCATGCAGGTTCCCTGTTTACTGCACTACATGTGCCGAGGTCATCTCGCGAGAAGTGTGGACAGCTTTACTGCACTCGTTCACAGAGAAGCCTTCAGTTATAAAAAGAAGCCAGTTAGCTCGTCTCTATATCTTTCGGCAATTTAACTAACTGTACAGTACCTTGTAAGTCATCATGGTTGTTTAGCTTATCACAATGTATTTCCCAGCTCGCATCCTCTGCTTTTAAAGAAATGCACGCTGTCTAAGAGTCATAGGCATTACAGCACTATTTGTGTCTATATTTGTTGCACTGAGAGACCATCGGACTCAGGACACAAATATTTATGGACTACTATTAATATTTTTATATTGTGTTTTGTATGCAATACTTATCCTAATAATTGAATGCCTTTAAATGTCTTTAGCCTTAATACGATATACAGTAAATACTTTCTTGTAGCATTGTACCTGTCCCTTCCTCATACGTGTATGAGAATGTTTAGAACTTCTTTGTTCTTCCAGACTGAAATAGTGAGCCGGCTGCTTGAAATCCTCTCCAAAGACACAGAGGGATTCGCCAGGAGGGCTGTGGTACAATACTTCATCGCCTGGTTCTCCACGTCCTCCTCCGCCTCTCACCTGACGCAGAGTGTTCACTCCGTCGTCTCACAGGGCAGCGCAGATCTGGACTGGGAAGTCAAATTTCACACGCTGGAGTTGGCTGAACTGCTCATGGATGAAATATTTTCAGGTCGGCAGGGTTACAGGAAGAGCTTGGACACACATCATGACGCACAGCACCCTTATGGTGTAGTTAGTGAGCAGGCCTACACCCTCCACACTCACAAGGAGGGGGTGGCGTCAGACTTGAGCAGAGTGTTGAAGAATCTGGTCGAGCAGGGAGTTGTCTCAGTGCTGCTGAGCAGTGTGATTGACTGTGATCGGCCCGTGGCGCTGAAGGCCTGTCAACTGCTGATAACACTCAGACAGACGGTCTGTCCTCTGTTGCTAGGCAACCAAGATGCTTCCACAGAAACAATTGATAGAGTGTCCTGTGAACTTCCTGGCTGGGGCTGGGGGCTAGAGATCAGAAAGATACTGGGGATAAAAAAGAGCAATGACGCCCAAGAGATGGACATGATGGCTAAGGTCGAGACGGGAGAGGAGTGTGCGGTTGAGGGAGGGGACAGTGTGACTGTTGGTTTGTGTGAGGTGTTGGGCTCTCTGGGTTTAGACAACATGCTGGACGTTTTGACACAAAGCAGCGACCACATCCACAACTCTCCCCTCTCTCTGCTGCAGGACATTCTGACTGCACGGGCAGCGAACACTAGTTCAGACACACAGCCGGGGCAGGAGGTCATTGTGGACTGCTACTGATACATGAACACACACACACACACACACACACACACACACACACACACACACACACACACACACACACACACACTTGCTTCCTTAATTTCTGATTTATACATCAACAATGCTTCTATTTTTATAACAGGAAGATCAATAGATAAACCAATAGATGAAAACTTTCAGTGTTTTGTGGGTTTATTTGAAGCTGCACTTGTCTTCGCTTCCAGTAGAGGTCAATCACAACTTAATAATGCACAGGTCTAAAACAGACTTATTTTGAGTCTTTTTAATCAGAAAAAGCCATAAATAAATATAAAAATAAAGGTGACGCATGGTCGAGTCTGCACATCGGAGAACAACACAGAGAACATGACAGCTACTTTGTGGCTTATTTTGACTCATGTTAGTCCGATACAGCCAGAACACTCTGGATTTCCTCATAATGAAGGCTGCCAATGTTGTGTATCTGCGTTCTTGTGCTCGTGCATGAACTGTACACCTCTCCGAAGCATGCAAGAGCCAAGGAAGTGTGCCGTGCTTGAGGTACGATCACTCTGGTCAAACGAACTGGACTTTAGGGGTGAAGCGTGCTTAGGCACGGTAGAGATTGCTAGTGTGATCACGCCCTTATACCTGTTCAAAAGAAGTGAAATGTATCTGAAAAGTCAAACAAAGGCAGAAGTATTTTAAATCAGCTCTGGTTGAAAGTCAGCGTATACAGAAGAAAGGTCATGGTACCAGAATTTTGAACTTTGAAACAATACCAGTAGACTTCTACGATCTCAATATCTGCTTTAATACAAGCTACAAAATTTGAAGTCCTAGGCACCTGATTATTTCTTATTTTTAATTACCAGAAATTGCAGGCAATCTCCTGCACACTGTCTAAGTGACATAAATACTGTTGTAACATTTCATTACTGATATGAATTTGTGAAATGAAGAGATTACACCTCCTCTGCCTGTTTGTTAAAGACTTAAATGTAACCTAAAAAACATGAGTGTTTGTTGATGTGGGAGTTGGAAGGAACACAGCTGCTCGTTCATTTGCAGCAGTTTATGGTTAAAAATATGACTGAAGATCTGTATGTTTTTTAAACTTCATTAAAACTGATCATTAACGAATATTAAATAGTTATTGAACATGTGGTGTTGAAAAATGTCGAAGGATCAACATTTTTTTGACAACCTGTGTATGAAGTGTTTGAAGAAATGAACATAAATGTCATTTTATTTATCGCCTCAGAAACATTTTCCTGAGAATTTGTTATCTATCACTAGTTTCAAGTCTTCTTTCATAAAGCATGCAGTCCAGTCTGTATAATATGGTCCCATTCAGAGTGCTTGGCAAAATTCATCAAATAAGTTTAGCATGGGCATTCAACTTTTTGTAAAAATCAATTTTGTTTCTACCGACCCCCAAAAGAATGAGATAAGGAAAAGTAAAATGCCAAATTGTGACTTCAAAATAGTAGTCTAGAAACCAAAGAGTGACATCGCAGTGACTATATCCACTTCTTACAGTGTATGATCCTGACAACACAACCTCCTGCTTTTACAACCCAACATCACTGAACCTGACAGTTACTGCCAACTAAGTCTAATTTTGAAATAACAGAACAGCCTTATTGACACCTAGCAGAACTCCACAGACTCATATTATTATCATTCCATAGATGTCCTACAAGTCAATTGATTCACAATTAAAACATTGCATGTTTCTACTGACATCTGTTATCTGGTAAAAAGATATATTATTAGATCTGACTCTAAAACTTAATTATATTGATCATCAATATGTAAACAACATTTTACTGCTGAAGTTGCCCTGGGTGGTATTAGTTTTGATTTTTTTTGAGGGGGAACAGTAGCTCAGCCTGTTGAGACTTGGGTTGGGAACCGGAGGGTCGCTGGCTCAGGTCCCAGTGTGGACCATAATATGGAAGTTCATCTGTTAGCTCGAGAGGTGCCAGATCACGTCCCAAGTACTGCTGAGGTACCTTTGAGCAAGGCACCGAAGACCCAACAGCTGTGGCCCGCTCCCTGCGCAGCAGTGTGTAGCAGCTCCACTCTGACATCTTTCTACTAATGCACGTCCCTATGTGTGTATTTTGAGCGAGAAGCATGTCTGTCAATAACGGAGTGTAAACCAGAATTTCCCTCAGGGATTAATAAAGTAAGTAAAATAAAAGAAATCTTCTAGAACAGTAAACTAGATTGTTCTTCTGTTTCCAAAGTTCCTCCAAACTGTACATCAGTAAAAAAAAAAATCACAGTACTTCTGTAGTTCTTTGTTTTTGTCTAATAAGCTGTAAGGGAAGTTTATTGTTGCCATTATTTAAAATCATTTCAAAGTTGTTATAAATGAAAATGGTGAGCAAAAGAAAAAGCTGTAAGAACTGTATTATACTCTATTGTTATGGAGATAAACACCTCAGGTCATCACACTCTATGCTGGATTATTTTTATCCCTTCCCTCTTTTCTTTCACTGTCTCTGATTTCCCTCGAGGAAATGCTTCGTTAAAGCCCCGGAGTTTGAAGTGTGTGTAGACTTAAGTGATGGAGAGTTACCGCCTCCACGTGTTCAGCCGCTCTCTGAGCAAGTCACATGGAGGAACAGAGGGACACGCGCCGAGCAAAACTCTCCTCATTAACTAATGAGCAGAATGTCAGCCGCTCAAACACACACGCACGCACACACAGACACACACTGATTATCACACACTGATTATCTCATCCTGTAATAGAGTGTCATCATCCTGGTCTGCTGCACTCACACAGCTGTATTGTGTCACTTCATTCATGAAGTGAAACTATTTTTGAAGCTGACTCTTCTCATTTGTTCAGCATGGAGGCGGTGGCTCTTTTCTCCTTCACAGCTTCAGAGGCAGACGAGATCAGTTTCCAGAAGGGCGACATCATCAAGGTAACTGTGTGTCTTAGTTTCTGTGTGTGTCAGTGTTTGTTTAATCTTAAGTGGCCAACGATAAGAAAAAGATTGCATGGTTACAAAGTAGGAATAATTGTGCACGTGTGTTTTAGGTGACAGAAATGGAGGATGATTCTTGCTGGTTCACAGCAGAGGTCCAGGGGAAGCGAGGCTACGTGCCAGAGAACTACATTTCCCTCCTTCCTTACCCGTAAGAAAAATCAATATATTTTTTATAATTCTAAAAAAGGTATCCAGTTTAGGATAAGGAACTGCTCTTTTGTTACAGCCAACCAGATATTACTGGATTGATTAACCAACACCTTTGACATCAGTGGTTCCCAAACCCTTGGCTTGTGGCCCCTTAATGAAAAGAAAAGAAGCAATGTGCTTGTGAAACCTTCCCTGATTGGATGTGTCTTTAGTGGGCATTTTTAGGCCTTAACAGGTTAAAGGATTACCTGTTTCACAAAACAGACAACAGAAATTTGACAACAATTTTTGGGGGTCCCAACCCGAGTTTTGTCACCACTGATTCATGAAATGTAATTGTTTTTCTCCAAAAGCGTCTCATGCTTGATGCATATTCCAGTTAAAAGAGAACTATGATGCCCTCCAATTCTTAAAGTGTATTCTAGCTCATGACAAGAAAGCCAATGACCTGTTTTTGTGTGCGGTTCTTTTTTTTAGGTGGTTTGCGGGACCGGTGTCACGACTCGATGCTGAAAAGCGTCTTCGCTGGCAAGACACCGGAGTGTTCCTGGTGAGGGAAAGTGAATCAGCTCCCGGAGAGTTTTCTGTCTCCGTGAGGTCAGTAAACGCACCACACAAACAAACGCACAAACACACAGAGATGAAGTCTGACAAAATCTCATGCTGCAGACTGATGTAACCCTCCTCTGTCGTCTGTTGACACGTTATGATCTCAATAAATGATGAATTGCTTCTTTGTTCAGCCGTTATATTTGTGAAATCTGCTGCACTGCTTCCTCCACAGCTGTGTGTCTTCATGACCAGAGATAGAAACATCTGCTCCTTGCTCTACTCTTAACAACTCAGTTTGACACCTTAAAGGTAGAATAAATTGTACAACCAGATTTATGCAAGAAGATGCATTCTAAATGTGATATTATGTGTTGCACTTAGATTTTTGTTTTACATCACATAGAGCACATTATCAAGTCAGAGCATCCACGTGTTTCTGAGTGTGTGTCAGGTTAAGTCAGACTATTTAAATATGCTCTACAGGAACCCAATGCACTAAAAATATAACAGCGGCGCAGTCAGTAAGAGTTTGTGTGTGTGTGAGTGTATAAGAGAGAGAGAGAGAGAGAGAGAGAGAGGAGGTGTAATTGGGTCACCAAAGTGACGTGGGACACATTTAATCATTGAGGGTACACTCAATAATCAGGGCATTACACAACATCACTCAGTCTTTAATTAAAAAAACAGGTACATTATGCAATTGACACATAGCACATTTAGGATAACATATTTATGACATACTGCTTGTATATATATATATATATACATGTTTAAAGGGTCAACATCTGTCTGCCTTCGAGGGCTGAGAGCCAAGAATGGTCTCTTCTTGAGCCCATGAACACACTCAGACAGCGAACACAGCACCAAGTGTAATACTAAGAAATGTCAATAGAGGGGGGAAATGTTTTAGAAGAGTTCGTTGGCAGTGACGGGATTGTGTATTTTATGGTTTAAAGCCGCAGGGACTCATTAAAGGACATTCTTTTAGGTCTCAGCATGTCTTCAGTTCCTTTAGATAACACCATCAAGAACACAGCTATGCTTTTTATGAGATCCAGCCTCAGTTTTTTTTTCTGCCTGTGTCCAAATTACTTTCTCCACACTTATGCTAAGAATGCATCAAAACAGGAAAGGTCACAAACTCTCTGTGTGCAGATTGATTTGTGTGTAAACCCACATCTCCAGGAACACTTAAGAAAAAAGTACTTTTTTTGAGAATGTTTTGCTGTTTTTGCTACTTTTCTCTGGTTTAGAGTGACATTTTAATTGATCTTTGGAATTAGGACATAGTAAGACAATAAATTATTCTGTTAAACACTCCTTTGGGCAAATTAGAGCCTCTCATTTACCTAGATGGGAGTCTTTGCATTTGGATGAAACTGCAGAAACAGGAAGTTCAAAACAAAAATGTACTGAAAGAAGATGTTGCGAGGATACTTCTGCTCGGCCTCATTTCAACAAACAAGCCTTCATGAGAGAACTGAGAGTGGTGTCGCCCTCCTTTCAGAGTTATTAAACAATTATTTTCAGGCGTGTGAAGCTGGGACAGAAGAGTCCATTGTGCCCATTTGTTTTGACATTTAAATGTTTTTAACTCTTTCGATAATTATGCAAAAAACAATACAAGAGCAGATACGCCCTAAAAAATAGCATTATAGTAAACAACACCACACGAGTAACCATTATATAAAGGGTTGGCTGAAGCTTTCGGCTCATCACACATCCTCTTCTTACAAAACATGAGCTGTTTTTTCTTGGATTTTCCTTTTTTGGGACAAGAAAGGCAAACAAGGGATCATATATGAAAAACCATAAATGTCTGTAAAGGTGTTGCAAATCATCCTAAAAAAAATCAACACGTTTATTGACAGGATATTTATCCAAATTATGTGTAAATGTAATTTTTTGCAACAAAATAATGACATTTATCATTTGACAACACAACAACCAGTTACTTTAAGATGTCAGTGTGGACACTGGAATACTTTTTAATATCTTTACGCAGCTTATGACCAAATTATTAGATGTCTTTTTCACAAAGATGGAGCATCTTATGGCCTGGCCTGACCAACAAACCTAAAACCCAAAGATATTAGGCCGGCACTCTCTTCTTTATTGGCCATGTATGCTTACACACACAATGAATCTGGCTTCGGTGAACTGTGCCATCATTCTAAAAAAGTTAAACATTAAATATAGCACAAAATAATCAAAGACTAATATATACAAGGCTTAATAAAAATTTCAAAGCACAGTTAAGCAACAGATTATTGTATTTGAGACGCTACATTTTGCTTCAGCTTGAAAATAACTAAAAGTCATAAATGGTCAAGATGATTGACAATTATTTAGGTTTGTCCATTTATGAAAGAATCATCTATTAATTTAGCTCTTCTATGTTCCTAATTCTGTAATCAGTGTTTAAGTATGAACTCCTTCACGTTCACAGTATCAGTATAAGACAAACAACTTACAAACCGCTGTACTGCGAGCTTTTGAAAACCGCTCAGACCAGATTAAAGAGTGTTTATTCACGTGTGTGTTGACATTTGAGTTTCAGAACATGTGAATTTGCCGCCTGTGATGATTTAAGAGAAACACCTTCACACTCAGGTGATTGTGGTACTTTTGCTCACAATGACCGAGGTGTGCACAGTCAGAGGAATGAAAACAACAGCAATCCCATTTTCTGAGGTACTTCATACCTGTTTAACTTCCCCATTTGTCTCATTCTACAGCTACGGTGACAGAGTGGAGCATTTCCGGGTGCTGGAGGGGGGCGGTCAGTACTGCATCTGGGATGAGTCCTTCTCCTCTCTGAACCGTTTGGTGGATTTCTACAGAACTCACAGTATTGCTGTGGAGAAAGTGGTCCTCCTCAGAGACCCTCCCGTATCCCCTCGCCTGCTGTCCCAACCTGGACGTAACCCTTACCCCAACCCTTACAAAAGCAGCTCTCAAGAGTCCATCCCCTCGGCCCGCCTCTTCTCTCACCCCTCTCACCCAGAGAAAGAGCGTGTGCTTGAACCAGTTATGGCGGTACGATGAATCATTGTTCCCCTTTTAAAATAACACGCCACGTTTGTGTGACCTCGCAGCCTAATTTTCTGTCTTTGTGTGTGTAGAAGCCTCGACTAGCCCATGCCCTCTGCGACTACACCCCTCCTCACACTGCCCACCTACACTTCCTGCGCGGTGACATCATTGACCTTCTGGACTGCTCAGGCCATATGTCCTGGAGGGGGCGCTGCAGAGGGCGAGTAGGAATTTTCCCACCAGAATATGTCCAGCCGCTGTACCACTGACATCATATCAGACTTCTATACCATGGCTGTATCGTGACTATTATCTGTCCGACTGTAGTGAACTTCCTTATTTCTCCAGTGAACGAGATAGTGATGAAACAATTAGTCCTTTAATGAACTAAAGAATGACCAGAAAACTTTAAAAGACGCCGATTGAGCTGGAAATAACTTATTTGGGGCCCAACTCCGAAGTTTGTACAGTTTTAAGTGGGCAGGGATTTCATTGGTAGGAATATAGCATAATAAGACAAACAAATGTTCAACCAAACTGTTACAATGAAGTTGTTTTGTCGATAATGCAGGTTGTTGTCAGGTTCTAACGGGGATAGAAGACGTTTCTACTGCTTTATTCTGGTAATTGATGCAGGACTGGTAGATTGAAACCAAGCTTTTAGGGGTTTAACTTTAATGTCAATCCAAGCATCAAGATGCTACTTTGATCCTTTCCTTTTTTCCTTCTCCTATTATTATTAATTAGTCACCTTGCGTTTTGTGGGTTTCATGTTGTCCAAAGTTTTACATTTCAGACCAGTAATTGAATTTAAAAACAGGAAACTGAGAATTTTCACATATGAAGGAATAGAATGACGGAGTCTCAAAGCTATAGAGTGAACCTCTATGATCATTTTAGCCATAACATCCTCTTTTCATTTACAGCTCATATTGATATTATTAAAAAATAAAATTACCATTTTTTTTGTGTTCTTCTTGGTAATGCAGGTAAACTGAACAGAAGATAAATTAACATTTACCTGGTTATAAATCCTCTTCCATGGATTCATTTTTGGACACTTAAGGTTATGATGCAAATATTATAGATTTATTTGAGCATACACAAGGCCATATAGATCACCATTTACTGTTTATTGAATTATGCACACAGACTCATAAAGACACATATTTACACAAGTCACATAAAACCAAAACAACACAGATTTATTCCCACTACAGCGTATCATCTTACTTGTTTTGTAAGCTTGTGATGCCCTTTCATTCAGAAGTCATTTTTATCCAACATCTCCAAAAGTTTTAGACTCATCCACAAAACATGGGAATGGAGGTTTCATAAGCAAACCAAAAGCCTATAGTACATAAGAGAAAAGAGAAAAATCACAAGAAAAAAAACATGACTGTAGAAATACTATAATGGTGTTTCTACACATGCACAAAACTCCTGAAAATGTCCAGATAATGGTTAGGTCTAACTGTGTGTTTGAATGCAAATGGCCACATTTTTCACATCATTTCACACAGTTTCACATTGAGTTTTTCGACCAGTTGTGTGAACTAATGTGAGAACATAGCAGAAAATATTCAGGAAAATTCCCTGCGACGAGGGGGCAGGAGTGTTGACATTTATGTCACACGACTGGTAGTCAACCGGTGCAATTTGACACACTTTATATACGCTTTTCTACTAAGCAAAATGTTCTATTCCACTTGTTAGTTTTAACTGTGAATACACGTACCACTGTTATAAAGGCATAAACTGTGAACATAGCGTCAGGCTTGTGTGATTCGTCGACTATTTCCGCACCGCATTTTAACTTCATGCCCCACACCCCATCCCTAGGAAAAGTCTCCTGCTGTGATGTGAGATCACAGGCAAGTCAGGAGGATTTTGGGACAACCTGCTTAAAAATGTAGAAAAAAAAGATTCAGGAGTGCATAATGTGTACAGCTTGGGTCTAGTAAAGTTAGTAAACCAATTTCACATTTTGACTCCTGACTTTGTGATTATTATCCATCATTATGTTTAATTTGACGGAAATGTAGAGCGGATTAAAGAAAAATCAAACCAAATAAGACATTAAGAGGTGTGTGCAGCCCTTAGCAGAGAGGTATGTGCTGTCAGACTTTTTTGTTTGAAATGTTCTACATCTGCATGTACACCTGTATGATTCACTTTAAATACAGTACATTGCCTTGATTTTTGAAAGATATGCATACAATGTATAAAAATCACAGCTTGCTTCTACGCCGTAGAGTACCTGGAGAAATTAGAGGCTGTTTGGCAGGCAGGCAGAGTTTCTGGGTTCATGTTTCAGAGTTTGGCAGAGGTTCAGCGGGAGGGCGAGGCAGGATGTTAAATCGGATCCTTGACTCAGGCAAAGTATGCATACAGAAAAATGTTAATGCTGATCAAGAGGAGAGCGTTCACACAGCAGAACCTGGACCAGAACACACTCTCTCTGACACTAAGCACTCTGGGAGCCGGAGTCTCTTCTGATCGCCGAGCTGCTGAGATACACAATCCCGCACCATGACCACATGTCACACTCCGAGTTGGCTCAGAGCCTGAAAGACACACACACACACACACAGACACACACACACACAGCAGACACAGGAAGTTACTCAAGCAAAATCTACAGAGATGACTGTAAATCACATGATGGCTGGTTTTATTCCATGTGGCCTGACTATTCAGAATCTTACTCTGGGAGCTACGGTGGCTGACAGAGGACACTTTCTGTAGAGGTATTTCTCTTTGTGGTTGTTCAGTTATAGTCCACCATGTCAGGTTACATAACTAAGAGAGAAGAAAAAAGACATGTAATCAAATTGAATTAATTAAAAGCAAATCAATTATTTTCAAAATCTACAATTGTAAAAAAAAAAAACAACAGCTTTGTTGACAAAATCCTGATGTGTTTTATATCATAGGATGTATGATTCTTTCTTAAAAAGAGTTAGAAGTAATGATAGAGCCCATGAAGCTGGAGCGAGTAGCTTTTTAGCTTATAGCTGAACTTAGCCAAGCATAAAGACTCCAGAAACTGGATATGGCTAACTTGTTAAGATATGCTAGATATAGTCAGTTTATCAGCAAGCTTTAGTGGTCCTTGTTGGTAGTTTTTTTCCATTTTGACAGAACCAGGCCAGCTAGCTGTTGGCTATAGCTTCGTGTTTAACAGATGCAAACCCCATGTACACAGACAGAATTCCTCGAAGCAGGCATCCCGGGTTCAAATCGTGGCCTCTTTCCCGCATGTCATTCCCTGCTTTATTTCCTCCTGATTTACAACTTATCCACTGTCCTGTCTCTCAGGGAAGGCATGAAAAGCCCCCCCAAAAAAATAAATCTTTAAAATGTCAAACTTTTCTATTGATGATATTGTATTTATTCATTTTAAGTACAAATAATAATTGGTGGTCATTTCACCAGCTAAGCTTCTTCTAAGCTTTTTACTCATTAAGGTATAGTCTATTTTTTTGGTTTTGCAAATACTGTGGGAAAGGATGTCTGAACATTTACACAGAACACAGATACAAGGAGTGGAAAAAAATCTCTCTTTTTCAAGTTTGGGCTAATCCTCTTGAAATGTGAATTGTGACAGAGCATTTAATCAGAACGGCTGCTGTTTGCACTGCAAGTTCACACACAGGCCTAAGGAATGTCAGACAAAACAATTGGGTTAACAGCTTTAGAAATCCTTGAAATATGTAGCATGTAGACAATCCTTTAGATGATGCCTCTTCCTTTACCTCAGATGTACCTATTTTCTAACATTAAGCAGATAAAATTACAGGTATGTCAACAGGAAAATACTTACAGTAATACCTTCCCTATTAGATCTGGTGTTTTCTGTGTCTGAAGTATACACACCTGCTCGTGGCTGGGTGGAGGTGTGAGCAGTGATACTATAGTTACAACAATAGCAGTTAGCCCACACAGCAAGATGGCAAAATGAAGGTAGTGGACATCACGCAGCACCGCAGGAGCTGAGTCCACAACGCCACATCTGGGAGGGGGGAAGGCGAACTCCAGCACCATTCTACACACACCCACCACCAGACCCACCATCAGGCCCCAGAATGCCCCCTGAATACACACAAAGAAACACACTCAGGTTATAGTGCATATCTGGATTTATTTGTTAAACCTTCAGCTTCTCAACTTGTCAGTGTAACTTCTGCAGCAGGCCTGGGTCACACTTGGGTGTGTTCGCCTCGCAGCACTCTCACTTTCCCACAACGATAATCTGTCATTGTCGTGTCACTTCTCACTTAAGTATGCACACGTGCAGCAGAGACACAAATAACTCTCTGTCTCCTTTTCTATTCAACCTTCAGCAAAGAATGTGATCCGTGCACTTTGACTAAACGCTAGTAAAAATAATGAGATTTTCAAAACGCAGAGTAAAGAGCTGTAGCCTACTTTTGTTCTATATTTTCTATCTTCTTTCAGAAAACAAAATATTTTTGTTGTTACATTGCCAACTGTTGTGTGAGTTCTGCTTTTCTGGTTTCAGTTTCAATCTCAAAATGTAAAAAAAAACAAAAAAAAACAGCACTTTTCATTGCAAAACCCTTGAAGAGAATTCCTGGGATTAATACAAAGACGGCTCAAGAAAAAAACCATCATATGCACAACATGAGCTTGAAATAACAATACTAATTGCAGGGTTAATAAGTGTTTTATGGGTTAGATTTGCAGCTGTGCCTCAAAGACACGTCATGTTCTAATTAAATAGTTCTTTGTTGTTTGCTCACTGCTGAGTCAGACGAGTCAGCATGTGACACATCCTGTGCACTAACGAGTGTCCTTTGTCCACATGAGACACCAACATTAAGTTTCTGACAGCCATATGCTCACTGTGTTTATATGAACCAAAAAGAAAAAAACTCACAGCATTTATGTACCACAGCTATTGACCCTTCTCAATAACTTTTAATGGGTTTAAAGTGAAATGTTAACAGATGGCTGTGACATTTAACAACTCCTCTTGTCCAGTTCCGTCTTGGGTCTTCTGCTGGCTCAAAGACGTTGGAGCATACAGATTTAAATTTACTAAATTTGGTATAAATATTAAAGCTTTAAGACATTTCAGTTATTTATTTTGTGGCAACTGTATTTCATCGCTTTTTCGTAATCTGAAATAAGCTTTGCTGTTTAAACAAGGCTAAACAAGCTAGTCATGCTAGCTAGCAGCTGCATGTGAAACTTACTGTAAGAATTATGGGGATTTGAGGTATATGCTGATACTAGCATGCTTAAATATGCTCACAATGACAATGGTAATCTGGTTTTTGGAAGGTATAATGTTTCTCATCCTCATTATCACCAATTTATTTGTTTAAGCATGCTGACACGTGTTCACAATGAAGATATCCTGGTGTAATAGGTATCATTGTCACATTTTTTTGTGTTAGCACACGAACCAAGCTTTGACCTCTGGCGTTGAAAAATCAAACCGATGCTGAAGAGTAAAAAACTGGAGTTCCTCGATTGTTCACTTGAGGCTGTCTGCAAAAGCCAAAGAATCCCAAGGACACATATTAAATTGCTAATTTTACAGCAGATATAAACATAAAAAACAAACAATTACTGTAACTGTGACTTCCTGCAAATCAGAGTGTTTATTCCTCCAGTCCAGTCCCAACTTGGGTCTTCCGCTGGTTTAAAGACATTGGCGCTAAATTTGGTATAAATGTGCAAGTTTAACGCATCTCTGTAAACTATTTCGTTTTAACTGTATTTCATCGCTTCTTTTAAATATAAAATCCTGTTTAAACAAGGTTAGAAAAACTAGTCATGCTAGCTGCAAATCAGAGTGATTGCATGGGCTCCTGCCAACCTCTGCTGTAACGCATTAGACAGTAACCTTACATAGACTCTTTTAAGCTTCATTCAGAGTAAGAAAAGGAAAACATTTACATTACAGTAAAGAGCAAGAACCTTTTCATTGTGAAAAACTGAGAAAACCATCTGCATTTAATATCTTAACAGCATGTCCTTAAGGTGCAGACACACCCAGGACTTGCTCTATTAAAACTGAATTGTTGACTATCCAGCAGACTGGTCTTCACTTGCAGAAAGAAAGATGTTTCAACATGTGTGTTATTAGCTCTGGGCTCATACACATTCTTACCACATACGTTTTATCTGTTGTATCTCTCTCTGTTAATCTTTGTCTTCCAATATATTCACACATGCCCTTACTTGCACTTTGTTATCTGCCAGTAACAACATCAACAACTCTCACTGTTCATGTGAAGGAGCCGAACATTAATGTCTGTGACTACAGAGGAAATTATAAACAATACACTTAATAAAATGGGTGGTGCTATCACACATGCATATCTATGTGTGTGATAGCATTAACGCGCACGCGCACACGCACACGCACACACACACACACACACACACACACACACACACACACACACACACACACACACACACACACACACACACACACACACACACACACACACACACACACACACACACACACACACACACACACACACACACACACACACACACTCCAGTACTCCACACTGTGAGGTTTTTTGGCAGCTGGAACCCATGTGAGGATAATAAAACTGTGCACCAGTACAGTGTGGGAGAATGGACAAACAGAGCACTCAGGAAAGACTCAAAACACCAAGAAATTTCTGACTGTTTCCCAGCATTGAGTATATTTTGAATGGAGTTTTGATATTTCTGTTCTAATGTTTATTGCTCTTTGCTGAAATTAAGCTGAAGCTGTTTTTGTAGCAGTCTCTAAAATGTTAATAAAATGAGTTTTTTTTTTTTTTTTTATCACGTTTTTAATGTAATTAGTGCTCTAAGAATTAGATGAATATTGAACAAATCATTTTGTTAAAGTGATTTATCAAGACAAAATATCATTATTTGCCGGTTCCTTTTTCTTTTAGGATTTGCTGCATTTTTTTTTATATCAGTGGGATCTTTTAATATTCAAGGTTTGGTGTGTTGATCTTAAACAATAAGTCATTCTATTTGGGAATTTTTAACTTAATTCTAAATAAAACTAATGCTAAATTCATCCAAAATGGGGGGAAAAAAAAGATAGTTTCAGCCCTTAGTGTAGGCCTATATATGAGTTACCTGCTCGTTGGTCCTCTTCCAAAAGACAGCCAGGGTGAAGACAGCAGTGACAGGTGGAGCGAGGTAGCTTGTCACTGATTGGATGTAAACATACAGCTGACCACTGTTAGCCGACTGCAAGATGGGGATCCACACCACACTCACCACCACCAAGATCACAGTCACGATCCTGGAGCAAACAGAACATGCCTTTAAATGTATTTCAAACGTCCTTTTTCTTTATTGATCCAGTTGCTGAAAGTGAACTCTTTGGCATTTTCATATTGCACATTTGATGTTTTGGTCAGGGAGGCTTAAGAAGTCTTACCTGCCGACCAGAAGCAGCTCTCGTTCTGAGGCACGTGGGCGATGTTTCTTCCAGATGTCCATAGTGAAGAGTGTGGAGCTGCTGTTGAAGATGGAGGTGAGCGAGGACATCAGAGCAGCCATCATCACTGCTATCATGAGTCCTCTCAAGCCTGTAATACACACATGCAAATGAACACATTCAAAAATAGACACATTAAGAAACATGTCTATTTTTTTTAACTTTGTTTATTGAGAGCAATGTTCTCACCACTTGGCATGAGTTCAATGACCAGTTTGGGAAAGGCGATGTTTGAGCATCCCACCTCAGCTCCACACACGCGCACACACTCCTCTGGATCCACACATCCCACAGTGTCTGAAATATGAAGACACTGTCACAAGAGTGGAAGTGGTAACAAAATATTCTACTATTCTCTATGCAAAATTCATGCCCCTTTTTTTCTCTATTTTCTACTCATGCTGAGGCGGGGAGCTGGGACAAAATATTAATTTAAGTTGGACAACATAAGTATCTCTGTCTTTATTCTAAATGACCTATACAAGATTAATGTTTTCAGTGCTCTTACTCCGTTGTCCTTCATGCTGGAATTATAAAAATTGGCACCAGAAATGTTCTTCCATGAAAAACAACTGAAACAATTATCAAAACATTTGGGAAAGAAAATAAAGACTGTTTTTGGCATCATGCTGTTAATCACCTTTTCTGACACCTGGCAGCAGGTGTGACATGCATATAAGATTACGGTTTAGCAAGAATCAACATTGTTGCTCATGGTATTGTTTGTGTAGCTGCATCACTTAGGCTATTGATTTGAGGCCATTTCATTACCAGCTAAATACTCTAAATATGATCATTAATTACCAAATGCATCCAGTAAATCCAATATTTCTACTTGAATGCAGTGCAAGTAAGATGGAAAAAAAAAATGGGTGGGGGTGGAATCCGAATGATGAAAGAAGGCTTCTAGATGTAGGTTACTAAAGAGCATCTCACCACTGCCAAGTAAACTTAAAACAGTTCTTTTTCAATTTTTTTAAATACTCCTAAGTATCGATCATTTAAAGAAATCATGCGTTCCTATGGATGAGTTACCCTATATGACAACATTTTAAGCGATCAAGTCCCATGGTGTTAACTTGTCACAATTGGTGAGTTCATAAACTGTGAGCTACAGGATTTCTCTCCGTCTGTCTATGCAGGAGGGTGGAGTTTGAAGTCTCTCTACACTCCCGGGGCACTCCGCCTTTTTGTCCCGGTATCAGAACTTCCGCTGGCGAATTCCAGGGTCAGACACCCACCGTCTGCTGCTCCACACTGGACTTCTCTCAACTTCAAGGCAGGAGGCGACGTTTACGAGAAAGACACACCGACGTGATTTCAACGCAAGGAAAGGTTGGACACAGGCGCCACGTCAGTGATATGAACTTTCTGTGTTTCGGGGGGAACTCATCAGAAGTTGCCATTTTTTTTGTGTGTGTGCCTGCAACAGCTGCTGCAGCGTTCAAATTCAAGAAAAGTGACTCGTCAGCGACAGAGCTGAATCATGCTCTGTTTCAACACATTTAAAGGAGGATTAATGACTTATGTCTTTATCTCAAGAGTGCTTTCCGCTGTAGCCTGACTCACTGGCAGACACGCACAACCCCTCGGCTGCCTGCGCCTACCGTGTTCCGCCGGGCCCCGCGGCTACAGCAGCTGAACCGGGCCGCCGCCGCCGCCGCCGGAGTCGCCCGGCCCCCTGTCAGGTGAGAGGCGTGGCTTTGGGCTTGAAGGCTTTGTTCTCAAACACCTGTGTGTGTGTAGGAGTAACAGGAGAGCTGAGCTGGAGTATGTTCAGGAGGTTTATCTCATTCACATGTGAATACTTTCGCAAGGTCCTGTTTAATATTTCCTCACAGGCCTGTGGGCCGTGATGAGAAGTCATACTTTTTCGAAGTCTGACCTTTTGGAGCGACGAATGGACAGTGGGTCAGAGTGTTTCCAGTAGGCTACTTAACTATTTACAAACCGGTGGGGTACATTTGGGCCATGGCGTTGTCTCAGATTCAGTGTCTGGACGACCACCACGTAAACTGGCGCGTGAGCGAGAGCAAACCAGAGTTTTTCTACAGTGAGGACCAAAGGCTGGCGCTGGAGGCTCTCATCACCAAGGGCCGCGATGCGTTCATGGACTACACCCTCGAAAATAACATCCGGCAATTCCTCTCGGAACCGGAGCTGGAGCGAATTGCACAGATAGCGGAGGCCTACCGACCTGGGCACGAGCATCACCAGAAGCCAGACACGCCCGGCCCAGGGAGCACCACTCCAGGACTGGGGAATATCACCCCAGGGTCCGGGGAAGACGCTGACGGCCCGGTGTCCCTGCAGTACTGGCCGGACCGGTCTGAAGCCTCGGTGGCGGAGTTGGACCTCGGTTGGCCCGAGGCCAATTCCTACAGAGGGGTCACGCGCGTGACCGTGTACACCCAACCTCCCACTGACGGACACACGCACATCAAAGAAGTGGTGCGTAAGAGCATTGCATCAGCCCAAAAGGTAAGCATGCAGGAAGATGAAGGAGATGTTATGGGTCATAATGCAGTGTTTAGATTAAGTAAAGGTCAATGATGTCAAACAAATCATGCGAGATAACAGAAACATCCGAATTAGAAGTGAAAGTGGAGTCCTGTAGGCCTGTTAAAAACGTTTGTTTTATGTGCAACCAAGTGTTTGCACTGTGTCAAAGAATGTTTTAAGATAAAACTTGAGTTGTTGTAGGATTTCCTTATATTTTACTAGGTTTTTATTTGGCTTCTCCATGTATCATATATGCGAGTCTTGTGAACAAAGCACATTGTACCATTAAACAGTCAAATAAAAAAAAACGCCACCACTACAGAAGATAGTGTGTAGCCTTGACAAAAACTTCACTAAGGTTTGAAGTTGTTCCAGTGCAACCAACCCATCACATCAAAGAGAAAAACACAGTCCACTTTCACTAATCTAAACATAAAATAGGCCGAAGTAGAAACCCTTGAAAGAAAACCTTCACACGACTGACAAAGTTATCAAAGGGCGCTGTGTTGAGGTCGAACGGATTAGTAGTCAAAGTCAACTTTATTGTCAATTTCAAAATATGCCAGACATGCAGTGGAATCGAAATTTCGCTTGTCTCCGTCCCGCGGTGCAATACAACCAGTATTGGTTAGTACTTGGTTTATTGGAAAATAATCAGCTGCTCTTTTGAGCTCTTGACTTTTTGATGAAAAACACAAAGCATTCTCTTGTTCTAGAGCCATTTCAGCTGTTGCAGTTTTCATCAGTTAAAAACAACAGAAACTTCCTGTCTGTTTTTTTTTACTTGGCACACAAAGCAAGCTCAAGTTGTCCTAATGGTCTGAGTTATCTCGATATGAATATTTCCCTGTTGAAATAAATAATGTTTTCTCCATTCACGTTGCTGAGAGCTATGCAGTTGCACATCACAAGGTATATATCTAACAAACTGTATCTCCTACAGCTGAAGTTGGACTGTATTTAACCGTGTCTCTCATATACACCAAGTCTAGAGTTTATAGTCACTTTTTCATGTCAAATATGGAAATTGTCTAAAGACCTACTTCTCGTCACCCTTTTCTCACGCACACTCACCTATGCAAACAGCCAAGTTTAATACAACAAGCCTAATCTTGACACGACAGTGGGAAAAAATGCTGGCGTCATTACTCATACTAACCCCCTCTACAAAATCTCTTACATGCATTAATGGCACATGTCATGCTTTGGCCTAGTACTTAAAATAGACTAAGTTCCAAGGCAGACTTCTTTTTTTTTTTTATGATTTGGAAGGCATTTAAGGCAGCAATCCAGGCAATAACTTTTTCCTCAACGCAGCTTTATAGCTCAGCTTACCTGAGCTTAAGCTATTCTTGTTTTTATAGGCATGCACATAGCCTCTTTCACCTTCTACTGTTTCTAACTCTGTTTAGATTGGATCAACAATTTGTCACCACACACAAGTACACTAGGAATAATATGGATTTGAAATCTGAGGTAAAACCTCAACTAGACTTTTTCCAGAGCAACTTTCATGTTCAGCTAATTTCTAAAGTTGCCAGTCTTTGGTGCATCAATTGTTCAGTTCTCAAAATTCAAACTGGGTCAAGTGAGGAGTGAATAGACAGCGCTGTGTGAAGAGGTGCCATGCTGTCACTGTGTTTGCCCTGTTGAACTCACATTGTCAGCCGCTTCACACTCTATAGCCACAGTCTCCTTATGGGACACTCATGTTCAGACAAGTTCTTTCACTTTGAGGGTTTAATTTACTTTAACATCTAGTTCTCACGTATGCAATGCTTCCTAGAGGATTTGTGAGATGAATATTGTTTATAGGAGCAGCTCAAATCTAAATCAACCTCACAGACCAGGAAAAACTAACCCCATTTCTGGTTTCCTCTCTTTGGTATTTTTTTAGGTGATAGCCGTGGTGATGGATGTGTTTACAGATGTGGATATCTTTCGGGACCTGCTGGATGCAGGCTACAAACGCAAAGTTCCTGTTTACATTATCATCGACCAGGCTGCAGTCCCCTCTTTTCTTTCCATGTGTGGCAGAGCTGATATGCACCGTGGACACCTGAAGGTTTGTAGAAACACACACACATACATACACAGATGATGTTTTGATGTGTGTGTGTGTGGGGGGGGGGGGGGGGGGGGAGGTTAGAGCTAGTTGGATAGATGGCTACTTCGATAGGTATGTAATAATAGAGAAGGGTTTAGTTTAAAAAGCTCCTGTGTCAACATTTGATTTTTTTTTTTCATTAAACACACACTTTGCAATAACAAGTGTAACACTATAAAAGGGAATTCAATGAAAGTAGGGCAGATGAGGTGTGACATGTTTTAGCCTGTAGGTCTTGGCAAAGTGCATGCACCAGCTAGTTTTTCACCATGGGCTGAGTTTCTTTATTCTCTGAGTTGAACTGCTCCAGGCACTAACAGAAAATACTTCATATGTAATGGGGGCTTTTCTAGATATTTTATACCAGAGGCCAAAAAAAGATACCAAGCTCATTCCCCTCTGTGCTGCAGGCAATTAGCTGAACCATGCACACAATTTGCTCTCTGTGACATGATAATACTCCACTTCTCCTTCTCCCTTCCTCATAGCATTAACCACCAGACTCCTCCCCCCCCCCTCTTTAAACTGCTTTCTTATCTGCCATCTTTCCTGTCATTATGAGCATTTAGGACTTCTGTGCCTAGTGTCTGCTGTGAGATTTCGCACAGAATGTTTGCTTTACAAGGTAACGCTAAGCCTGGCACCACACCCTTATCACAGGGCCAAAGACAAACACGGCAGGGTGTGTCAAACAAGCTTGTACATATATCATTACAATGTACAGTGCTCAAACCTGTAAAGTCATAAGGTTATGGTGGTATTATAAGAAAAGGAGCTCTTAGAAACTTATGCTTTTCTGCCGCCTCTTTTTCTTGATGCCTTTATTTCCTTTTGTTCACTCAAATCCTACCTACCATTAACAATACAGCCTTAAGAGCCTCCCTTTGCATAACATTAACTCTGTATGTACGTTTATGTTTTGTGTAGAATCTGCGTGTACGGTGCTGTGGAGGGGTGGAGTTCTTCACACGATCAGCACAGAAGGTGCGTGGATCAATGAGCCAGAAGTTCCTCCTGGCTGATGGAGACAGAGCCGTCTCAGGCTCATACAGGTGAGCAGTGTGCTTTACACTTAGTTTTGAATGTTCATGAAAACAGTGACACGTTTTTTTTTAGAAAGCAAGGACCAAAGGGAACCCAGATTCATTTTTTATTTATCTGAATAGAGTTGTCCTGATTCCAGATTTTGTAACTTTTATGCTATTCTAGTGAAAATCAAACCAAGTCTTGGCGCCCAATAAACTGGGTGATGTGTCAATTTGAATTACCACAGAATACTGGCAAACGTCTGCAAACTGACTAAGTTGCAGAATGTTTTTTTTTTAGATCTTCTGGGCTTTTAGATATTTTGTTTAGATCATAAAAAATAACAGAAACTGTACCGTTTAAAAACAAGTCGTATGAAAAAGTATAAAACATTTTCTGAAACCTAGATCGTTGTTGTTGTTGTTACCCTAGATAATAGCAACTCCAAGTCACGAAACAGTAAAAATGTCTTCCTATTGAGCACACTTACTTGTGCCAATTGTTTTTTGATAACAAGCGACCATGCTCATGATACAATTTCAGCATCAGACGTTTCTATTTACGCTATTTTATAAAGCTAGTGCGTGGTTACATAATATATGCAGAACCGAGATGTTTTTGCTTCCGCTTGGATCAAGAAAATATCTAATAGTAGCAGCAAATGCAGATTTCTGTATCAAAGAAGTATGAAGTATTGCGAGTATATATCCGAGTATATCCGAGTTGCCTTTTTATCAGTGTACTATATTTATGTTTTTCTTTCAAATAACTTTGACTTTTGGAATCGTTCCCTCTTAAAAGACAAACCCAACCTATCACCACACTCTACAGTTTCCCTTTACTTCACTGAGCATTTTGGTATCTTTCAGTTCATTGTTTTGCTGTTCTGTACAGCTACTCCACTGTTGAGCTTCAGCTTTCATTGTCCAGTCTCATCCAGTATGGGTGACAGCTGTTTGGAGGCAAACATGCACCTTTAAGCAACTTAACTTGATAACAAAAGATGATATGTCAATATTTAGTTAACAGCGTCAGAGCTGCTCCCAACAGGCCAGAAATATGAAACCATACTTGTTGCATCATGCTGACCTTTATCTGCCAGTTTAAATTTCTCATTAGATTGATCTTTCACTATCATGTAAAAATCAACCTTAACGCATGCACAAACCCTTATTGTTGTCTTAGTTACCTACAGTAATTACTAACAGCTCTGTATGGCTCACAGACATTATCCAAGGAAGTTGAGGAATCCCAACTTGAAATAAAGATGTGATCCAAGATAATCACGATCATTATATGATGCATGACTTCAAGGTACACATGTCTGGTGGAGTGATGATTAACCTATGAAGGGTTATTTCCTCAGTAGGATGCTTGACATAGTAGAACAAGTTTAGATGGAACAAACCTGCAAAGGGAGCAATTTAGCTGAAGCGTATGAAAACTACAAATCTGATGTTAAACAATAGCTCAGTGTTTGTCTACCATTTTTAGATGTACTGTCCCCTTTTAGCTGCATTTCTTTCCTTTAAGTACACTAAACTTGACCAGAAAAAAACTTGTATCTGCACTTATACTTGGCCAATATTTTTTCTGACCACAGTATTTTAACAGGGAGGACCATTGAGCTCAAGCTTGTTTATAAATGTATATTGACCCTGACAACAGATAATCAAATGGCAAACAGTCTAATGCAATTACATTACATAGTTCAAAGAAAATGCATGCAATACACTTCTCTTTGTCAATAAAATTGTTTTAGGAGCCAGTTTACTATTCTCAGTACTGAATAGGTCAATAAAGAGGACCAAATAGTGCAGGTTGAAATCTAATCTTTGTTAGAAGGCTTGTGAGATACAATGAATGTTTGTCTAAAGTGCTTTGTTACTAAATAATAAGTACTGCAAGTATTTTCTCTCTAATGGCAACAACTGCCACTGATATTTCTAAAAATAATAAACAACAAAATGTTCTAAAGCCATTCTGAGTTAAACAAGTTTGGAGGGATCAAAAGATTTTATCAAGAGCTTCACCATGTTTTTGTGTGGAGGTCTGGTGTAAGAAGTTGAAAATCTTACCAATTTCAGGGTTAGATTCCTCTGTGCCTGATAGGGCCTCGCTTTGCTTCATGTGCTCAGTCGTACACAAATATCAAGTCAGTTGTAAACATAGTAAAAAGGACTTTGCTTAAAGAACAGCAGGTTATGCCACTGCAAAATGCTGTGCCATTGAACACAGAGAAGAAATTCAGTATCCAATTCAGACATTTTTTTTTTCAAATTAAATAACTAACACAGGAGGTGCAGGATGGCTTAGCAGTTAGGTCGCGTCCTACTGATTTCCTACTATAGCCACTGTCCTCTCAAAGAAAGGCATAAAAGCCCCCCAAAAAAGGTTGAACATGGGTGAACAATACCAATAGCTGAATATTTGCTTTCTATAGTTCAGGGCATTACATGCCTTATTTCTATTAATAAATGTCATTTTTGTATTTGGCAAAACTAATTCTAATTGAGATTCATAGGAGAGTCACCACTGTGAATGACTATTTCCATGTCTGTGTTATTCCAGCTTCACCTGGTCCTCGTCTCGTTTGGACCGTAACCTCATCACTGTGATCACAGGACAGGCGGTGGAGACCTTCGACTTTCAGTTTCGGGACCTTTTCCTCCTGTCCAGAGGTGTGTCTCTCCAAAAGGTTCCTATGGTAGATGAACCAATCCCCGACCCTCTACCTCAGGCTGCCCCTGCTCCGGTTTCAGCTGCTGTTGCTCGGAAACTTATTAATCCCAAATACGCCCTGGTTTCCACAGGAACCCACACAAGTCAAACTTCTTCGGAACAAAATTCAAGCAAACAGATTCCCCCTGGGCTAAAGATTGTTAAGGGACGTTTAAAGAATGTTATTGAAGAGCCACCCATACATCCTGGATTGGCTAATCTGGAGAAAGTATACCTGATTCCATATCTGCCCACCTGGCCAGATCCAGATCCACCAAGCGATGTGATTGGATTTATCAACATCAGAGATGAAAAGCGAGCCAATCAGGTTCACTTACAGAGGTCTGAGAGGTTTGAGGTCAGCCAGGCTATACGCTTCACCTCACCGCTGACAGTACCTGCACCTGCTGAGGAGCCTGCTTCAAACCAGGATGTGAACAAAGCTGGAATAGCAGAAAATCCTTCTGGGAATAAGTGTAAAGACACCTCTACTCCTGTGAGTCCAACCAAGAAACAGCATAAAAAGCAAACACAAACAGCTGTGTGCAAAGACGAAACTGATGTAACAGATTCAAGAGGACCACCTCAGCAGCAAAACACACCTGTAGAACAAGAAACACACAAACCAAATAAACACACTCCTACATCACAACCCACTGTTACCGCTGATTCACAACCAACAGACAATGCTAAACAAACTCCAGAGGACACACAATCTGTAGCCCCTCCTGTTCCTAAACCACGCACATTGCACATAGTCATTGACCCTGTCATCTCAGATCAGCCTGGCCAACCACAAGTGAATTTGATGAAAATGAACCAATCAGATGAGGAGGAGGAGGAGGAGCTGAAACCAAGACACAGCAATTTACTATTAAATGACGACGGGCGGGACTCAGGCAGCAACGATGATGGTAGCCAAGATAGCACAAAGGTTATATGTGACCTAGCCGCCAATGATGATCCTTCAAGCACCTCAACAGCATCAGAAGAGGAGTTTTATGACTGTGACCAGCCAGAAACAAGAGACCAGATGATCCATAGGGTGACGACAGGGTCTGGTCGTGGGCAACGCCTTGGAGATGGTCTCAACATGATGGCTCGCTTCTCCCAGAGCATGCTAGACCTACGGGAGCCCAGCAAAACGGAGGATAGCACTGACCTGATACGCCAATCACAGCAGCTTCGCAGACAAGGTCACCCCTCACCACACAGGCACATAGGACAGGTGAGCACCCTGCAGATAGTTGTTTTTTTACACATGCACTTCTTAAAATTTCTAGAAAATGTAGGCCAGCCTCTGAAAAGCCCCCTTGTCAGACAAAAGGGGTGGTGCCATGATGTAAACATCATCACCGCTGCATGCTGGCAGTTAATTTTCCTGAATATACAAAATGGTCTCACCCACCCTCAACACGGAGACTTTACCCGTGGAATGTCCCTTGTTATGTTTTGTTTATCTCCACCTTTGATAGCTTTTTTTTTTTTTACTATTTTCAATATTGACTCCTGCACGATCAGTGCACAAGATTAACATTTGTTTAGACCAAGTTAGAAGCACGGTTCAGTGGTTCAGGAACACAGAACGGCTTTCAAACAAACACATTTATACAATCCTACTGAAAAAGGGTGTGTTGCACCAGTTGTGTCAAAGCAGGTTACTACATGCTTACAGTAAACACATCATCCCTTGTGTTGTGCGTGCGTGCGTGCGTGCGTGCGTGCGTGCGTGCGTGCGTGCGTGCGTGTGTGTGTGTGCGCGTGTGTGCGTGTGTGCGTGGGTTTGTATATATGTAAGAAGTTGTCTGCCCACATCTGTGTGCATGCACCTGGATAGAGAGCTCTGCTGATCATGCCAGGAAGGATTATGAAGATGAACGGCAGCAACTTCAGATAGGCAGCCAGGATTGACGCTCCTTTCACATGACTCATGTTTTTAGCAGACAGGGACCTCTGTACAATCACCTACAGAAACAAAAATAAGGAGAATAATAGTGATCAAAAGGCATCAAACAAAGACATTTTTCATGCTTTCAGTTTTAATGTTTGAACAGAGTGAACATAAGTGTAAATATGACTGAATGAAGGGTGGAATACTTCCATAATCACTTATCTGAGGTAATGGAAGTAAGTTTGGGTTTAACTTCTGGGAAGGAGGACAGGACATTTTCACAAGCCTTTTCACACATGCACTTCTGTAAATGTCAAGAACATTTCAGGATAGGTTGCCCCTGAAATCCTCCTGACTTGCCTACCTACATACTATATGTACTTCACATCAGGAGACTTTGACTTGTCAGGTGGGAGGATTGTGGGGTTTTAGAAGGGCAGGACATGATGAAAAAGTCTATTAGGATGAAAGTTTCTGACTTTATATCACTGCTACATTCAATTTGATGTATTCCAAGCCTGCTCGCTTATTGTGAATTTACCTGAATATCACCTGCTGCGTTTGCACATCAGCTCACCCTGACTTCATGCAGAAATGTTGTTTCGGGGTTAATAGGAAAAAATCTGGGTAAATGGAGTGAAAGTTGTTTTGTTTTTTTCATGAATCTTTTAGTATTTATGTGTATTTGTGACAACACCATTAGTCTCTCTAGTTTCCCAGGACCAGTTACCAAATGGAAAGTAAATCTAGGAATCGACTACATTGAAATGGAAAGTGAAACGATAGTTTTGGAGTACTTGCTGCAAAATTATGAGAAACCAAGGATTGATCCCTGAGGTACTACTGATGTGACCACATAATAACGTACTCGTCTCTCTCTTCATCCTCTTTCTGTGTAGTTGTATCAGACCTCAAAATCTCCAGGTCGTGATGGACGACTGAGAGGAAATAAAGTAGTCATTGCTAAACCAGGAAGTTTCCACCGCCCTACCCGAGCAACTGGCCCTGTGATTGGAGGACACCGTTACTGGCAGGGTCAAACGCTGCAGTCTGATTCATCTCGGCTGCATGGCGAGACACGTTCCGGCCGATCGCCAAGACGCCACAGCCCTGGTAACAGGAAGACAGACCATGCATTGCCACAGCCACCAGCCAACCCCTCTGGCTTACTAGGATTATCTTTCTCAAAACTGAACAGTTTCAAAAATTTAAGGGCAAAAGGTGGGGTACCGCAGAAAAAAACGACTGAAAATAACAGGCCCACCAGGTAGAACTGTGAGCAAGTACCTGAAAAATGGTGATCTGATTTTAAGAAATTGGTAACTCTTCAGTGTGTAAATCTCTATTTCTTGGATGCAAAGTCATTTCCTGTTTTTAAACCTTAAGGCTCAACATTTAGGACCTCTGTAACTAAGACAGTTTGACTAGGTCAACAAGGGTTTTGCAATTTCATTGGAGGAATTGTTTGATGAGGTTTTGTCTGTAAATGAATTACATATCCTTCAATTTCAGTTTTTATTAGAAAAAAGGCTTATGATTGGATTTTTCCAGACTTAATGATAATGAATTTTAGTCACTGATACTAATATCTGGGATAAAAATGAACACAGATACATAATTAGCAACTGATATGTATGTTTACAAACATGCATAAACACTCTCACACACACACACACACACACACACACACACACACACACACACACACACACACACACACATTTTTAGCATACTTTGCTTAAATGTATTCATTCAAGAGTTGTTCTAATGGTTTAACATAAGAAGGGTATATATTTGTAGGTGATAACAAGTCATGAGAGATACTGGGACAGTGTGAGAGTATTTCTTTTAGAATTGTAAATAATGTTTTGAAAAAATATTTCTTCATTACCTCAACTGCTGGTCTTTTTCATTTTTGTACTGTAACCAACATAGATGTGTTGTAACTGTGTTTTAACTATGACATGTAACATTTGCATATCATGTCACCCCACTGATACAGGAGTCATGCTCTAATGGTGATACCACTGTGATTGGTTACTGATTTTGCCAGGGTAGGCTACTGTTTTGATTGCTTTGACATATTGTCAGATGTGAGGAATTACCTATGCAGATGTTGAGAAGTGGTATGTATGTAATTTAATCATTGATGTGGGACCAAAAGGGAACGCTGTAAATAAAAAGACAGATTGTTGCTGACCAAACGCTGTTATTGTCTCAACCAGATCAAGGGTATCAACAAGGGGTTGTCTGTCAGAAAATGTATCTGGAAAACATTAATGACGGTAAGATGATTGCTGACTGGGCGGCTGTGGCTCAGTTGTTTGAGATGGTTGTCTCTCAATCGGAAGGTCCAGGGTTGATCCCCAGCCACGTGTCCTGTGGCAAGACGCTCAACAAAAATTGCTCCTGGCATATGTATGTGTATGAATAGGATTTGTTACTTCTGATGGTCACTGTACATAGCAACCTCTGCCATCAGTGTGTGAATGCGTAGATGTGACCTGCGATGTAAAAGTCCTTTGAGTAGTCAGAAGACTAGAGAAGCGCTATACAAGCTCAAGTACATTTCCCCCAAAGATGTGTTTTTTGGGATTTTTGCCTGAGCAGTCAGATGCAAATGTTTGTGTCTGTATAAAAAAACAAAAAGTCAGCAAACACACGCACATCACTCATATTAAGGTGCTGAGTCACCACTAGATAATGTGCAGAAAGACTCGCAAGAACACGTTTCATGAAAAGCCCGGTTGGGCCTGAAATGTTGTGTTCTGTAATGCATATAGCAAATAAATAAGTATATCTTTGGAAGTCATAGAGTTGTGTGTCAGTGTATAGACACTACTTAACACGTGTCACTGCCCTAATTGGTTGCAGTGTCCAATATTCCAATATATATTGTAGTGTCCAGTATTCTAACTATTACATTTATTTTACTCACTTATCTAAAGTGGAGTGAAAGATTCGGCAGCGAGCCTCTAGTGGCCATCAGTTGAACTGCAATTTACAGCACAAGTTCAAAAATGTGTTATCTGCACTTTTTGCCTACACATTCACACGCATGTTTATGTATGTGTATAAATGTACCTGGTCAGAGCACCAGTACCAGGTGGCCAGTATGGTGAGCCCCAGAGTCATGCCCGGCCAGGGTAAGTCTCCGGTGACGGCGTTTCTGAACAGGTGCATGGCGTCCTCACGGGGCAGGTGGCAGGTGCTGTTTGGGATGATCTTACTGGGCACTGCCATTCTGTACACACGCTCCAGGTTGCCATAGCCGCCAATCTTATTGAATGCTATGAAGCAGGAACAAAAATCTCTGATACAATCCTTCAAATAACCATTATGATTTTTTGTTGAATATTATAATAGTAAAAACCTGTGATTGTTAGGATGATTGCACCGATAATCATGACAAATGTCTGCAGAGTGTCGGTGTAGATAACAGCAGCCAGACCACCTGAAAGGAAAGTTTTGCATCTTCAATCAAACGTTATTAATCCAGTGATTCTAAAAAAAAGCACAATATTAGTGAAACCCGATGTAACTGTGTGGATATTTGTGTACCTGCAATAGTGTAGAGAGCAGTGACCACCAGCATGAGGACAGTAGACAAGTAGAGGTTCCATCCGAGGCAAACCTGAACAAACAAGGCTCCAGAGTACAGGTCAGTCTAGTGATAGAAACAGACACGTCTGTCAACAATGCAGGCAAATGATTCAGGTTTATAGACAACAAGATGCAAAGTGATAAAAAAACGTTTTTGTTTTTAGTGTGTGACATTATCGTACTGATATCTTTGTGAAGATAGACAACAGCAATGAGAGGACAGCCATGTAGGTTCTGATCCTCTCTCCTCCAAAACGACGGCCAAGGTACTCCGGCATTGTCACAATCTGAACAAACACATTTCAACTACTTTATATAAGAGTTACACAGAAAGGGCAAACTGAAGAAGCTCCAGACAGCTTTAGGAGCCCAGTATGATCTGTTACTTAGCAGCTATTTTGAAAGTTTTATTTGATCACACTTCCTGTTTTTAATATAGTTGTTGTTATGTACGGATAAAGTAATTTATGTTTCCTAGAAGACAGTTGTATGTGTGTATTATTGTAACACCCTGTTGGGGAATTTTAAAGGCGGGGAACTGTGATGAGAATATCCCTTGGCACCTAAATGTACCTGCTGAACCAGCCTGAACAAGCATCTCTCAACCCTTAGGTGCTTATCAGAGAGAGAGAGAGAGAGAGAGAGTGAGTGAGTGATTATGTGTGTGTGTGTGTGTGTGTGTGTGTGTGTGTGTGTGTGTGTGTGTGTGTGTGTGTGTGTGTGTGTGTGTGTGTGTGTGTGTGTGTGTGTGTGTGTGTGTGTGTGTGTGCAAACTAACCCCTGAGGAAATGTAGACAGGTACAAAAACCCAGGCCAGGGCTAGCAGCACATATGTGGCCTAAGAGAAAGAGGGAGAGGAGTCAAAAAAGACCACAAATTTCCTAAATAACTCCCTACAGAGAAATATTTCCCCACAGGCTCAATGTACAAGCTTTTCTGCTTTTGTACCCCTTCTAGTGTGCCTGTATTAGCTTTAAAAATGTTCTGCTGCTGCCCCCTGCAGTAGGTAACCTGCTACAGCTGTTGAAGGAAGAAAATCAAAATGCACCTGCAAAATTACATTTAAGTCTTTGGTCTACAAAGCGTCATTCAAAGCAGTAATGTGATCACTTTCATTTTACAATAGTCAGAAATATGTCACTGTAACTTTATGTTGTTTTACTTGCACATGTAGCTTATGTTTATCTAGCATCCCTATAAATACTGCACACACAAAATGAAACCACACAGAAGGATAAGCAGACAAGCTCAGCTCCATTCCAGACTATGCTGCTTTTATTGAATATTAATAAGACCATAATGTTTTGTTTAAGCTTTGATGTTGGTGTGTGTGTGTGTGTGTGTGTGTGTGTGTGTGTGTGTGTGTGTGTGTGTGTGTGTGTGTGTGTGTGTGTGTGTGTGTGTGTGTGTGTGTGTGTGTGTGTGTGTGTGTGTGTGTGTGTGTGTGTGTGTACTCACATTCCATTCAAAACCAGCGACAGCGATGCCTCCAGCAGCTCCGGTCCCAGCCAGACCAATAAACAACCCGGAGCCTTCTGAACTGGCAAAGAGAGACGCTCCGATCTGCGCACACCAGTGATGGAATAAGTATTAAGTACCAATACAGCAATTTAAAGACATAATGTTGCTTTTCAGTACAGTATGCAAAATCTTAATTAAGAGAAAGTATTAGCAGAAAACAGCTTTCAAAGTAGAACTTAAGTTATCGTGTATTTTTAACTGTTGTTCATGCTGATACATCAGTGTTTAATTTCATTGTTGCCACTGTTTGAGGTGGAGCTTGTTTTTAATACTTAATTTAGTGTTGGCTAGTTTAGTTCAGCTGTTCCCCAAACATAGGGTCCGTTCAGCCCCACCTCAAAGTGTTTTTGAATTATTCATCCGAAAGGGAATAAATAACACATCACATAACTTTGATCTTAAATAGTAGTGGGTGGCAGTAGCTCAGTCTGTAGGGACTTGGGTTGGGGAACCGGGGGGGGGGGGACCCGGTGCAGACCAAATATGGAAGTTGGTCTGGTAGCTGGAGAGGTGCCAGATCACCTCCTGAGCAAGACACCAAACCCCTTACCCACCATCAGCTCAGGAGAGCCCGCTGTGGGAAGCTCCGTCACTCTGACATCTCTCCATTAGTGCATGTCCATAAGATCCTGTTTGTGCATGTGTGGATATTTCAGCCTATGTGTGTGTTGCATGACTTAGAGTGTAAAAACTGAAATGTCCCCTTGCGGGGATCAATAAAAGTAAATCTCTTAATCTCTTAAACGTTGTATTGAATAGTTGGACTTTTCCTTTGAGTCTGACAATCTCAAGCAGTGATTTAAATTAACCCATCTGATCTGCTCTTTGGTGGAAGATCTTATGACCTGTAACGTCTTTACTGATAGCAGGGCATTTGCTTTACTTGAATCTACTCTCTTGGAGCAGGTCATATCACTTTGATTTGTTTTCCTCTGCCGATTTACCTGCTCAGTATAGGTCGGGTTCTTAGCTTAATGTCATTGCAATGCGATGTGAAACAGCCTTGTGTTGCCCATGTTAGTGTCCTCAAGACGCCACAAAAAAACAAGCAGGAACTTAACATTGAAAAATCATAGCAACTCAACCAAACATAGCATGCAAGGTTTTGTAGAATGATGACTTGACACTTCTGACTAACCAATCAGTTCTCTCAATTCTTAACTTCTTAACTTCACCTTTTAGTATCGACAAATCAGCAGAGGAAGTTTGAAAAAAAGTATGGGCTCACAGGCAATGTACACAGCTTGTTCCAATTGAAAACCAAAAGCAACAGTTCCAAGCAAATTAAGATTAAAAAGGAGGAGAGAGACATCACAAGGGGCCCTGAACAGTGCCTGATTGGGGTCTTTTGTAAAGGGTCCCTAAAGGTTGAAAACAGCTAATCTATTTGACGGGGTAATACCAAACTAGCTGTCAGATTGATTTTAAGGATGAAAAGTAGAACATTTCACTTTGAATCATATTGCAATTGAAGTATAAAGAAACATAAAAACAAATCCATGCAGTAACCAGAGTTCATGTATGTTTTAGATACATTTGCCAAGCAAATCCCACCAGCAGTTTATCTGTGAATATACCACAGGCTGTCAAAAATGAAGTCTCAAAACTTTACAATCAAATTCAACTGAAATTATTTTTGCGATTAAGTGTAGCTGCTTGGTGGGTTTATTAGAAAAAAATTACATCTAGTGCAAAAGAATTACAGACTTCCCCCTATATTTTATCTACAAAAACACCAGTAGGCTCGTGTCAGACTCACCGGCCACCAGGCCATGTCTCGTCCAGCCAGGAAGTATCCACTCAGAGTGTTCCTGCTCACCCTGCATGATGACTGACAGAGAAAACTGTTACTCATACACATCAACCCAACAGCCACACACATTTACTCCTCCGACTCTCACCCAGATGCCGACAGCGAGGTTGAGAAGAAAGTAGGTTGCTATGACGATAATGTCAGAGATGCTGAAGGACTGAGGCAGGGCATAGAAGTTGATGGTGGAGTTAGACATCCTCAGTGTTCACAACAGCACAAAAACGCACTCAAAACAAACTAAAACTGCCTGAATCACCCACGTAGACACATACAAACTTAATGTATGTAATTCTTACACCTGTACTGTCAATCTTATTAACCTTTTCACAGTATCTGACATAGAAGACCGACTTTTCAAAGAAGAACACATTCCACTGAATGAAAACTCAGAAACCACCACTTAGACCCTGAAGAAAACTCGATTTTGAACTTTTCTACACTATAAAACAAAAGTCTTTCTAATATGAACACACACACAGCCAAACACACTCCAGTCCTTGCTAAAAGTCCCTTCTCGACTGGTCTAAACGCAGTTACTAGCCTGAGACGGAGTGTTTGTTGTATGTGTAAAGAGGGCCGTCCCCTGCCTGAATTGATGATTAAACACATCACCTTAATGTGGCACCTGCAGCGCTGACACATGCTGTGCTAGGGGATAATGGAGTGTGTGGTGTGCAGTACAGCAGATGCTCATGTGGACCGGAGTCCATGCTGTTCACACACACACACACACACACACACACACACACACACACACACACACACACACACACACACACACACACACACACATGGATGGTCAATCATTGGCTGTGACAAGTTTATAATCATTAGTGTCTAAACACACAAACATCTGCTGGTAAGTGCTAAGTACAGGTGAAAGTGTGTAAGACAGAAACCCCAAGAGGGGAAAGGGATTTTTTTATGAGCAGAACAGCTCAAATCTATAATCAATTAGAACTGAGAGCAAATACAACATTCAATTATTCAACTTACAGTTTTAGACATTTCTTAAAGTTATTTAATCCTAAATTAGATAGATCTGTTAGTTGTTTTGAATTATTGACATCCACATTAAATACATTCCAGTTGTAGACGAGATCCTACCTGTACTTTCTCCGATTTTTCATCTTTATATTTGTACGAGTTTTAAAATATCTATTTCAAAGCTAATCTTTTTTGATGAAACAAATAAGATTCACTATAAAGTAGAATTTCTTTCCTTTTTTACACTTTACACTCTCATATTAAACAATCCTATTAAAAGATGTGTGTCAGAATCTAGTTTTTGAAACACTTTGAAATAATGTATTACCTACTTGGGTAAATTGAGGAATTTGTATGAATTATTTTTGGGAAATCTTAGGCCTTTAGACTTTTGAAATCATTCATGAGTTTTAATATTCTACAGTTGTATGGTCCAATAGATTAATCATTTTAATATTTTGTATATTTTGTCACATTTGCAGTCTTATCTACTTTGTGGGAGCAGGAGAGATAGCCTCGAGACGATAGAGAAACCCATAAACACTAGGTTTACAAAACAACATAACTATTTATTTAAAACACATTTCACATTTTGTCTGCTTTCATGTAGTACACAAGGAGTTTTTTCATTATATTAATACACTTACACACAAGAAAAACAGTAATAGCAACAACGCACACAGATAAAGCATCCAAAATAACTACTTTTCTATTTTCTTTTGAAAAAAGGTTAACGTTCAGTGGCTTCATTAGAGGAAATGTCTGCAGACACACCCTGATAAAGGTTAAGTTGCTGAAAATTGATGTGCCACTTCTTTGATTTTTTTTTTTTACTGAAACTGGTCTGATCACTTTTCACAAGAGACAATGTTTAAGGATGAGAAGTCCAAGAAGAAGACATGAAGGTCATCGGATGAATTTGCTTGTGTGCTCTCTGATGTGAAATGAAATCAGTGTTGCACACAAACTGCTGTTCAGTGTTTGTCTGCTGTAAGGAGCAGATGGTGGCGAAAGAGGCACCCTGACGTCACACACATCATCATCAATCTCTCAAACTAACATACTGCGAACAAACTGTCAATGCCAAAGATTAGCCCATTAGCTCTCCGGGCAATGAAACATGTTTGAAGAAGATTCAGAATGTAAAGAAATGTAAATGAGATTTAGTCATGATATATTCGTTTGTAATTCTGGACATTGCTTAGCAAATGTAAGACAGGTTAGACTGCTAAGTTAATAGGCAAATTACATTCATTGTAATTAAAAAAGTTGTTCAAAGATAAGTGTACTGTCACTGTAAAAATGCATGTATACGTGTCTGCATTCATTTATTAAAATATTTCAACTGTTGTGTATGTATGAGAGTCCCTAAATAAAATGCAGACAAGAATTGAGACAACTCATAGATAAAACAGACTGAAGCAACTGTAAACATATTTTAAGTTAGTTTATTGTTGAAGTTTATAGTAATAGCTCTGTGGTATAGATTATAGTCACATAGTTCAAGTTAAATGTAGTTTCCCTTCACATTCTTGAGATGTTAGGATGTTATATGATATTCAATTTTTTAAGGCAAAAATCCTCTCAATAAATATCAGCCTATTTAATATCCATAGGTCTATTGTACTGTATTTTAGTCATCTGAGTGATCAAGAAAATAAATAATAATAATAATAAATGTTTACTTTAAATCATCACTACATACCTCAGTATATAAAAAGTCTTTAAAACTCAAGTGACACACTCCAGTCAATTATTTCGGTACTTCTTTCTGTTTTTTTATTGTTTTTTTTTTTCATTTTCAGACTATGCATTTTTCTTTATTTCTATTTTTCTATTTTTTTTTTTTTAAATCCTCAGTGCATGCTGGGAGATCGACGAGAAAAAAAAAACGTTCAACAACCAATCAGAGAACGGTAGACTTTGGTAACCCGGAAGTAATACATCACAACAAAGATTTGCCGGGAAATCTGCGTCGTCTTAGCGGCTGCCGAAGTTACGAATGTTTATGAAAGACTCAGCCAGAGTGTGTTTTTTCTAATTAAACATAGTCTCTGGTTGTATTCTGTGTTTGTTCAAGTCAATATGGACGAATATGACGAACTTTTCGAGATACAGGACGACTTTGAGGACCAGTACGCCGATGAGCTGGAAGCGTTGGCCGAGATGGAGATGGAGAGTGAGTATCTCTAAAAGTGGGCTAACTTTTCTAAGACTGTTTTAAAGTAGCTGGTATGACTAGCCATGTTCAAAGATGACCTCAAAGTAACATTTGGATCTCTCCTAACATCCTCCGATCCCCTGAAGCTTCATGTTGTGTTAATGGGGGTGGATTTTACTAAACCACTACAAAATGAGTCATGCTTGTATTGGGGATTGAATCAGTGAAAGTGGAGTTTTGCCATTTATTTAATATTCATTTAATCCAAGGACTCAAGGTGAGATCAGTAGATTACTATCCTTAACAAAGGTGTTTCCTCTTATTGTGTGATGGCTGTGCAGTGTTGAAATGTTAATAAAAGCAGAACATCCATGCACGAGAAGCTGTGATTTTGTGCCACATTTTCTTAGCAGAGAAGAAATTTGATTATTAAAAAGTCATTGCATTTATAATATGTGTATGTCTCTGTTTGAATGGATTAGAGGATACCTCCAAGCCAGGGAAACGCCAGCAGCAGGACATCTCTGAAATAGAGCATCTTCTGGATGATCAGCCCGGCAGTGAGTTAACTATCAGAGCGTCAAGGTGTTGTTCTGTTTGTTTGTTTGTTTGTTTGTTTGATGTTTTCTATCTGTGATGTGACTTTGTCCTCCTCACAGCCCCAAAGGCAAAGCGTCAGAAGCAGGAGGCTGGAGTGGTCAAACGACTTTTCAACTCAACCAAAGAGGTCAAAGACTTACCACAGAAAGATGACATCACCCCACCATCCTCACCTGAGCAGTATGAACCCTCTGTCCCCGTCAGGTAATGGAGATGCATGATGATCAGATGTTCATCACAGTGTCAGAAGATGACACAGTGCGATATTAAGCTATATCCTCATGCTACATTTAAACATCAACCACCTCGCCCCCCCACCTTCAAAACTGTTTTACGTCGATTTAAAACATGCTTTGCAGCGACCTGTTTTATTTTTCCTCAGATATTCTGGACCAAAAAAAGCGCTGTTTAATATCTTATGAATTATGGGCAATTCAGAATATTTTGTTTCATTATGATAATAGCTACTTATAATAAGAAAATAAAAGTAAAATCCAACTATAGGCATTACAGAAGGAGTTTCTAGATGTAAAAAATAGGGAAACCATTTCAGTGCAAGTAAATAAAAATGTGTTAACAGTCAAATCAACATCACAAATAACAACCACTTTTCATCATGAAGAATAAAAATGGAAATTATTATTTTTTTAGACTAAAAGGCACGAGTCTAAATCTCTGCATGCCAAAAAGGCTACAGCTGGTGACTCTAAACTGTATCATGAGAATTCAATGCTTATCTTTTAACTTTTCTTGTATGCTTATTGTGTAAATATTTGGCAGTCTAGTTGTTTTTAATCAATCAATCAATCAATTTTTGTTTGTATAGCGTCAACTCATAACAAGTGTTATCTCGAGCTATATCTGTTATCTTTGAAGCTTGTCTTGTTTTATGGTTTTCATTCTATTTGATCAAAATAAAATTCTAGCCAAATTCTTGTAATGAGCTCAACAATTTAAAAAAAGTATGCTAAACAAAAATACCAATAATTTGACATCATTATTTCTGGGACAAAAGGCAGGAATCAAATTAATAAGATTGGCTTATTGTAATGTGATGGAATTGATCATTTTCTTTTATTTATGGATTAAATAAAATATCTTTTAAAAAGAATGTATTGCATTTTTGAAACTCGGTACAACAGTATTCTTAACATGTCTGTCTCGACATGTGTTTTAGGACTACCTCAGCCCTTTTGGATATCAGCGGCTTTGGTACGATCCCAGACACTCCCGCGCGACCTCCCACAGTGGCTCCAGCATCACTGCATGTTCTGAGACGGCCTCCTTTAGAGGGAGAGTTCATCACTGTGACAGACTCGTCAGGGAGTCGTGTCTACCTCAGACAGAGAGAAAAAACAGGGACAGAGGTGAAACTCCCACACTCTGATTTATCTGTGATATGACACACACACACACACACACACACACACACACACACACACACACAAAGATGTTATAACTCTGTATTGTCTTTGCATTAATCTAGGGGGTGGAATCCAGGATGGTACCAAACTCCCTGGGTTCACTGGGACTGCTGGCAGTGCCTATAGGTGTGTTGAGAGAACAAGAAGCTGACAGGGTGAGTGACCAGGCTGCTGCTGTTTTGATTTAATCCTCAAAGTATCCTCAAATAACCAAACACAGTAATCACATGACAACTCAATCAGCTAAAGCACCTCCCTACATCCAACCATTTGATTATAATAATCCAAATACAGAGAATAGTACGAGCATTTCCAAACAAAGCACCTGAGCGTAACCGGAGCACTGTCGCGTTATTAGTAAAACAGGATTCCTCTGATGAATAAAATGTAACACTTGGCTGAGCAATCTCACCTTGTACTGAGCTAGTGTTTCATCTATTTACATGGTAGAAGCCTATATCTCTCAATTATCTGTAGGCATTTATTTTGTTAAAAAAGTGGTGATTAGATTAAAAACTTCCCCACAAAAGAGAACATATTATTTTTTAGGCTTAACACCAAACGGTACACATGGAGAAATTCAAATTGTTACTTTCCATCCAGTCCAACATGAAACATCTTATCCGACTTAAAGGAGTAAATGAGTGATGATAGTCCAATAACTAGGCAATAACTAAGAAATAAAAATGATAAAGAGGAATGTATTAAAAGATTCAAATGTTAAGTAAACTGTTTTTGCACCAGGGAACTTTGAAGGTGGTTAAAAATGAGGTTTAATTTCTTCTCTTTTTTTTGTTTGTAGCGTCACCAGCAGGTTGTTGAAGAATCTCAGCGTCTTACAGAGCTGCTGACAAAGTAAGTAACCAGCTGTCTCTCTCTCTCTCTCTCTCTCTCTCACATTCACTTTGGCCAATCAAAAATGTCAAATTTTTAACTTTGTTTTCCAAATTCTGACGCATACCAGTAGTGTGAATGACGTATTGGTTGAGCCTGAGAGCAGAGGAGATGAAGACAACGACGATCCTGAAGACACAGAGGGCAGAACCTCTAGACTGTGGGTGGACAGATACTCTCCTGGACACTACACGGAGCTGCTCAGTGATGATGTGAGTTTTCTGTGTGTAGTTGTATATGCCCTGTGAATACATGAATACACACTCTTAAGTAGAAGTCCCCCGCACTGATGTCAGCTGTGTGTCTGCTCTGTTCTAGTTTACCAACCGCTGTCTGCTCAAGTGGTTGAAACTCTGGGACACTGTTGTGTTCGGGAGAGAGAGGAAGTCCCGCCCTGTCCGATCTGACAGACAGGCTCCCAACCAGAACTCATTCAATCCTAATCAACCTAATCAGAATCCAAAGCGCTTCAAGACCAAGATCGAGATGACCGAGGAGCTGCTGGAGGCTGAGCTGGACCAGTACCAACGACCCAGGTTCAAGGTACACAAAGGGAAATGTCACTCACATGACATTTATTTTGTTTTACGAGATATAACTGACTTTGCTCTTTCTGTAGGTGGCGTTGTTGTCGGGTCCTCCAGGCTTGGGGAAGACTACCCTGGCTCATATCATCGCAAAGCATGCTGGGTACAATGTGGTGGAAATCAATGCCAGGTTAGAATGACCAAATTAAAACTGATCAAACTATAGTAATAAGTCATTGTTTGTTAAGCTGTTAAAAGTTCTCCTGATGGGAACACGGTGGTGCTGTTAATGTCTTTACAGTGATGATCGCAGTGCAGAGATTTTCCAGAAACGCATCGACACAGCGACACAGATGAAGTCAGTTCTAGGAGCAAATGAGAAGCCGAACTGCCTGATTATTGATGAGATCGATGGAGCACCAGCGGTATGTCCCGGGTGCTGAACACATCTGTGCCTTCTATCTACTGCAACTCTAGATTTTCAAGATCTGCTGCAAGCTTCCAAGTCCATCTTACTGCTTAAAGTTAGATTTCTATTATATTGAGTTTGTTAGTTTATGGGACTACAGTTTTTTTCATCATCACATTTTTACCTTTATAATGATGAACTGTGATAAGATAAGGGTGGTTTCAAGGACAACAATCAAATATTTTGTATCTATGAAGTCACAACAAGTGAAATGTCAAATATGTACTCGCATTTGCTGTTGAATGAAAATTATAAATATGGAAGAGATTTGAATAAGCATCCTTGAATTTTTTTCCTCATTCAGAAATCCTGTCTTTGACTTCTGACCAAAGTATTTTTTTTTTTCCATATGATCTGAAACTTTAAAAGTTGTCCAAAGTGCTTCTGTACAAGTGTTCAAGACTCTACAATAATCTGAACATGCGTGGCGATTATCTTCACACCCCTAAACAAGTTTGCAGCGTTAAAATGCTGCTTAAATCCTGCTTAACATGTTGTCCTTTTCCTTCCTCTTTGGCGTTCGACAGGCTGCGATCAACATTCTTTTAGCAACTCTGAACAAGAAAGACGGACATGGCGGGGAGGCCGGAACTGATCCAACAAAGAAGAAAAAAAAGAAAGAGTCCATGCTGCTTCGACCGATCATCTGCATCTGTAACGACCTGTAAGAGAGACTCTGGTGTTTTAACAGATGCTTAAAAGTGGAAAATTGTAGATTTTCTTGGTGGATGTTGAGTCAGTTAAGTAGCTAAATATTTTATCTTCTTATTATGTCTGAATACATATCTTTTTGTTTAGTTATGTTCCAGCTCTCAGACCGCTCAGGCAGCAGGCTTTCCTTCTGACTTTCCCCCAGACCCAACCTTCCCGCCTCGCACAGAGACTGGCAGAGGTCAGTTCACACCCACAAAATCACACACACACAAACATACACACACACACACACACAAGAAAATGTACATGCAGGAGTACACAAACATTTGCGTAAAACACCACAAATCCAGGTTTTTATTGAGTGTTTGTGTGCAGATCTCCCTCCGGCAGGGGATGAAGGCAGACACGGGCACTCTGATTGCTCTGTGTGAAAAGACAGACAACGACATCAGGTCGTGCATTAACACACTACAGGTGAGTGGCCACGCTGAGGGGAAGGTCTGTCTGTTGAGTGATCAGGTAAGCTATAATCATGGTGTTTATGTACGATAATATACATGTTGTTGTGTCTGCAGTTCCTCCATGGTCGGGGGCTTAAGAAGGTGGACACCAGGACCATCCAGTGTGTCTCTGTGGGTCAGAAGGACCAAAACAAAGGCTTGTTTCATCTGTGGCAGGAGATCTTCCAGTTGCAGCGTGTTAAACGGTACTTTGTCTCCTGCTACAGTTTGCCATAAATGTTCTACTGTATTTGCAAAAACCGTTTCCTAAAAGCAATGTTTACTGTTAGCAGACAAACTCAAGTGTAGTCAAACATTTTATAATGAAGCAAACATTCTGAAAAGTCATTTCCCATGTAGTTGTGCTCCTGCTACAACACAATCGTCTCTGCTTTGTTCAATGGTAATCATAATGGTTTATATGTTTGTATTTATTTAAAAGATTTCGCTTTGGCAAAACTTACCCGCAAACTTTCCAGAATACTATTTTGTTGCTCTAGACCTCCGACCTTGTTTGTGATGATTATTTTGTAATCCTTAAATCTTTTTCTCGTAAGAAATTATTCTAACATTCTGCAGAGAAAATCTGACAAAAGTGTGAAACAAAACATAAATTGAATGCACTTATTAAGTAATTCATGTCATAATCTATCAGTTGATCTCCTATAAATTCACACGTGGTTTAAAAGACATCTTTAAAGTCTTAAATTCAACTGCAGAAACCTGAATGTTATCTGGACAATCAAGAAAATAGTAAAGGCTGTCAGAGTAGTAAACAGTCTTTTTTCAGTTTTTCTGTTCTTTTCTGTTGTCTGTAAGGGAGATTTCATTTATAGTTTTTTTTTTTAGTACAACTTAAAAAAAGAGCAAGATTGCAATAGAAATATGCTGACTTGATTGTCAACTTGTTCTCACAGGAAACGTATAGGTGAGGGCTTTGAGGAGGCCCCGGGCTCAGGAGGTGGAGCTCAGAGGTTTCAGCACATTTTACATTTGGCTTCATCAAGTGGAGAGTTTGAAAAGGTTTCTCAGGTAATGAAAACATCCTCCTGATGTAAACATTATTAAAGATGAGTTATTATAAAATATCCCGTAACAACAGGCATAGCTACTGTGCATTAACAGTATATAAAACACTGTTATACTTTATGACATCCATCTGAACATGTGTGTCCTCAGGGTCTGTATGACAATTATCTGTCCATGCGTGTAAGGGATCCAAACCTGGAGAGTGTGTGCGACGCTCTGGATTGGCTGTCGTTCTCAGACAGGCTGAATTACGTGATTCTGCACGGGCAGAACTTCTCCCTCATGAGATACCTTCCCTTCCTGTCTGTGACGTTCCACTTTCTTTTTGCCCACACACACATTCCCCGAATCAGCTACCCTCACAGCCAGCACGAGGTACAAATCAACTGCTTTCACAAATATTGTACAAAAAAAGGTTAATTTTATGATTTTTTTCTTTTTTTTTTAAATGACAACATATTACTTGAAGAAAAAAATAAAGGATAAGAAGAAACCTGAGATGTTTCATAACTACTGATCTATAGTCTTTGAGTAATCATTCTGTTCTTTCCAGGCCGCCTCCCGGATCCTCAGCAGCAGGAACGCTTTGTCGACCATGTTGGCTGACATCCCAGCATGCATCAGAACGAGGATCAGCCAACTGAGCCTGACCCTTGATATTCTCACGCTGCTCCTCGACATCATCTGCCCCAAACTAAGGCCTGTACGTAAAAACATGCACACTGAACTGCATATATATGTTTGTTAATTTAGGTTCATCAGCACTGTGTCTTGTTATTAACACACACATTATTGTTGTTGTTAACTATAGACCTGCAAGAAAACGCAAGAAATGTTTAGAAAGGAGACTTTCACCTGAATGTCATTGGCTGTAACTTCTAAATGTGTGTTAACCAATCCTCTATATGTGACTAGAGCTTGGTCCTAAGTATATATCCAAACTGGAGAACTGTATGTGACCACAGATTAGGACAGATTCTTGTCCCTGTTGTCTTTATAGTGAATATCAGAGTTCTTTTTCACATTTCATATATCTTCATAAGATTATCACACTATAATGGTATTTTGAGGACCGGTAAGTAAGGATAAAAGTAACTTTTGTTTAGACCTATTTCTATCTCAGTTAAATATTTTCATGACACTAATGTCATAAACTGATATTTCTCTCCTGTCTTGGTGACAAACTGTTAGTGAGTCAAACAGATAAACATGAACAGAAAAAAGTCTGAGCATCATAATCAGAATAACTTTATTGTCGTTGCACACTGTACAACAAATTAGCTTAGCTTCTCTTAAACAAACATAAAACAATAACATTCATCCAATAGCCACATGCATTCATCCACATACACACACCCCCCCATAGTACTTATAATAATATGATGAAAGTAAAAAAAAAAAGAGGTTAATTGAAGTGTTGTTTGGCCTCTGGAAATTATTTCAATTTATAAGGATATTATTCCAAATCAAATGTTACTGCACAGTGAGTCTTATTGCAGATTCAATTGTATGACCTCTAAATAACCTGACCTGGATGTAATTCTATATATTATAGTCTAAACAATGCATTACGGGGGAGAGAATGAGGGTTGTCATACAGCTTAAGGACCAGGAATTAAACCTGTGTGACGGGTGCAAAGAGGATGATAGTCTCTGTACACGGGGAGTTTGCTCTACCTACGGAGCCAAACCAGTGCCCCAGGTTGTAGAGTTTAATGTCACATCATATGAAGTTAAGTCCATATTTATATAAAGACGATTCTGTTACAGCTGTGAGAGTTTTATTTTTCTGTGTGGATGCTTTTCATCCTGGTTGGCTCAGTTATAGACAATGCTGTCTCCAGTTTGGATTGGATGTACATTCAATCCACTGTACAAGGCAAACCTTTAAAACCTAATGAAGCCCAATACTACAACCCTTATATATAACCTGTCTTCACAAGCAGATCATACTGTCATGTTTTGATTAACACTCAGAATTTTCTTTGCAAAATGAAGCAGCCATTTATTTCTTCTTCGGTTGGGTCCTAACTGTTTGGGTTCAGGTCCGTCAAATCAGACAGACAGGCTAGTTGAAAATGTTCAGTGGATAAATCATCAGGCAGTGGTGAAAAGATATGTTGTATTAAATCATTTTTAAAAGTGCATTGAAGCTCCCACTGGTCTCTGCTTCTTTTTGTGTGATCTGTAGATTTACTTTACAGTCACATTATAAAGTGGTTAAAACTTCTATGATCTAAAGTCTTGTATCTGTCATTCAGGTGAATCCGCAGCTCTTCAGCAGCAGAGAGAAGGAGCAGATGCGAGAGCTTATAGACACCATGCTGTCTTACAACCTTTCATACAGGCAGGACCGCACGCCTGAGGGACAGTACATATACATGCTGGAGCCGTAAGTACACACACACACACACTCACACACACACTCACACACACACACCTGCAGTCAGCTAGGGCACACGCAGTGCAGATGTGTGTTTCTGGGGTGTTGAAGGTCACTGCTCCTGTCCGGACTGTGGTTCGCTGCATGAAGGCTTAGAGAGTAATCCCTTTACTCCTGGTGTGTGTGTGTGTGTGTGTGTGTATGTGTGTGTGCGCGCTTTTGATTGTGAGAGAGCAAACTGAGCAGCAAGCCTCAAAGCCTGTCAGGTGGGGTACAGGTGGATTAACAAGAGACAAAGGGTTGGAAAGAAGAGGTTTAAATGAGTAGAGGAGTGAAATAAGGAGAGAGATCGTAGAAGTATATCAATGCTTTTGACAAAACAAGAACAAAACTCATCTAAGCAAGTGATCCTGGAGACTTGGGAGACATTTGGTTTTCCTGGAATTTTCTTTTCTGATTTTGTGGTCACTGAGGACATTTGAGACTGTGGTGTTGGTAAAATGGGATAACAAGCTGTACGTCTTTTGCTATGCCGTCCAGGGCCGATCAGCAGCCATTATCACATGGTGGCTCCTTTCTGCAGGCTCGCTGTGACGAGGTGCTGGTCACAAACGACTGGTGTCTTCCTCTAGTGTTAGCTTTACTGCTTCTTCTCCTGATCTACACCTTCCTGTACCTGCCCTCTCTGGCTCACCACAACACCACCCTCTGACAACTCACGGGTAGGGACTTGGAGTAGCATCGTTGGGATGCCAACCTTCAACATTTCAGGCAGTGGACACGCCAAGCTCCAACTGGATTACTTGTTTGGACTCCTCCCTTTTTTTTGGGCAATTTTGTTAATTGGTCAGACTGTGGCAGAGGTAGAGTTGAAATGTTGAGGGAGAGACAAGTGTAACAAAAGAACAGGGAAAAAAAATAATTCCCCTCAGCCATAAATCTGTTCTGGGTGACACACATTTAAAACTGTGTAACCAAAATGAACCTTTGACTGCGCGGCGTTGAGTAATCTTCTAAGTGCTCTGAGAGTTTGTGTTGGTTTTTGTGTAGTCCAATCTCGGTAGTGCGCATTCATTTGAAAAGCTAAATGTTGCAACTTCTTTCAATACTGTTATTCTTTTGAAAAGCAGTTTGTAGGATGAATAGGGATTAGGTCCAGTGTGTATTTGTTGTACTTTAGGATTCATTGCTGTAGTTCAAGTTTAGCTGTTTTGACACGTGGACAAAACAATTCCCACATTTTTTGGGGAGCTGCACTCCACAGCAACAGATTTTTTTTTTTTTGCCAGCTCTGAGCCGTGATTGAACGCAGCAGGAACATTCACCTCCAGAAACAGGCAGGTACCGGGGCAGATGACCTTAATATCACATTACTGGTGCGATCATTGTGCTTAAAGACGCTTTATACTCTTTTATTCTGGCCAGTACATGAACTATACACGATACATTCACTAGTAGTCCCTGATGAATTTCATATATATAATTATTATGACATACCTGTGCAGGAGCAGTGAGCAAAGTCGGGACTGATTTTGAATTATTTTGAAATTCTCTCATTCTGATTTATCACCAAAGGTTATTGTAGTTGGGAAAAATTGACAAAATAATACAAACGATATCCTCAAATGAGGTTTTACAAAAAAAAGTGTACCAATTGAAACTGTACTGTTTGTTTACACAACTAATTGAAAAGAAGATAATATAAATAAAAAATAGTATTTCATTTTAGCATCTTAGTCAATTTATTTCATACAAATATGCCACGTTACATATAGTTTGTCTTTAGTGGGGGGTCTTTTGTGGTTGTTAATCTTTTGTATTTAAATACTTTTTTTAATGGTTTGATATTGGGGGAGCTCCAAGAAAAAAGGTTTGGAACCACTCTCAAGATGCTGCATTAGTCTTTGCTTTCAGCTTTTACTAATAAACAGAGAGTGTAAGTGTGCCAGAAGATGCACTTCTTTATGTCAGCTGCACCTTGTATAATCTCTGATGTAAAAATGGGGCTCTGACTCTTCAAAGCTGTTCATTATCAGAGTTTTCCAAGCTCAGATGGAAAGACGTCTGATTGTCTCTGGTGACAGTCTCACAGACTGTTATTATCTTATCTATCATATATTTAGGTCGCTCAGGCATTGAGTGACAGTCTACTGGTACATTCTGTGCAATTGTCTGTGTGTGTGTGTGTGTGTGTGTTGGAGAAAGATGGAGATCAGCTATAAGAGGATTAAGGTTTTAGAGAGTGACAGATTCAGGGTTTGATTCTGCAAAACGTAAACCACAGCATCAAAACTACAACCTTTTTGTCCTTTTATTCTTTCATCAAAAAAAGTCTCCCTGTGTGTCAGCCTTATGCTGTTAAGACTGTTTGTGTTAAAGTTGTAAGTTTTGTTTCTTGCAGCTATATTCTTGTGTATGTGTGTGTTTGCAGGCGTGTGGAGGAGGTGGTGAGGTTTCAAGGCCTGCCTACTCGCCGTCAGCTGACATATCAGGCCAAGCAAACGATCAGCAGAGAGATGGAGCAGGAGAAGATGAGGAGAGCCGAGCAAATGATGCTGCTGAGAAACCCTGCAGGGGTGAGACCCCAAACACAGCTAACACATTATGGAGTTATTATGTACAGTACGGCCTGTTGATAATCAGGTCAGTGTGTGTGTTAATAATCTAATATCTTTTTATAATCCATTGTGTCTGTGTGGCAGAGGCAGGGAGAGAAAAAGAGCGCCGTTGCTAAGCCGACAAGGAACCACGAGCTGAGGCTGGAGAACATCGTCAAACAGACCACAGTGGAGAGCAGGGTGAGACACACACACACACACACACACACACACACACACACACACACACACACACACACACACACACACACACACACACACACACACACAACTAGAGATGTGAAAAGACTGCATGAAGAGAGTTTCATAGTAGATGGGTTATGAGTGTGATTCCCGTCGTCTGGGCCTTGACTCAGGATGTCAGTTAAGTTGTGAGCCCCGTGCACAGAGGCTTCTTTGGCACTTTAACCACATGTAATTCCAGACTCTCTCTTCCTCATTCCTGATACGATATGATACACTCGTATTGTATCGTACTCTCTCTCCCTCTCTCCCTGATTTCCTATTCTAGCCACTGTCCTGTCCCCTAAAACCAAGGCATGAAAAGGCAAAGACAGCACGTAGTAAACAAACAAATGAACCTGATTGTTCTTTCTATTCTAACTTCATATCGATGTTTGAGATTCACTCTGCTGAATGACTCATGCGCATGAGTTTGTTTCTGCTGAAAGGGGAAAAGATTCCTCCTGGATATATAGAAATGATTTGCATCATGAATGTAATATAACATGTTCATCATAAGACAATATTAAACTCAGAGGAGTGCTGTTTGAATTTAAGGTGTTGTGTTGTTAAATAAATAAATCCCTCAAATAGATGGAGATATGAATGGGTTCAGATTGTTCAGAATAAAAGACACCATGGATCTCTTTTGGCAGGGAGGGGCTCATAAACACCTTTATTAACCCCTCTAAGGATCATTGTTTGAAGCAGCTTTTTTCCTAAAATATATATTTTTTAAACTGCAGCAATAGACAACAACAAAAATGTCAAATCAGATCTGAAAGGAATAATGATAAAAGCAGATTACTAATGTGGGGATCATTTAGTCGTTTCATTGCGGTGGGGTTTAAAAAAGGTCTAACACTCCTAAACCTGCGAGGAGGTCTGATTTGCTGCTGAAGAATTCTTCATAACGGTCAGTGTGTAAAATGTAAAGACATAAAGGCAGCAATTATTTTTCATTAAGTAACAGTAAGATGAGTTCTTGATGAATGTGTCAGGTTTTTATTGAATATTTGACCACTTAATACATACACCATTATACGTATTTGTCATTGATATCGCTGTTTCACTTCACATTTTCTTACAGTGAAGCTCTTTGTACTCTTAGTATAAGCATTGTATGAGTTAAGTTTTCATTAGATCTCTGAGTTGATTTGCGAAGTAGAATTACGCCTCCTGCAGCTTTGTTAGTTTGTGCCTTTAGGTGGCGCCAGAGAGGACCACAAAACACTTCACATTGAGCATTTGAGAGCCTGTGTGGCTGAGCTGCGGAGTTAGAATAGATCAGTAATGAGTGACAGAGAGAGAGGGAACCTCTAGAGGGCAGAAACGAGGATAATGAGAAGCTACTGGGTTAAAGCCCCTGATGGTGAAACTGTGAAATGAGGCTAATGAGAGGTTGTGTGTGTGTGTGTGTGTGTGTGTGTGTGTATTTCTTTTCATTGTCACTGACCTCTTTATTGAGGACAAAAACTGAAACTTTATGATTAACCTGAACCTGAACCTCTCTGTATCTTTGTGTGTTTATGTTGTGCAGCCGGAAGTGGATTTCTTTGGACGAGCTCTTGCCCCCAAACTCCCGAAACCTCAGCTTTCCTCAGACTCAGGTACAGTTTGACATTTCCAAGCCTCAGTCATCCAAACCTTCACAGGCTGTTTAGTGGAAAAATGCCTTGAGGTACATCTGGTCGAAAACACACAGCAGAGGTGATTACTGATGTGTGTTATGTAACACTGCAAATTTAGATCTCCTGTGGCTCACTGCAGGCAGGAGATCTGGTCTGTCAACAGCCCTGCTGTCTGCATAATGTAGAAAATGTCATATTTCTGTTAGCAACTAAAAGACTTGACATTTCTTATCTACAGTTTTACACTCATATTGGATGCCTAACAATCTCTATGCTTTCTTGAATATAAATGAAGAGTAAAACAGCAACCTAAATTACTTAAATGATGTATTTCAAAAGGCCTTAAGTCATTAGAGCTCTAACATCCTAATAAAAGTTGGTAGATTAGTAGCTGCTGTCTGGCATTCCAGTAGCTTTGTGCCACTGGAAACAAACATGACTGCTGTGTTCAAATGCATCACAGCTCCAGGCTAAAAATAGCACATTTGCATAAACAATAGAGCTCTTCAGCAGAATCATGTCGCTCCTTCTCTCTCTCCTCCATCACGGCCAGCTGAGGTAAAAAATATTTCAAATAGTGATTTCAATCTGGAAAAGCATATCACTGCTCCAATGTTACTTAAATATATACAGAAATAAACGTCCCGCTAACGCATTTGTTTGTATACAGCGTTTCTTCAAAACAGCATGAACCTAATATGTATCCACCAAAGTGACTCGTTCTTCTCAACAAGCAGGTTTAAACAAATATAACGATTAAAGGCCTCTAGTATTCATTGATTGTTTTTTTTAAGATTTTGGCAAAAAGAACACAGATTTAAAACCTGAACACAATAATTAGTGGTACAGAACCACAATATACACTGAACAGGTAATAGCTACAAGTTTGCCTTTTAAATCTCTGAGTCAGGTCTGAGCAAGCTATGGTTTTTTATTCATTATTCATTGTAATTTGAATCCATGCTCTCTGCAAATACTGTAAATACAAAAAAAAAAGCCCCTAACTCTTCCCAAGGTCCCCAATACATAGGTTTTTTTCCAGTATCTTTACACTCTCCTTTGCATTATTATATAATTGTAATCTTGATCTATAGGCCTATATATTCAGTCTCATGTTTCAGTGCTTGTGTTATTCCCTTTGTCTATTCACGTGTCCTCCACATGTGCACTCACATCTGGCCAATACAGCTGATTCAGAATTTTCACCAAATCACAGCAGGGCATGTATGTGAAAACTTTGCCCAGTTTTGAATCCATTCACGATGACCTTTACATTTTTTCTTTTTTATGCAGTTGAGTGGCATGGGCCCAGATTAAGGGCTCAGCGGGTGTTTTAAAATAAAATGGATACGTTGAAAATTACTAACCCTGCTGAAAGCCCTGCATTACTGAGATTGATCGACAGGGTAAACATGGTGCACATGCAGATCCACAGCTGTGAGCAGATCAAAGCAAGAGCCAACTGTTGTTGGAACAGTCACAGCTTTTAAGTCATGCATTCTTTGTCGATAACTCAGGGCTCTTGCAACAAAAGATTATTAAATGTTTTTTTCAGAAGAATACCATTCAACTGCATCTGCCGTTATCAAGCTCTGTTCTTTTCTGTGGTTCTTTTGATCACGTCTGATCAATCATACATACAGTACAACACAAGAGTAGCAAAAAGTGCATCGAATATCAGAGAAATACATAAATCAAAAAGCATTAGGAGAATGAAGTGGACAAGGGTTCAAATCATAGAAACCATGCCTAAATAAGGATACATAGTCGTATAATGAATTAAGTAACAGAGTAAGATGAGTACGAGAGTAATGGCATCATAGACAGCAGTATTGGCAGTTCAGAAAGACACTCACGGTCCATATATTCAAACTCCAGGTGACTGATACTACACTGATAATAAAAAGTTATAATGTTCTGTTGACCTATGTTTGATGTAAAGCTCATATGTCTCCAGTCTGCGACGGACTTTTCATGTCCATGCATTAGACACATTCCCTGTCTTCGGTACAGGTCACATTTTGGTGGATTGGAGTTGACCTCCTTCCGTGTCACGTTCACGCCCTGTATTTGCATTGCCTTCTTGTATATCCTGCCTACTCCTGTGCTGTGGAGAAGAATGCAAAGCGTCTTTCAAATGATGTGAGGTAGTTCCATAGAGAGTGAGATTCAAAACTTAAACTCACTGTTACAGCTTTGTGAAGATCTTTAGTTATAAGTAGGGCTTCAGATAATGATTACTTTCAGTATAGAGAATTCAATATATCTATATCTATAGATGTTGTTCAGTATCGTAACTTCTCGAAGACAACTCTGACGTCTCTCGTTTGCTCATTTTGTCAGAATGACAGAGACAATAACTCAAAGATTTTCTAAACTGATGTGAGGATTAGCAGCTTTTTCATGCAGTCATTTTTGTTTGTTTTCAATCCTATTTATGCCTTTATTTTAGAGACAGGACAGTCGATAGAGTTAGAAACTGGAAAGAGAGCGAGAGTAGGGAATGACATGCGGTATGTTTGATTTGATGTGTAAACAACTGGTTAGCCATCTGATTCTGTATTAACAGTAAATTACGTTATTAAGAAAAGGGGCAGGAATTATAGGTTTTTCTTCACTCTGCGCCTGTTTGTTCATGGACAGTGTAGAAGTATTTTGACTTATTGTGTAGGAATCATACACTGAAATTAACAAATACATCAATCATGAAATATAAAAATGCCCTTGTCCTCTCTTTGCAGGCGAGAGGTGTCCGGTTCAGTGTATGGGAACGGCTGTGGGTAGCAGTGACGTCTGGTTCCGCTTCAACGAGGGGATGTCCAACGCTGTCAGACGAAATGTTTACATCCGAGAACTGCTGTAACGCCCCAAAGTACACACACGCAAACTTTGAACTATTTTACTTTGCCTTGTCTAAAGAAAAGAAAAAATCCAGCTGTTAAATTCAAAACAGTCTTTATTTTGATTGACAGTGTAAAGAGCCAATAAAAACATGTTGTTGAACATTTCTCAGCAGTCCTTCAAAACAAACCTCGAGAAAGCTACTCAGTGCTGAACGCTCACACACATACACACACACATGCACCCACTCATGCATACACACATACAGTAGTCGAAACATAATTTAAAAGCATTTAGGAGTCTTCCAATAAATAAACATAACAATAGCAACATTGTGTGTGTGTGTGTGTGTGAAGAAGAGAGTTAGTGCAGCGTGAATGTGTTTGTGGGAGTGCATGATTCTTTCGTTTATATGCGTCTGTGATTGTGTGTGCGTGGGCGTGTGTGTGTGTGTGTGTGTGTGTGTGTGTGACCATTAGAGGATCACACACTTGCCCTTCTCCACCCAGGGGTTGGCTCTCATCAGCTCCGGGTTCAGAAATGGATCCTCACACACACAACCCTCGATCCACTTCACCAGCCTGCGGAGAAAAAAAAAAAACCACACACACACACACACACACACACCATCAGCATGAAGCTTGTACTTTGGAGAGCTTTTATGAGTGTGCTTTTTGCCTGTCTGAAGGTGTGTGTGCGTGGACAGTACACACTCACTCAGTAACGGTGATGGAGGATTTCTCTCTGTTGATTGCCAGCTGATACTGAAGGCTCTCCACCTCTCTCCTCATCTGTGGAACGTCTAACTCCTCCATGATGCTACTGCTGTTATCACACACAGAAACAGACAACCGATTCCCTTTCAGACTGTTTCATTACATTTTTCTCCTGACATAAAACATAACTTCACTAAAAGACAAACTATTACAAAAACTAAACAAACAACAGATTAAATCACTAGAGGATTAAGAGTGAAGACACACAACTAACACATCAAACCTTTTTAGGGATTATAAATAATTCAAATTAAGGGCCGTCCCCTAAATGTCATTTAATCCAACAAACAGTCAAGAAAACTCCAAGTAAACTTTAATTTTAAAAGTCACACCTTTGCACTTTTTTAGCTGTGTCACGCTCACAAAACAGAGAAATGACAGCATCGCAGTTTGTACATGTTTACAAATCAAGTATTCTTCATTAGTCAGCGTTCATTTTTCACAGTGCAACGTTTTAAGGAGTTTGACTACAGGAGTTTGATTTGGGGATTCAAACCAGGGAAAAAAAACATTAAAGCAGAATTTAATGATAAAATCTCGTCCTTCCTTTTCTCCTTGGTGGATCTTTTTGGACTGCTGCTGGATTTCGCTCTGTTTTTTCTTAATAATATATAACATAGCATGATCATTTAAGATTCAGCTGTATGATCTCTAATGTCCTCTATCAGGTAAAAGATGTGGTTAAAAATAACAGTGACCTGATGTCAATCAGAATCAGAATGGGATGGGTTTTTTTTTTGCGAAGTACTACAAGTAATTTGTCTGAGTGGGAAAAAAAGAGTTGCATTTTAAATAAGTTAGTGTAAAAAAAGGCGGTCAGATTGTTATGGATTACTGATATAAAAATCAAAGAAGTGTTAATGTAAGCACTCCTTTAGACTGTTTTTATATAGTTTACTTTAATAAAGGTTCATTAGCTCCACAGTTTAGTACACTTGGTTTGAGCTATCCTAAATCAATAAATAACACATTTTCCTCTTATTTGGGGATTATTTTCTCTGGCGGATTAATAAATGTCTAGTGCTCACTTAGATATTAACATTCACACTGTGGTGGAAGTTGGAGGGACTCCAAATGAACTCAAATTCATCAGCCATTCAGTGCAACAGTACGGCTCATTGATGTGTTTTTAATCGTTTTTTTAAACAATAATTGGCCTCTGTGACGCCAAGGAGTAGACTATCTAAAGGCTGTCGCTACACAGACAATAAAAACATTGTTGACTGTGGTCATTCACTGGATTTGTTGAAAGAAAGGAAAAAGATAAACAAGCAGTATCCTTTGAATCAATCTAACCAAGAACATGAAATATTAACAGGGTAAATATAACAGATTTACATTTAAACTGATGTGTTATCTTTTACTACAGTATTCAATCAGAGGTTTGAGTCTGTTCTTTTGGTGTTAACTTCAAGCTCCTCTGTAGTACTTGTCTTTATATTTCCTGGTTAAATAAACGGGTTTTAAGAGATACAAAATATAGATGGGTGGATTGAGACATGAGAAAATGATCCAGATATTTCTTAACAGTAAAAAAAAATACAAATAGATTTAATTTTTTTGGCAAGCAAAAATATGTATTTACATTATTACTAAACAGTCACCATTATATTAATACAACAGTACTGCAGTGTATCATACTGCAGTACTGGAGGCAGGATGTTATAATCAAATGTAGGTCTATTCTTAACACATTTCATGTTCAAACGCTTTTTAAACCATTCATTCTGAATATTAGAACCTGCAGTTAGGATTGAGTGCAGATTATTGTGCTAGTTTATCAACATGATAGAAACAATTCAGACTTGGTGAATTCTCTCTCCATATTCGACACATAACTGATAACAGTACAGACAAATGTAGCACAGGTTACCAAACTGAGAAACATGTTCTCTTCATAGAATGACTTTTGTCCCTAAAAAAATAAATAAAGCATCAGTTGTTGGTGTCACACTAAAGAGCCGGTCCACATCAAAATGCTGTATGATCAGTGTGCCGTGAGGAATTTGCACTATGTTGTACATCTGCAGCTCTGAGGGAGTACTAATCTTTATAGGCGAGTACACCAGCTGCTCGGACTATCTTTTATTCTTTATTATTGTAAACTGCCCCACCCTGCAACAGACCACATAACAGCAGGAAGAGAGAGGGGGGGACGTTGAGAGATACTAAGGACAGCTGAGGACCGACCATATAGATCAGTTCAGTCCTCTCTACTGGAAACAGCCTCCTCCTCCTCCTCCTCGTTTAATGGATGTGAGTAAGTATGCTGCCCTGTGCCCATTTTCCTCCAGTAGCATCCATCCACCCTGCTGGAGCCAAATGTTCCATAAAAAGGCCTCCATCCTCCTCCTCCTCCTCCTCCTCCATCCTCCTCCTCATCATCATTTAATTATAACATCCACGGAATGTGCTACAGTGACACATCATCTCCATCACTCATCAACCAGGGATATTTAAAGCACCTCAGCACACATTTAAGTCGATTTTGAGTCGAATATCTGTCTATGAAGGGAAACATGGAGTATAGATGTTAGCTTTGCACTTAAAATATCAAAACGTCCGCTTAAAGGTCGTGATTTTTAGTGAGCAAAGAGACGCGTGAAATCCCCGCACAAACCAGCGCAACTTACCGTCAGACGAGCTGAAGGGGGGACCGCTGGAAGATTTAGGTGTTTTCGCAGGCCGATGGAGGATGTTTAGACGAGGATAATAAAAAACAAAAAAGCAGCTGATAGTCGATGGAGTTACCCTAGGCAGAGGAGTCCGGCTTCGATGCAGGCAGGCAGGCAGGAAGAAGAGGAAGACGAAGAAGAACAAGGGGGGGAGGAGGAGGAGGCTGTGTGTGTGTACGACGCAGAGGCACTCCCCTGCGCTCCTGTCCGCTAGCGACTGGATGCGGGATGCGCAGGGCGGAGTGAAAGCAGCTACGGCCGCCTACTTTGACAGTCAAACTACATCTGCGAGAAGAGAGAGCCAAGCACCTGTATGGAAATCTCTGGGAGCAGCTCTGAAGCCGAGCTGAGGGCAGGAAACACGCAAATGAGGATTCCCACAGGAGGAAAAAAAAAAAAAAAAAAACAAGCCCGGAGATCATTTTCCATTCACATGACTGGAGCAGATGTTGGCTGCCGTGTTAAGAGTCCCAAGAGAGAGAGAGTCCAGAAAAATGGGACATGTGAGGCTTGAAAGACTTAAACGACTGAAAGCACGTCATAGAATTTGTCGACATGTTCCTTTTAATTTCGCCAATTTATTTAAGTCACAAAAAATATATATATATATGCTGGACAAAATTATTGTCGACTATGTGAAAGCCACATGAATTTGTACTTTATAGTGTAACTAGTGATGGAAAACATTGAACCCCCCCCCTTCCATGTATCATCTACTTTAACAGATACTTTATTGGGATCTGTTAACCCCATCACTTGGTACAATTTCAAATAATTTAATTTTTAATAATGAAAAAGTCAAATAATTGTCAAATGGGTAAAAGACATCATGCATATGCTTTCCCTCCAACTAGTATTTCATAGACTATTCTCTAATACGTGCAAAAAGCAGTCGAGCGCTATGAAGTCAGATGTAATTAATACATTCTTATTAACAGTAGTAAAACACCACCAAAAAAAAAAAAAAAAAAAAGACCATTGAGAAAGTAACCTACACACTCTTATTTATCAAATAAGCTCATATTTAAGTATAGATAACATGAATCAATGATTTAACAATTTGTTAGTTTTTATTTCTCTTTATTAATGTACATTTGGTGACTCTGTAGGCCCATCTTCAGTGTACATTTCAAATAGTCATTTGGTTTAGGTTTCTCCTCTCGGCTCAGAAGTTCTTTAATGGAGTTACAACCATCGGGTTACCTGAAAGAAACATCCCATTAGAATGATCTCTGCAGAAACAGTAATACGATAGCTTGTAGCCCAAAGGGTACGAGTACAAATATTTTTGTTTGCTTTACCACACAAGCTTACCTGCAGAATAAATAAGACCACAAGAGGTCAGTCAACAGCAGGATCACTTGCTCATTTGACTCCTCAAACAAACCTGCAAGAGTAAAGTTCAGGTTTAAGTCTCCAAAAAAAAAAAACACAAGAGTCATGCAAATGTTTTACTGCAGGAGCCTCAGAGTCAAGTTAGAATCAGGAGCTGGAGTTCAGCTCTCATAGTAGGTGTCAGAAAAGTATATTTTAGATTGTCGTCATCAGCTGACAGAATTACTGAATGCAGGAGTACTTCAGACACTCACCGGCTTTAGGACCCAGCGACCTTGTTTTAGTAGAGACCACATTTTGCTCCTCAGACCTTTGAGAGACGGAAAAAATCTTTAAAACGATAATATTCAATTCAAGTCAACACCAGTACAGTAATAATGAAGCCTCAGAATAAAGGTAGAATCAGGAGCTGGAGTTCAGCTCTCATAGTAGGTGTCAGAAAAGTATATTTTAAATTGTCGTCATCAGCTGAAATAATTACTTAGCAGTAAATGCAAGAATACTGAAGACACTCACCGGCTTCAGGACCCAGTGACCTTATAGTAGAGACCAGATTTTGATCCTCAAACCTGAGAGAAAGAAAACAATTCAACTCAAAGTAAACAACATTCAGTTCAACACTAGTTCAGTAATAATGAAGCCTCAGAATAAAGTTAGAATCAGGAGCTGGAGTTCAGCTCTCATAGTAGGTGTCAGAAAAGTATATTTTAGATTGTCGTCATCAGCCAAAGTAATTACTTCAATATAAAGAATACTTAAGACACTCACCATCTTTTGAACCCAGTGAACTTTTAGTAGAGGCCAGATTTTGATCCTCAGACCTTTGAGAGAAAAGAAAACTATTGAACTCAAAGTAAACAACATTCAGTTCAACACTAGTTCAGTAATAATGAAGCCTCAGAATAAAGGTAGAATCAGGAGCTGGAGTTCAGCTCTCATAGTAGGTGTCAGAAAAGTATATTTTAAATTGTCGTCATCAGCTGAAATAATTACTTAGCGGTAAATGCAAGAATACTGAAGACACTCACCGGCTTCAGGACCCAGTGACCTTGTAGTAGAGACCAGATTTTGATCCTCAAACCTTTGAGAGATGGGAAAAATATTTAATTAAAACAATACTATTCAGTTCAAGTCAACACTAGTACAGTAATAATGAAGCCTCAGAATAAAGTTAGAATCAGGAGCTGGAGTTCAGCTCTCATAGTAGGTGTCAGAAAAGTATATTTTAGATTGTCGTCATCAGCCAAAGTAATTACTTCAATATAAAGAATACTTAAGACACTCACCATCTTTTGAACCCAGTGAACTTTTAGTAGAGGCCAGATTTTGATCCTCAGACCTTTGAGAGAAAAGAAAACTATTGAACTCAAAGTAAACAACATTCAGTTCAACACTAGTTCAGTAATAATGAAGCCTCAGAATAAAGGTAGAATCAGGAGCTGGAGTTCAGCTCTCATAGTAGGTGTCAGAAAAGTATATTTTAAATTGTCGTCATCAGCTGAAATAATTACTTAGCGGTAAATGCAAGAATACTGAAGACACTCACCGGCTTCAGGACCCAGTGACCTTGTAGTAGAGACCAGATTTTGATCCTCAAACCTTTGAGAGATGGGAAAAATATTTAATTAAAACAATACTATTCAGTTCAAGTCAACACTAGTACAGTAATAATGAAGCCTCAGAATAAAGTTAGAATCAGGAGCTGGAGTTCAGCTCTCATAGTAGGTGTCAGAAAAGTATATTTTAGATTGTCGTCATCAGCCAAAGTAATTACTTCAATATAAAGAATACTGAAGACACTCACCATCTTTTGAACCCAGTGAACTTGTAGTAGTAGAGACCAGATTTTGATCCTCAAACCTTTGAGAGATGGGAAAAATATTTAATTAAAACAATAATATTCAGTTCAAGTCAACACTAGTTCAGTAATAATGAAGCCTCAGAATAAAGTTAGAATCAGGAGCTGGAGTCCAGCTCTCATAGTAGGTGTCAGAAAAGTATATTTTTGTTTTGTCATCACAGGCTATACATCTTCAACATGCCAAATATATAAACTTACCAGCTCTTCCACCATCCCTTTGGAGAGCCATCACTTTGGAATCAGCTCTCATCCCCGGTGTTGAGGGATAACCATGTAATGCAGTGTTAACCATTCCTCAGGTGTACCAGCTTCTAGAGGGAAAGCAAAGGTGATTTAATAAAAAGGATTAAACACACACATACTACTGATCATCAAGTAAAACCCCAAGTTAATTTGATTTAAGTTGAGCCCAGTTGATAAGGCTTCGAAAGGCATCCTGAAGTTCACACATTAGTTAGTTACACGAGGTACAGAAGCGAGCTGCCCTCTGAAAACGGGTTGAAATGCTGAACCACAACACTTCAAACTTGTTTTACATTTCAGGTAACAAGAAGAGAAACCGGTCAATATAAAAAAAAAACAATCGATTGTTCCTAATGAAAAAGGATTCACTCTTAACACGTGGTGTCCATTTGGTTTAGTAGCTCTGTCTTCTGCAGGACTGCCACGTGTTGCTGCTCAGACCAACATGTGAAGAGGAAACAATATCACAATATGATACTCACTTGTCCTGACCAGCTCGGCCACATTAAGTGACTTGCTCCAGTCATCTTTGCTGCGATGGGGTGGAAATATTTGAGAGCACAAAAGGAGAGTGGACAGACACATCTCTCTTCGCCATTTTAACAGAGGCCGAACACACAAGAACACAGCTTTATAAACGACTTCCGACTTCCGACAGTCCCTCCCACTTCCGGTTTAGCGTTTCAGCAAGCGGGTCAGCCAACTTCATTCTTTCTTTTAATTTAAGAGCACATTTATTGGGATTTGCTGAGCATATGTTGGGTTGTATAAGTCTGCCTTTTTGTGTAACCTAGCGTTTGAACTCGTCATTTTAAGGACGATAATAACAGCGACAAGTTATTCATTCAAGAACAACATCTCCCATGAGTCTTACAAGTATGTTATTTGTCAAAGCCTTGAGGAAGTTGTAGTTTTTAAATGCAAAATCAAAAGTAGTTTCTGCAAGGTTCAATGATTAGATGTGACGTTTTCAGGTACAAACTATGCTTTGAGTGACAAATTGATACAGCATGTTTGATAGTAAATATAATATCTCTACGGCGCCCCTTAAGTCCAAAAAAGTAAAAAAAAAAATATATATATATTGTGATGATAGATAATAAATTGTGCAGAAAACACAAGATAATAACTCAAAAGTGCAACTGGCTTTTAAGTTTATTACATCTAATTAACCAGATTGCTAATACATTAAGGTATCCATATTATAGGGTTTTTTTAAACAACGAATTAATATTTATCTGTAGGCTATAATACGTGTAAATCAATCCCTTTAGATTAATCTAACATATGGAGTCTGAAAGACATCAGAATCTGGCCTGAAAAATTCTATTGTTTGCAGAATGACATTTATTATGTTTACTATGGTCCCCAGAATTTCAAATAATATTGCAGAATACACTGTATGCTTTCTAAAATGTTAACTAGTCCTTAAACCGATGTCTGGACTTTGTAGATACAGGTCTTACAGTTCTTTTTTGTTTCAACCATGGCCAGGCCTTATCACTTAACCTCACAAAGCTAAAGCGACTGAAAGGAAGCTAATCCCTGTCGCCAGGAACCAAAATGTTGTGTTGTGTAAAATACTAAATAGAATGAAATGGGAAAAAAAGAAACACACACAAAGAGTGAAGCAAGATTTAATTTATACATTTATTTATTTTGATCACAGCTGTACAGGAATGCATTGTCACTGCGGAAACACAACCCAACCCAACCATGGCACAACAGCCATCACAACACATCCAAAACTCAACCAGAAATGTACAGGCTCAATCATGTCACCTCAATCGGATATCTATAACTATCATCATAATTATTATCATTATTATTATTCACATAGAACCATCTGTCTCTCAAATATATCTTTGTTTTCAAAGAGCATAAAAATACAAGTGGACTCTTCATTTGGGTGAACACTGTTGCTTGATCCACTGTTTGGCCTACATGGGGTGGGGGGTGGGGGGACCACTGAAAACTGGGGAGCTGAGAAAGAGCAGAGCCAATTTATTACAGCTTACAGGGGGTCTGCATGGGCGCGAGGGGGCTCTTACGATGCTTCTCAATGGTTACAGGAGGATTGCAGACAGGGTGATTGATTGTTTAGGACACAAAACTCAACCTATAACCTACTTCTGACAACACACATATACACAAGGAACCAGAAAAAACCTTTAAAAAGTATGAAGTGGGGGAAAAAAAGAAGAAACAAGGGATGGGCAATTTTAATTTGAATATATGAAAGAACACTACCAAGGCACAGAGCGTTGTAAAGTTAACAAAAAGGTCACAGAGGGAGATAAAAAGAGGCGGGGGGGACAGGATGGAAAGTGGGCAGAATAGAGGCCGTTTCACTAACCAACACTAGAGAGAGCTCTAACAGCTCAAATACCCAGGTATATTATAAACTCTATGTATGTATACTGGATGTACTATATAAAGCATTGAAATATGGGATTATCTTTTTTAAAAACACTGTTCACTGCAGCAGGACAAAGGGAAACAGCTCATGAGTGTGTATATGTGTGTGTGTGTGTGTGTGTGTGTGTGTACAAGTGTGTCTTTGCATGTTATGTGTATGTGAATTTGTAGATTCATTTCCAAGCAAGTCTCCATAGATGGAGCTACACACCAACAAAGCAGAACACCAGCAAATACACAACCAATGAAATGTTTATCTGCATATGTGTAAATGTGTTAGTGTCTCAAATTTCATGGACACACATCTATATCATCTTTCTGATTGTTAGAATAACTACTGTACGAGTGGGAGGACAATGACATGAGCATCGGCAGGGACTACACACACTCGAAACGACAACAACAGCAACAGTAACAACATCAGCAGCAACAACAACAACATGAAGATAGACGACACACAAGTCAGGAAGTTCCGGCTAACCACAATCCTCCACTCACACAGAAGAGAAATCTGGAAAAATTCATATTTTTTTGACATCTCAGGAGTGAGACAGACTTAGAAAGCGGCCCGTCTTTCTGTGTGCTTTTTAAAACTCTCGCTGGTATCTCATCTGTATGCATCCTGTCTATCGATCCAGCTACCTTATCCCCCTGTCAGTCAGTTGTGCTTATTCTTGCAAGCAATATGCTTATCAGTCTGTCTCCCTGTCTGACTGGGTTTACATCTCTGTCCTAGCCAGAGTCTGCGGAGATAAAAGGATGAGGAAAATGATTGTGCTTCACGGTCCAGGCAGCTGTCTCAGACTCGGAGGTGGTGATGATTCGCTGGGCTGCAGAGGTCAGAGGTTGTGTGGGAGCGGCCTCCTCGCATCAGGAGGCGTTCTAGAGCTACCCCACCAGGCGAAGAAGACTCCCTCCTCGGTATTTTTTCTGTACAAGGCTACATCACAAGCGCTCAAACACACACACACACACACACACACATACAAACACTCTCTCAGAGCACCAGCGTCAAGCCTTGAGAGAGTTTTCTTCATACACCTACACATGACGAGGAAGAGGAGGGGGATAGAGGGCTTGTATGAGACTGTACGTGCGAAGCAGATCAGTCAAGCATTGCATCCAGTTGGTCTGCCAAGTCGTCAAACATGCTGCCGATGTCGTCCAAGATGGAGACTGTCTCCTTTTTGCTGGAGAGAGAGCTGCAAGTTGGAGAGAAAGAAAAGAAGATTGTGAAGATGGCAGGCAACACCGTTGCAGAAAATAGAAGATACGGGGTGTGAATTGGGTTTTCACACATTGTTTATTTGCAATTTAAAGATCCTTTCTAATGATAAGCACAATGTTCTTAAACAAAGATACACAGGAGTCGACAGGATAACTTGAAAATGCTCTAGGATGCCTGCAAATGCTATTTTTGGGGGGCGTTTAAGGGGCAGTGAGTACAGGTTGTTAGCACAATAGTGACAAAGGGCCTTGGAATATTGTGAAATACAATCTTTTATCACCTCACTCAATTTGAGATTTAAAGCAATTTAATGATGACACATGACCTGCATTTTTTGCACTGCCTCTGTCATGTGCAACTCAGTGCTACAACCTTCTTCCACTATGCTCTCTATGAATTTTTTTTTACTTCAGACAGTGTTTTGCTTGAGGTATGGGAATGCAACTGAACTGGGCCAAGATGTCTGAGGCGGCATCTGGACACAGTAAGGAATTCCTCTTTTCTTTTGTAGCTATCACTTGTCAGCATGTTTACTTGGTGTTACAATTGTGTTACTATGAACTTTGGTAGGGAAAGGGTAAGAGTTTGTGGAACCACACCATTAGAGATGTATAGTGTTTAAGAGCAACATTATAATTGATCAGAAATTGCATTTGTAATACCTCCGGGATATGACTCCAATATTAACGGTTTAATCTCTTTTTTTTAGTTTCCATCATCTACTGAGAAAACTATCAGGCTCATTAGCAGCTAAATGCTAAAGGGAAAACCCTTTTTTTCTGCAAAACCCTGAACAGTTTTTGTATTCAGTAATGATCTGTGAAGATAGTGAATTCATAAAGTACTTGTAGTGGTGCAGGCTACAATTTCAATGCTGGAACTGAATTTCCTACTTACGCACACTTACATCTTCCATGTTTGATTAAGACATGCTTATACAAACAAACAAGTCCTTCTGTTGCTGCTTCACATTAAAAGCATTATTCTGAAAAGCACAGAGGGTCTTTTACTGTGTGTGTTAGCTTTGCTGAGGTTTAAACAGATACACCTGTTGCTCTTCTGTTGTATTTCTGGCAAGTAGAGTTCTGAGTGTTTGCTGTAATCAAAAAACAACACCATTGACCCAGAATTGTAACGTGAATGAAAGTGACTTAGATAACTGACTGTTCTATCAGGTTTGTATTTACGAGAACGATATTTAGCCAAACTATACGATCATTTTTAGGTACATTTATGTGTCTATGTGTTCCATGTTTTCTTTCTGCCACACTGCTTGGGGCTGGGAGAACACCATTTCGTCTTTGTTATGTATGCAGATACATGAGACAAATCACAAATAAACAGAATCTTGAATTAATAAAGAACAAGCAACAATTCAGAATATCTTCTTCCTGAGACTCAGTTTGCTGATGAAGCCTTTCCTTATTACTATCAAATAGCAGATGAATTAATAGGCTGGGAATGCATTGTGTATTTTGTACAAATTCCTTTGATTGTTGCCTAATCATAAAAGTAGAAGTAGGATTGGTAAACACAGGATTTTTCCCCCCACCCTTTGTTGGGCAAAAAGTGTATCAGGTTGAATGCAATCCCATCTTTATAGCAAGAGATTCAATGGGTATATATACTTAGATTCCCTTGGAAAGAAAGTAAAAAAGCATATTTCCCAAATTGTTGAAATATTGCATTAATCTTTAAAACTTCATGTACAAAGTTTCACATCCATCCAAGCCTTGTATAAAAAGTTTGAGGGCTTTAATCCAGGCCTGAAACAAGTCCTCTTACTCTCAGCTCTAAAATGTGCAAAGGAAGGCTAATCTATGATCTGATTAACCTGCCAACAACTTTGATGTCAACAGGTGTTGCCAAGAGATTATTATTGGATTTGAACTGTACACTTTGAGGCATAAACTGTAGGTTAATGTCATGAATACGCACTCGTTTTGTGTGTCCTCTTCTTTCATTTTATGTTCCACAGCCTGAACAGCTGCAGCCAAGGTGGCACTGGTCTCCTCCAACCGATGTTTCACCTCCTCCTTCTGCTCCACTTCCTCTGCTTGACCCTCCACCTCTCTCAAATGTTCTCCCTCTGCTCTCTTTCTCGCCTCCTCCTCCTCTTGCTCCCTGTGCCTCTTGTGCTCTTTTGCTCTCCTCTTATCCTCCTCCTCTCTCCTTCTTTCCTCTTCCTCTTCTGCCTCTCGCCCTCCTATTAGATCAATGGAGAGACCAGCAATGGAGGAGCGGGGAGGCTTGACAGGGTGTGGGGAGGGGGTGGAGGGGCTCTGGGCTGGAGAGGGGGAGGTAAGAGGGAGTCCTGGAGAGAGAGATGGACCAGAGGGGGTCTCAGGAGCTGGGAGAGGAGCAGCAGAGAGAGGAGAGGAGGTTTTGGGGGCTGGGGTGGGACTGGCTGCAGCAGGGCTTGTAGCAGCAGTACTCGGGCTCTGTGCAGCTGTAGCTACTATTGCTTTGCCTGGTTTAGGTGCTGTTGGAGGCCCGCGGGGTTTAGGGGACACAGGAGGAGGGACGCGCTTTGGCTCTGATTTAGAGAGATAGAGAGAGAGAGAGAGAGCAAGCTGCGGTTAGCATTGTCACATATACAATACATGGCAATACAATCATAATATTGCTGTCTATAGCAAATAATATTGAATTATCATGCATTTATTCTAACAATATCCCCACAAAAGTAATATACAACTTCAACCTTGTTTTTTTATCTCCTACAGAACCCTGAGCAAAACTGTATATGTGAGGGTAAAGTATGTATCTATACATAGGTCTCCTTTCTTTGAGGTAAATGTTTTCCGAAATACAAAATATTGAAAATGAAATTGTACTTTTATCAAACTGTTACTTCCTAGATATAATATAATATATTACATTAAATGCTGCAGATTTAAAAAAAGAAATCCTCCAAAATTATTTGGGGAGAATTTTTAATGTGGATTGAATTTGAGAACTTTCTCTCACACATTGATGATGAACAGCTAACTCTCTCATAGATCCTGTGAGTTAAAGGGAAGGGCATGTTAGGGCATGCTTTTACTGGACGCAACATTAATACATATCCAACAGTGCAGGGTGAGTTATCAATATTATATATTGGATATTGGAAAAAACTACAGTTTTGACTTTAATATGAAGGCATAGACAAACAGCAAATCCTTATAAGTGATAAGCTGAAACAACAATGTGATTAAAAAAGAAAATCAGAGCACAGCTACAAATTCATTTTCTGTCAGTCGGCTTATGGCTAATTATTTCAGCTCTAGTTTATCCCTACAGATGCTATTATATGAAAAGAACTCATTAGAAATTATTTCATTAAAGCCGGGATGCTGGGACATCCTCCAGACGAGTAGTAAGTACTAATATTCATAACTAGAATATTTATTGTTTGTATCTCTAGTTCTGTCAAATCAAGAAGAAGGCCAAACATAATAAGCGTAACATTTGGCATTTTCTGACATTGAGCTATAATGTCACTCCTCAGATCTATTCCTACACGATGACATGTGTGAGAGGGCTAGAAAACAAACATATTTTTCTTTTTACAAAATAAAATCATCAGAATACTTTTAGGCAATAATCACGTTGTTGAAATTTGCACGGAATGGCTTAAAAGTCTAAAAAAAAAAGATTTACTGTCTATATATACACTGTAGTAAAAAAAAAAAAAAAAATCCTGACACTTAACGCAAGAACTGTTCATAAGTTATCAGCTTTGTATGTTTCCTCGTGTGTGTCTCTTACCTGGGCTCTGTGCTGTCTCTGTGCTGTCTGGCCCTGGTATGGGGACCCTGCGAGTTGGTGTCGGGGGGTCAGCTTGTGTCTTCCTAAGGGAGACTGTGGATGGTTTGGGTGACACTGGAGGCTTCAGGGACCTTCTGGCCTCCATCCACTCGCAGCTCTCTCTGTTTGTCTCCGTCCTATCAGAGACCTCAGACACCGGCCTCCTCCTCAGGACCACGCCCCCATTCTGCTGCGGCTCACCCTGTGTTTTCCCGCTACTGTCTGTCTGGCTGCTGGGACTGCGTAATTGCTTATTGGTATGAACAACGCCTTCTGTGTGCTCAGAAACATGTTGTTTTCTGCGTATGGTGTCGGTGCCGGTTGTCATGGTGACAACAGTGGTAGCCACGGATGCCTGTGCCTCAGAATCTGTTTCCAGAGGTTTTGGCTTCCTTCGGAGCGTCAATGTGCCGTCTGTGATCTCGGATGTTGAGGAGGAGACCACGGTTGAGCGAGGTCGGGGCTCTGGACGTGGCTTTGCTGGTTGCCTGGGTAACACTTCAGTTTGGTCACCAGGAAGGGCTTCTGGTCCGCTGATGGTCCTGCGCCGACTTAAGACATCATCATCCTCAGATCCAAGACCACCAGCGCGTTCCTGCCGTCGAAGCATAGGTGGACTCACCTGGAGGTCAAAAGACTGTTACACATACATAAAAGTTAAAGAAAGAGTTAAAATATGATTCTCAGAGTAGGACACACCCACCTGCAGGTAATTGGTGCTGCCTCCCAGATTCCTTGGCAGGGTTTTGGCTCCGCCTACCATAGATGTTTCAAGCATGGCGGCGAGGCTTCGGACACTCCCAGAAGAGCCCTCTGATCTCTCCAGGCCCCCTGACTCTTGAGATCTTAGGCTTCCACAGTCACTGGCTCGCCGCTCTCTAAAGTTTGGTAGCCCTAGAAGCCCCTCCCCTTGTGCCTCTTCCTCCCCGTCGCCCCCTTTAATGGAAGAACAGGACCGTTTTGGTGGAGTTGGGGGCCGTCCTTTCCGACGGGGCCGGAGGGTGACGGATGATTGGCTGCGGTTTACAGTGACATCATTTGAGGCGGCAGTACGTACAGAGCTGCTGCGGCACACCGTGGCGTATCGAGAGTCTGATTCTGAGCCAATCAAACTGTGAGTTCTCCGCCGCTCCTCCTCCTCACAAGGCAGGCGGAGCAATGGAACCGATGAATCTATCCCTGCCATCTGGGTGGAGGGACGCGGTCGAGCTCTGGGGGAGGCCTGCTGGGTGTGGGTGTGTGGGGGGGTTTGTGGTGGAGTTTGTGTGGGTGTTAGGGGAGGGGTTTGTGAATGTGTGAGACCTGGACGAGGTTTTGCCAGCGGGCTTTGGGCACCTTCTCTCAGCTTCCTCGCATCCCTATGAGGCTCTGAGCCTGTGCTGCTACCAGGGCTGGAAGGAGGGGTGGATGGGCTCAGAGGGGGCCCAGAGCTGCTCTCTCCTCTTTGTAGCTCCTTCAGTCTCCTCACTCCCAACATCAGCTTCTTCTGATGGCCTGAGGAGAGGCAGGGTGAGGGACTGTAATATCAGTACTACTGGTATGGTTGTGTGTGGAATGAACAAACAGGACAGTCAAAACAATGCTACGGATACAGCCACAGACAGAGGAAAACAAAACTAAGAATAAAAAAAGCAAAAATTAAAAAGCATTATAAAGTTTACAATCAGCTCTCCAGATGCAGCACCTGACATAATGTCACTTCCCCACCAGATGTCCCTGTAGACATCAAGAGTTTCAATGTATGCAGTAAGTATTTAATTTTTAGTGGATAACCCCATTACCTACAGTACATTCAGGGTTGTCCTCCATGAAATTAAACCAAGGTGTCCAATATTTTGTCATGTGTGACCAGCTTTCCCCTCATTTGTAATAAAAGTAATCAAGCGGGACATAAGTTGACAGCTCTGCCCTCCATTCAGACAGTGAGGGTGGGGGAGGGGTCATTCCAATCAACAGCAATACATTTTAGCAGCAATAAAAGCAAGATTACAGAATGTGCTTTGATAGCAGTCCCCAAAGTTAATGCTCCCAAGTAGACAGATATGTGTAGAGGGCATTAGATTGATCATTGAGATAATAGAGCATATTTTCTCACAGAAGGGGTTGAATTGACAATAAGACCTTAACATGTGAACGTAGGACCCCTTCAGTCTTTCTCACCTTCAGGACATTTCTGAGTGCAAAGCATTCAGTTCTACCAGAGGTAGAAAGACAACTAGGTCAGTTCTTGTAAGACATTTTAGAGTATTTATATTTCAAAAGTTGGAATTTAATTGACACCCACATTTACTGGAAAAAACTGCACATTTTGCTTTATGAACTTTTAGGTTTGATCAGGAATCTAATCTGGAGGCTCCCGATCCTTAAAGTGCAGATAGGTACAAGGGCTCAGAACATTTGTTTCAGGGTATGATGATCAAGCAAAAAAACTGAAAAACTGAAAACAAATAAATATTATTACTAAGATTAGTAGCTAAGATTTAATGTATGTTAAAATTTGAAAGTTATAGCTATGAGAGCCAATTGAGTAAAAAATCTGTTTGTGTTTAGTTAGAATCACAGAACTCTAAAATAATACATCAAAATATTTCAGATAAAGAATCAAAACATGTCTTTTTTTCTGGATAGTGTAGAAAAGTATCATAAATGATTGAGTGAAAAGTGGACTGAGGCTTCTTAAAATAATATCTGTACATGATTTATTTGGTTTTATTCACTAGCACAGTATTCACAAACTATTATTCTACATGTTAGTGATCCTTTTCTTTGGCGCTTGACCCCGTCCATTGAAGATAAACTTAACTGTCACAGGTTACATCAGTCATATCCGTATATGACTGTACAACAGGGATTAGATAATATGCTGATGAAATATGTTTTGGATAAGCTAATATTGCCCTAATAATATCAGCCACCCAATATATTTGTTGGCCTCTATTTAAAGCCAATGTCAAGGAAAATTGAAACTACCATGATACCACTCAGGGTAAGTGGGAAAAACATGTTTTTAATTTGGATTTCATTTGACCTCCAAGGTTAATATCTTGGCTGTGTCTTACCGAGTTTAGAAATGCCAATCTCTTGCAGATCCTCGAGGCTGATGTCAGAGATGAAGTCAATGTTTTCATACCCATTCTGCACCAGAACCTGATAGTACTGACTGAGACCCAGGTGAGACAGCCAGTCTGCCAGATTGGCCTGAAAAACATTTGAGACACAAACATGAGATTCAGAGTATTATTCCTTGCATTGTGGTTCTGAGTAACTGTGTGTATGCTTGTGTGCGTGCAGCTGCCAAAACTCCACATCTCCCCTTTTTTTGGTTGTTATATAGAACACATGCGAGCCTTACAGGCTTGTGGTCCAGCAGCCAGTCGGTGGAGGGCAGCTTGCTGATCTCTGATGTCAACTTCTTTCGATGTCCAGGCTTCATGACCCCAATTGCTGTAAGGTCCTTCAACACAGAGCACAGTTAGTCACATCAGGAATTCCACCACAACAACTGTAGGTGTTTTTGTTCTCTTTTATATGTAAGCAATTTTATGTGTTTATTTGACATTTGTACTAGAGCTGCGTGTGATGTGCCTTCAGGAATATGTTGTGTAGATAATCTCTCATGAGTGTCCCCGGCCTTTAGGCAGTCTACGTCATACCACTGTGTCCGCTTCGATACACGCTCATTTAAACACACACTGGCACTGGAAACACACTCAAGGACAAACACAGAGTAGAGTTTACAGCACAGACTTGAACACACAGCCATGTGTGGACACAGGTATGTACATGAAGCAGACAGAGCATGAGGAGTGACTGGTTGAGGCTCAGGACTCACACCGGGGGCAGGTGACAGAGACAGGAGGGTCATGATGACATCATCCAGGTCAGCAGGGAGCAGATTTGATAGCTGAGCTGGGCGGAGCCTTGACAGACAGGGGGACGGGGCGTGAGGGGGTCAAGGGTCATGACCTTACCTCAGGGGTCATGCAGCTAATGGTGTCTAGATCATATCCCGCCGTGAGGAAGTGGGTGGTGTAGAACTGCAGCTGAAACTCACCCAGCCACGCCACTACTGCCTGCTTCTAGAACACAGAACACAGAACACTACTGCCTACTTCTAGAAGAATCCGCAGGCCTCTTCTAGAGCACGGAACACACGCACACACACACCTGTTCTAGAACATGGCATAGCAGCCTGATCTAGAACACAGGAGATCCCTGTTCTAGAAAACAGCACAGGAACATCCAATGTAGCCTGCTCTAAGACAAAATGTGAGGAAATCTTTCAAAGTCGTGGAACCTCTTCTGTAACAAAAAAGAGAGGTCTTCAGATTTAAGGTTGTTTTAAAAGAATTACCCCCCAAACATTACTGCTTCTAAAATACCCCGTAAGAACACTTTACGGTTTTTCCATGCTTTTCATAAGTGGATTTTTGACACGATACCAATTTTAGAAGAAAAAAATGAAGTAAGACCAATCTGGATGGCCGACAAAGAGCATTTTGAGCTGATACCTTGTCTACATGGGTTTTTGCATTGGTTTAAAACCAATTTGACTCTGCAATGACAAAACAAGTTTTCCTTTGATAAAACAATAACTTCATTTAAGAATATTTAACATTATGACACATTGCAAACAAATTCTAATACAACGCTGCTCAGATGTGGTACTCTGCTGCATGTGTTGCAGAAAAATGTTGGGAGTATTGTAAACCATTGAGTAGGAGTACTGTCTACTGGACAAACTTTGTGGCAAAAAAAAAATCTAAATCCCAACAAGTACAGTTTTCTGCAGTACATGTTTTCCCAAAAAAAAATGTTCACATATTGCTCAATGTACCTTTGAAAGTTTGATATTGGCCTGATAATATCTGAAAACCAATGAATCAGTCATGCTCTACTTATAACCCATGCAAAGGAAACAACAAACTACCAGTATGGTTAGATGCCATGTAGAAAATCATTAACAGGTCGATTTAGATATTGGATTTGTGAATGAATTTAGAGTAAAAAAAAAATGCTGTATGAGATCGACCAACCAATACACACTTGGAACATTTCACTGCTGTTGCCTAGCAACCAGTAAATGATTCTAGAATACATCATCTGGTGATTCTAGAACATACAGAGAATTTAACCCTCATCTACACAGAACAAACATACTGTTGGCAGGTTCTAGAGCAGAGCAGCATGTGGCCTCCTGGTGTCTCAGTGTGATGTGAGGATGGGGGGCGGGACAGCAGGCAGGACTGACTTCTCGATGTGACTGTCACTCTGCCTGTCTCCATGGTGATTACACTCACACTGCCCATCCTCAGCGTGTCATCTGTTCAGGTGCAACACAACCACGCCAGCTTACACCTCACTGAACCCCCCCTTGTGGACGTCTGTCTCTCAAACCGAAGCTCTGGCTGTGAGGATACAGCATAAAAAGAAAGTGGAGGCCACAGCATGAACCAATCTGTCATCCAAAAACTCACTTTCCCATCATCCTCTTCTGCCTTCCGTTCAAACGACTTCTGTTCATGAGCCGTGCAACTGGAGGAGCCTTTGGATTTAGATGGAAAGAGGAGACAAGGAAATTAGGAAGAGGGTAAATGTTTTATATACATCCCATCAAGCAGAAAAGTAACATTTTATTTTACCCTTTTCAATTCGTGTTTTTAAATATAACTTTTGTTAAGCCATTTCTAAACAGGGTGTATTTCTATTCAAGCTGTCAATATCCTGTAGCCTTCTTTATAGTCCAGATAATTGTGTAACAATATGTAATATGATGCACTATACTTCATGTAGATGTGCAGTAAATATATATATCAAAATAGTTATTCAAACAGACTCTAGACCTAATTATTTTTAGAACAGAGTTAAGAACA